TAGTACCTATAAGTTTACTGAGTTTCAGCCTAAACTATCTTTTTTGTCAACTTCGTAAAGTTTGGTTTTCTCACTGCTTTTATATTTCAGTTTGACGAAACAATTGAAAATTACATAAAAAAAATTTAAAATGACAGAATTTAAATTTTCATCATTTAAATTTTTAGCAATTGAAGATTCTAGTGTTTGGATTTATGTATGTCGAATTTTGTAAATGGCCCTTAAACCCTAAACCCTAATTATCCTACATTATAACACTTAAAATTCATCTTAAATAATCATTCAACTCAATTACATTCAATTGAATTATAAAATTATCAATGAGGTGTTAGTTGGATTGGCTCAGGCCTTTAGTGTGCTCCCAAGTGGTCCTTGGTTCAAACACACATGGTACCCGTGTATGTGTGTTTTCCCCATTTCCCCTTCCTAACTTTGACAAAAAAGAAGAAGAGAGAATTATAAAATTCAACTCAGCAACTCAAAACAATCCCAATTCAATTGAAAAAACTAAATAAATAAATATTATATTATATAGTTGTTGATTATATTATATCATAATCATAAATAGCTATATTATATTATATATTAAGTGAAAATAAATATATTACTCATTAGGACAGGTATGAGGATGGGGATAACAATACCATCCCCAGCTTGTCCCGACCTAAAATTTTTAAAATTTAGAGATCCCCATACCCGACCCTCGATTTCCTCCAAAATTTCCCCCATTAGACCTTATGAGAGAGAGAGAGAGAGAGAGAGAGAGAGAGAGCATAAACATTATCATGGGAATGACACAAGTAATAAGGGCGAATGTTTGAGATTTTCTTCCCTTAATAGCTTTAGAGGCGCTAGTATCTATGACAATTTTTTTTTTGGGGCTTCTTAGATATAAGTCAATATTCATCAAGATGTAATGGATGTAGGCCATATACTCTCCCTTTTCAATTGCATTATACTCTGCCCAAGTAAGCATTTATTTTGTCCATAATTTTAAGGAATTTACAATATATGCTAATATCATAAATGGAATTATATGAAAACACTTACCTAAAATTCAATGTTTCCTCTTATATATGTGTGTATATATATATATATATATATTTTTCCTTATATAAGGTGTTTCCTTATATATAATGTGTTTCCTTGTATAGTACATGCCTTACATGTAATAGTTTTTTTCTTAAGTTTTCTTAAGCAATCTTTTATGGAGTTTCTTACACACACACCTACCTTCCTGGAAATAGTTTTTTCTTGGGTTTTTCAAAGCAATTTTAATGGAGTTTTATCTCAATATACTCAATTGTGAGTATACCTGTTGTGGAGGTGTGAGTTTATTTATTTTTCTTTTTTCGTAACCTTTTAGATAGATACTTTTTTACTTTAATTATGAGTTTAAAGATCCATACCAAATGTATTATATAAGTTCAATTACCTGGACTAGAGGCCCATTTATGAGTATAACTATGTGCACAAGAGCTGTATTTTGAGTTTAATTACCTAGACTAGAGATAACTTATGGATTTAACTACCTGGACTATATGTAATTTATGGGTTTAATTACCTGCACAAGAGGTGTGTACCTTACCTATTGTTAAGGTTTGAAGTTTTCATGAATTCTGATTATAAATTTTGAGGTTGGTTACCTTGGGAAAATTTCAAAAATTCAATAAATAGTTTGCAATTAAATTCAAATAAAATATGATAATTAATGTCCTACAAATCAATACTTACCGATTTTACAAATCCATAATTTACCTTATTTATGCTTTAAGGGTATAATTAGAATAATAAAATAATAAATAAATAAAATAAAATGTAAACATCAATGGATAAATAAAAAGAGCATGTAATATTATATAGCGTAAAAGTCAAAGGACTTGGATCAACAACAACTTCTACATGGATTGCACCCAACATCTCTCATAAGAATTGAATTTATGCCAAATTTTTTAATTTTCTTTCCATTGCATTATGGGTATTTTTTCAAGATATCTGCCTCTAGAAGTTCTTTTAGAGGCGAAAATTAAATACCCTTATTGCTAAATTTTTTTGGTAGTGCTACTTGAATTGGGACAAGATCACCTTGTCCATTCTGGCCTTGAGGTAGACGACTCGAACCCCTTTTCGAAGAACATTTTGGTCATTATTGACAGACAGATTAACCTATTGTCATCACGAGATTAATATCAAACACTGCATGAAGAAGATTAGTCTGTTGTCCGGAAACACGGGATTGAGCATCAGACTGCTCAGCATGAGTCTCAATTCCCTTCTTGTTCTGCTTGTCGAAAAACCATAACAACGCAAGGTGTGGCAATCTTCAATGGGTTGAAATCTCTTAGAAATTTGCTAAGCTCTTCAGAATCATTTGTAATTAGTTGACGACAGGTGGGAGGTGGGGGAGGGAGGGGAGTGTCCTAAAGGCTTAAACTTTAGAATTATAGGAATCTTGACCTAACTTTATGAAAATCCTTCTCATTGAATGTTTGAATTACTTGGAGTAGAATTTTGACTAATTACCTAATCTAAACAATTTTTTTTTATAAAAAAAAAAAAAAAAAAAAAAAAAAAATCAGGTCGAATTGCCATGACTGCGAGTGCCATTAGGCAATCCAACACCTAAAAAAAATATTCTGTCATGTTTCAATATTCTATATTATATTGGATCAACAAATCAACACTCCTCATCATTCATTAAATCACTTACACTACTTAGAATACACATTGTTTTCAATAAGCTCAAATCAAATAAGAATTTAGTTTCAAACCCAAACAATATGATGTTCACAAATATGTTTTCATCCTTGCAAATTAAAAATCCTTAAAAAGCAAAGGATCTATTAATGTAGTGGTTTGGAGCAATTGCTCTTCCAAAAAAAGTCTTTGATTCGAGTCCTAGCATTTGTGTAGTATGTGAGAGTTCAGTATGTTATCGCTCCTCTCAATAGAAAATGTTTGTTTAATTTAAAAAAATGCATGCATGGTTTGGATTGGTCGGCCACTGTGGAACACAGATGAAGATAAATCTTTGTCAGTTAAAAGGAAACGAATACCTTGCTAGCTATTGCCTACAGGTGGCTAAGTCTCACCCAAAGATAAGATTCAATCAAGATATATGTGGACCTCAGATACTTTTAAAAAAGAACAAAAATTATTTGAACCAACTTTATAATGTGTGAGTCAGACATGCATAAAAATAACTAATACCACCATGGCTACATCTGAACATAATAAGAAGAAATTTATAATGTGCAATGCTTATCCAGACTCCATTCATTCTATATCTCCAACAATTGACCTAATTACATCACTATATATATGTCATGTCATGTCATGTCAAGAGTCAAGACCTTGCTCCTTCAAAAGATTATTGAACTTCCCTATTGTATGCATGTATGCAGGTCATTCTCCATCTCCAAATAGATTGACCTAAATAAACCACATATGTCATGTCATGGCCATTCTCCTTCAAAACAACTATTTAAGCTTTATCTTCAAAACTCCAAGGAAAAAAGAAAATAACAAATTTACACTTCAAAGCTCCATTATAATAAAGTGTGAGTAGTTAGAAAGATACTTTACTTTGTCACAATTATTTATAGATAATGGAAATAAGAAGAAAGAGAATGATTTATATTCTTAACTTTTCTTTCGTTTACTTACACATATATAATCATTTAATATACAGTTTTACTTAAAAATATTTAATCAAATACTTCAAGAAATGGGAATCGGATCAGGAATTCTTTTTCTTTTTCTCTTCTCTTCTCTCTCTCAATGGCAGAACCATGACTTTTGCAATGAGTAAGCTAGCTAAAGTTATTAACTTAAAATCTAATGACCAATTTTAGAGAGATAGATAGAGGGTGTTTTTAGAAATATGATGTGTTTTTGGACTATTTTATACTTTGTTATATATGGGAAAATAAGACCCACTGTTTTTAGTATGGGTTTGGTTGTAAAAGAACCAGTATGCTTGTGTTGGGGTGTTTGCACACTGGCCATAAGAGTTTTGCTAATTTGCTAGAGGTTAGGTTGATTTTCCTCCGAAATGGCCAAAAGCTCTTACTTTTGAATAAGGGCAAATAGTGAATTTTGATAATGATTAAAATTTGAATCACTTGATTTGTGGTTTGATTCATATACCTAATTTGATTGAGCTCTTGATTTAAATCAAATACATTGATTCAAGGAATTAATCCAAAGGTTGATTTGTATAATTTATGATGACATAGTTTGTCTTGGAAAATTATACATATTTTATGTGAGACTAACAACTTACACTTGTAAATTTATTTCAATAATAAATAAACAAAATCTCTTTACATTTTCTTACCACTTCCTCTACCATCACACTACCATGTGGTATTATTAATCAACCTATAATAATATAATAAACTATCACGTTGTATTATCAATCAACCTGTAATAATATAATAAATTTATTGTAGATAAGAAATATATGTATGCTTATTTTGTATTATCATTATTTTTTTGGTCGAAACTTATTTTGTATTATCATTATTCCTCTTTTGGTATTTTTTTACATTGTTTTAATAAATATAAAATACATAATTTGTCTTTGTGGAAAATAAGTACATTGTCTTTTTTTTCTTTTTTTTGAAAAGAGGAAATAATTACATTGTCTTTTTCTGCCAGAAGAATAAAATAAAAGATAGACCCTAAAAAATAGAATAAGAAAAAGGGGTGACCACAACAAAACGCGTGTGGTGGGGGCATTCAAATTCCTAATTACTTTTCCACCCAAGCAAATCTTATTTATACCCCCTCGTCTATTTCATATTTTATCTCTGATTTTCTCTCTCTCTCTCTCTCACACCTACACAAACACAACCCAATATCATCTTCACTTCTATCTGTTTCTCCCTCTCTCTCTCTTTCTCTCTCTCTGTGTCGTAGCAGAGCCCAATAAATCTATCAGATCTTCAATACCCAGGTGAAGAATTGCTTTAGAAAGTAGGGAAATGAGGGAGGAAATGCCGTACGGAACCGAAGAAGGTGAGGGGGAGGAAGTTGGGTTTCCTAATATCACTCATAAGAGATTGGTGGTGGTGGGTTATGCTCTTACGTCTAAGAAGACGAAGAGCTTTTTGCAGCCAAAGCTTGAAGGTTTAGCTAGGTAATTTGGCTAATATATTATGTGTTTATGGAGCTTAATCGAAATTATTAATCTCCGAAGGTTCTGTTTTTGTTTTCTGTTGTTCGCACGGGGATTGATTTGTGGACCGAATTTGTTCTGATATGGGATTTTCCTTCGGCTATTGGTTTTCGAATATTGTTCCAGTACTACTGTCATTTTCGTTTGGCTGGCGAGAAAATGAAAGACACTTGCTGAATTTTCTACCCATCAATTATTGCCGATTGAAGTCCCACGATTTTTTTTTCCCTTTGGAGTTAAAAGAATGCACAAGTTGTGTGCTTTTAAGTCCTTTCCACTGACCCTTTTAAAAATGTAATTACTTTTGTATTCTCAGTTTATTCCAAAACGAAAATTGTAAATATGTTGTAAGAAAATCGCTAATCTGTTTTCATATGTATTTGCGACAATTTGAAATCCTAACAAGTTTTAACGTTTATGACTATGCTTGGTCTCAGTTGCCCATCTACCAAGATCAATGACTAAATGTTGAATCTTTCGTATTCAATACTATTAAAATAGTTTTTTTTTCTCTGAATTTTTTCCTTCTGCTGAATGGCTTTGATTCAGAGTTACCGTGACAGATTTATATCTCTGTTTTTTCAAGTAAGGTTTACTCATTGTGTACTTACCAAGTGTAAATGTTGTTTGTTTAATGCAGAAACAAGGGGATTTTATTTGTTGCTATCGATCTTAACAGGCCCCTTTCGGATCAAGGTCCTTTTGACATTGTGCTGCATAAGGTTGGGGAATTTCCTTTTATCATTTGACACTCTTAATTTTGATTTTAATCTACATGATGAAGATTCAATAAAATTATGTTCCCTGTAGTCTCCATTCCTACATGCACACACCTACTATTGATAGTTACCTCTTGCATCTGTAAAAGGGTTGTTGTGATAAATGGGGTAGAAAACTTGACACATTTTTATCCCTTCTCCGTGCAGTTGTCAGGAAAAGAATGGCGCCAGATTCTTGAGGTTGGTTTGTGTAAATTTATAATTTTCTAGTTTTTAGAAAATAATATTCTGGACTGATTTTCCTTGAGACCACACTTGTTGCATAAGTGCATATGCTAATCATCTGTCTAATGACATTTATACTTCGCACGGGGTAAAATAATCACTGACATTGCTGGTTGGCAACCAGAATGTTAATGCTTAGAACTTATTCCTGTCTGACTAAATGTGCAGAGTGCTTCACTTTCCTTCATCATGAATTATGACTCAATAGTTGAGGTCGAGGCCTCAAGCCAGCAAGTGACGATGTTTCTACTTCCATGGCCATCTAGCTGAGTTTTTCAGGTTTTCTAAGCATTTTCCGTAAAAGATTCTTGATTCTCTTGAACGGGTTCATATTTCCAGGGTATAAATAATTACCCCCATTGTCAGCTGAATCGGAGATAGCTAACTTGATCTGACCGAATTTAGAGTTGATATACCTGCCTTTGAGTGTCTACGGCACTATACTTCTAGGATAAGGTCTGCAAAACACCCTTCCTCATCCTCTTTCAGATGCTGGTTGTGATGGCTGGTTGAACATCGGGTACCTTTAGATTTCTGTCCATCCGTTGTACCCTGGTAGGATTATAGCTGCAAAGTTTCCTATATTGGCTGGATTAGTTTTTTTATGTTCTACATTGTTGTTGGTTGTGCTTATGGGAGAGCTTACTAGTAATTATAAACTTAGTGTGTTGGGTTATGGATTGAATTTTTAAGTATCTCAGTGTGAACCATATACAAAATATATGTTAATTTCTGTTATTTACTTTTACATCCATGAAATGTAAGCCATAAGGGCCCATTTGGTTCGCGGATTGAACTTCTTGGGAATAAACTTTCTGATGTCTAATCCCTCGAGATGGGAATAGAGGATGTTCATTCCCATGTATGGGAACGGTGGGAAATGAGGACTAGGAAATGTAACTATCTCCCATTCCCATGCTTGGACCAGTCATAATTATAGTGATTTTTGTGGTGTCATTTTGTGTTTTGGCTTATGATTGTTATGGAGCAGTCATTCAATAACTACATTTTATCGTTTGTAGTGGTGACTTTCCAAAAATCCAATTTCATTTCAGTATGTACAGTGCAAGATACAACTTTCATAACAAATACTTTTGCCCAAAAAAAAAAAAAAAAAAAAAAAAAAAAAAAGGTTTTAAAGTGGCAAAGTTTTTGTTCTTGTTTGGTTTTTTTATTTGAAAGAAACAAAACTAATTTGCTCCAACTTCCACGGAGACATCTAATTTGTTTGATTCTCAGAATGCTCCAAAAGGTATCATAAAGAGTTTGTATGTGTCCCAGAAAATTAATTTCTACTGTCAATGAGCTGTTGGTTCTCCTTTTTGGGTTTCCTTTTAGGTTTTCAGGTTTATTATAAAAGATGTTTCTTTGAAATAGTTTGTCAACCAATTTCTACAGTTAGTGTTGTTTTCGGTGCTACCAATGGTACTTTGGGATGTAGGGGTTGATAATTGTTTGCTGCAAAAGCAAAGTTTAAGTTGTTAAGGACTTGATATGGTAGAAAAAGGTATGGCATACACAATAGCATCTTCCCTCACACGTGGGTCACTTAACAACCTTGAGCTAACCGATGTTTGAGGGACAACTATACTTGCATTTGGCATATTCTGATCAGTGACCATGATTTGCTGATCAGTTTTGCTCTTTCTGAATAACTTTTCTCTGCAGGATCTAGTCTTTGGTTGATCTGTTATATTGTTTAATAACTAGTTGAAAGAATTGTACATATTTAGCTTAGGCGTTTCTGTTCTTTATTTCTTAGGAATAGGAGGAAGAAGATAACAGTTATCATAAGCTGTAATTTATGCACTTGCATTCTACAATTTGTTAAGTTTTATTTTCTGTTCATTTTTCATCAGTTCAAAAGTTTTTCTAAGTGTTTGTGAGATTGTACATAGATATCCACCTTCACATGGTTCTCTGAGTAATTAGATCCTTATCTGGAAAAAAATGGTACATTGTTTAGTTCAGGACTTTTCATGGAAAAACAGAGAGAGAAGAAATTAAACTGGTCTTCTTTAAGTTGTAATTTATGCACTTGCTTTCTACATTTTGTTTTCATTTCTTTTCTTACGGTTGTTAGATTGTACATACACCATATCTACATTCATGTGGTTTTTCAGAGACATGGTATATTGCAAAACTTTCTCAATCTATAATGCTCTTTGATCATAACTGTGGATATTGAATGGCTTCTGACGATTATGGACAGATGATCAAAGTTATCATGATTTTGAGACTTCAAACCTAAAGGAAAATGCTCACGACTGTAATCAACAGTTTTCACTGTGTTGTTAGGTCATTTAGGTGTTTCACTCTTTCTAATTTGAGCATGTGTAAGCTTCATAGTATATCATAAATGTATATTATCCTTTGTTTTAGTTGTGAAAGGCCGATTGGGTTCTTCACATGTTGAACAAATTTGTCCACTTTTGAGAGTAGAAGTATTTATACAAAAACACTGGAAACTCCTGACGGTGTTCCCTTGATGAAAAAATTCAGGCTTTTGAAATTTTTTTTGGTCCACATGAAACAAGATTGGTAATCAGGTCCTGTTTTAAGTGGGTCGCTCACATCCTTTTTTCTTTTCAATTCTTACGTGTAAGTGTAGTTTAGTAACAGAAACAACTAAAAGTTGGTTAAAAAAAAGATATACAATGATTTTAAGCGATCTTCAAATGTAACATGATTTGATTGTAACTGATTGACAGTAACAATCGGACAGTTTTCTTTTCTAAATCGGGGCAAGAATGACTCTGTTGCTCCATGTTGTCCTTTTTTTGTCCATTGGTGCTCCGCTTTGTCCTTTAATGTTCTGTAAAAGACCCGACTATTAAAACCTAGCAGTGGTTTTCTTTGGGTTCCTCTCCATAGATGTGTTTTTGGAATTAAAGATGCAATTGCCATGCTTGCATTTTGAAATTTGACAATGTTGTAGTCATGCAATTTGTAGAGAAATTAGATGGACTGGAATTACATGTTTGCTTCAAATAAGAAAAAGTGATAGACATCACCTTGTACACTTTTCTTTCGAAAAACCAAACAAAAAAGGAAAAGAAAATAGTTGTGATATATTTTGGTGGGGACTCCTTTCTTTGCTGTTTTTGTTTTATGTCTGCTAATTGCCAGGTTCCTTTCTTTTTTCTTTGAGGGGTACTCTTACTGAAATTTGGTTTAGCGATTGCATATTGTTTAGTAAATTATTTGTTCAGCTGATATACAATTTTGGTTATACTCACATCACACTCCTTTTCTCCTAATTGTAGGACTATAGGCAAACACATCCTGAAGTCACTGTTCTTGATCCACCTGATGCCATACAACATTTACACAATCGTCAATCCATGCTCCAGGCTGTTGCTGATATGAACTTGTCTGATTCCTATGGTATGCTCTGTGCTTTATGTCCTAAATGTTGGATTACCTGTGAATAGTATCTTGTTTGAAGTTTGGCTCACATGGTTTGCGCTGAGTGTCAGGTTAAACTATAAGTGTGGCGACTGAATTTTTGTCCTCAGTGATGCTGATTAACGTATTCATGCAGGCAAAGTTGGTGTTCCCAGACAGTTGGTTGTCAAAAGAGATGCATCGTCCATACCTGATGCTGTTGCAAATAGTGGGCTGACACTACCCATTGGTATGCGTATGTTGTTTTAGTAATTAGTATTATGAAACTATCAGGACCATATGCTTTAACTGTATACATTGGTATTATGTACTTTTTTGGCTATTCATCTTTGGGAGATGTATTGACATTTTATGTTTCAGTTGCAAAGCCACTGGTCAATGATGGAAGTGCAAAGTCACATGAATTATCACTTGCTTTTGATCGATACTCTCTCCAAAAGCTTGAACCTCCGCTTGTTCTTCAGGAGTTCGTAAACCATGGTATGAAACTAAGATCCATGTAGTTTCTTATCATTGATTTCCTGAATATAACTGCAAGCATATCATAATTCTTGATTTCACTTCTCTTCTTATTACAGGAGGTGTTCTTTTTAAAGTCTATATTGTGGGTGAAGCTATAAAAGTGGTCAGGCGTTTCTCTTTACCTGATGTCAGTAAACGAGAGCTCTCCAAAACGGCTGGTGTATATCGTTTCCCCAGGGTTTCTTGTGCTGCAGCTTCTGCAGATGATGCAGATCTGGACCCAGGCATTGCTGGTGAGTTTTCCTGTCTAGGAATTGGGTTTCTTCCGTTGCATCTTGATAAACTTTGCATTGTAACTGTCTTTTCAAACATAAAGCTTGTGTTTCATTGCTGAACTTGGTTTTTGTTTGTGAGCTTAAAATGTAAGTTGCCATTTGTAATATAAAAATAAAATAATGTTGGCTGGTTGTTGGTTTTTTGAAGGGTTGAACCATCAACTGAGGTGTCAAATGCATGGAAGCAACAGTGAAATTTAACTAATTAATATAATTTTTTTTTGTTATGCATCATAACTGTAACATGGGTCTTGAAAAATTTGCTAAGCAATTACTGTTTTGCATGCAGAACTTCCTCCACGGCCGTTACTTGAGAGACTTGCCAAGGAACTTCGCCGTAGACTGGTAGCTCATACTTTTCACTATGTGGTTTGTGCCATGCCCGTGTTGATGCATGGAATTCATATCAACTTGTCCTATCTTTGTAGGGTCTGCGACTGTTCAACTTGGATATGATCAGAGAGCATGGGACCAGAGATCGGTTTTATGTCATTGACATTAACTATTTCCCTGGCAAGTGATCTCTCTCTCTCTCTCTCTCTCTGTTTGAGTTAATTCTTGTCCATTAACAATTAACTGAGTTCAGCATCTTTTTTAGATACTATGTTGATTCTATCTATTGCACTATCAGAAGTCATTTTGTATGGCTGTTAAACTGCCCTTGAATCTTGTTGCAGGGTATGGGAAAATGCCGGAGTATGAGCACATATTTACGGACTTCCTCTTGAGCCTGGTGCAGGCCAAGTACAAAAAAAGATCTGGCTGAAAAACTTTTAATTGACTCTCCTTGAGAACAAGGTGGGAGTCTGATCACAGATATAGCAGAGCACCTCAATAAGATTCTGCAGGGCAAGGTTCCTTGCTTCGGTCCCACGTACAGTGACATGTGTGGATCCCTGCTGATGGCCGAAGGAAGATGTTCGGCCGTACAGTCAAGTTGCTAATAGGAGATGTTCCCCCAGAAGAATGCATCATGTACAGAGTTCTCATAAGTCTAACTTGGCTCTGTTGATTCTTTTTTCTTTCTACCTGTTTCTGTCGTTGGTAGATCATGTAAGCAGCTGCTAATTACAGAATCTCAAAAATTTGTTGGGTTAATTTTTTATCTGATGTCATTTCCACTTTTATAATTGATGCCTCTTACATCTTTTTTTCGGTTACAATTGAACCCTACTCTTTCGTAGGTATGAACCACTGGAATTTTTATCCATGGTTCCATCTTCTCCATTGAAATGAAGTAACTTTTCAGAAAATGAGAAATTTGCCCACGGTAATTCAAGGGCCCCTTTGGTTCTCTCTGCCCCTTTTTTGTGTTTGGATTGTAATGTTCTGGTTGTGTGCTGAGGCCATCTTTAAACTCAATACACGCCATACCATAAAAATCTACAGGTACTTCACGAACCAAAAATTGTATCATTTTAGTAGATGATGTTGAGGAAATTACCTTTGATTTTGAGTTCGTGCTGAGGAAATTTATTCACGTTTGATTATCATGCCATGCTCATGCTGAAAATTATCACTCATTCTCTCAAACGCTAGAGCAAATCGTAATCAGTTAATGAAAAGGGTAAAGGACATCCTTCATTCCAAGGAATTTGTTTCTCTATCAACATGAAGCCATTAAATAGAATTGCAGAAGGAAGCAAATAGCATGACTGAACTTCAATATTGCTCTGTGATGGATTAGGTTGAGATGAGAGATAGGAAATGGGATTAAAACATTGACCAAATGACTATAAATCCAGCTCCAAGATTTGAGGAGACGGATAGGTGGTGAGGCAAACCCCATTGCACTCTGATACGGGTTTAATTCAAGACAAAGAAGCAAATAGCCTAAATTATTTTATATTAATTTAATCTACGGAAAATGAATTCGAACTTAGGTGCAAGGCAGCCCCAGCCAACTTGCCTAACCCACGTAAGTTATTTCCTCATTTTTATACTAGTATGAGTTGAAAATTGAGATTAGTCCATAAACAATTAATTTTAAAATCTGATAGTTCATTTTAAACCAAATCAAAATGGGGCAAGCAATGCCACCCAAACCCAACCTCAATTAATTCACAAACCTAGAAACCAACCCAACCCAAATTACATAGGCAGAAAGATAAAGAAGCAGGATGAAGCAAAATGATAATAATTGGTCAAACAGAACCCAACATGCACAAAAGCTTCAAATGTCCAAAGCTCCAAAAACAAAACCAAAACAAAACATAATAATAATAACCCAAATTGTGTGAACCAAGTTCTACTCAGTAGTGGGTGGCTCTTGTGGGGAAGAAGATGAAGCTTCATCTGCAGAAGAGACCAATGTCCAGTCGGCAGGGAGAGGAGGCAGAGGAGTGTACACAGTGGGCTTGCGTTTCACGTCCCATGGCTGCGTTTTGCGAGGCCGAGTCTTCCTGTGATGAGCAGTGGCCTTCTTCTGTGGCCTCGACGAACACTCAATCATCAACCCAGTACCTCCACCAACTGAGCCGCGCCATGGGGATGTCTTTGGGACCCCAAACGACGCCGTCGCAGATGGGTTCTTCACGGCCACACCCACAGCCACCAATTGAGGCCCCAACACAGCTGAAACTGACATCTTCGGTTCTCACAGTGAGAAAAAGACGATGGAGTTGGGTTTTCTAGTTTCTGTACCTCTTTTGGGGATAATGTTTTGCACACATTATCTTTTAGTTTTGATTTGCCGTGGTGGGTGTGACCTTTAGTGTTTTATTTTTTGGGCCTTTTGCTTGGTTATTGGATTTGGGTCCAATTGTCTCTTTAGGCCTTATAACAAATATTTTTTTAATAAAGAAAAAAGATAATTGTATTAATATATCAGGCACTATAGTAAATACAAATACAAATACCTACAAAGGGGTAATACAAATATGCGAGCAAGCAAGCCCAATTGAAGTTGATTGCAAGCACTTGTTAATGATGAGGAGCCCAGTGCAAGACCCTTAACAAATGAGATATGCCAAGGCATGGTTGAGTGTCTTGCACCATGCTAAGGCAAGGAAGTTGCGCAACGAGTTGTGCACATGAAGTCAAGACAAAGTGGGATGACGAGTGTCCTGAGATGAGAAAAGGCAGCAAAGTTTTTGGCATGGCATAGGTAGCTAAGGCCCATCACGGGCAGTAAGTGTCGACATATGTTGACAATTGCCTTCGGAAGATGTCGATAGAAATGAGAAGAAATTGTCGACAGATTGAGGAAACTCTAGGCAGGTTGGCTCAGAAGCTCTCAATGGATGCTGTCGACAGAATGCGGAAGCTGTTGACACGCGTTGTTGACATGCGCTGGTAGATTATGGCACGTGCTAGGGAGCTTCTGGAAAACTCACCAAAGGACTCCTCCCACTATATTCTGATTGTATTTCAGTAAAAACTCATCAAATGCCTCATCCGACTATATTATGATGTTTTCCAAATTTTGGGCTCGCTCCTAAATTAATTGGTCAAAGAAGTGGGTCACATGAAATATCTATACTAAACGGGAGTGGTTGGAATATTGCATCATTTCATTCATTAGATTTCAATAATTACTCACCAAATGATGATTCCTACAATATTATGATTCGATTTCAGTAAAAACTCACTAAATTATTCTTCCCATTATATTATGATGTTTCCCAGACTTTGGACTTGATTCAAAATTTATTGGTTAAAGAAGTGGGACACATTAAGTTTCTAGACTAAATGGGAGTGGTAGGAATATTGGATAGTTCATTTGCTTAGATTTCAGTAAAAACCGAAAAAATGAATCCTCACACTATATCATGATGTTTCCCAAGTTTTGGGCTCGATCTGAAATCAATTGGTCAAAGAGTGGGTTACATTAAGTATCTACGCTAAACAGGAGTGGTAGGAACATTGCATAGTTCCTTTCATTGGATTTTAGTAATAACTCACTAACTTAATTTTTTTTCCGTTACCAATATATGAGTAACATAAAAAAATACACAATGCATTGCAGTTTCTATTTGAGCCTAAAAAAATACCAATACAAGAGTTACGTAAAAATACAAATGTTGCATTTTCTAATCTATAAGTCTAAAAAAACTAATATAAAAGTAACATAAAAATACACACCACAAATGAAATATTGAAATTATGAAAATTAATTTGAGTGGCAATTCTTGTAATTTACGGGATTTATTAGCTGTAATTTGAGGTTCATTTATTGATCATTGACCTGATCCATATCAGGTGAAATTAGATCACAATAGTAAACTAACCAAAGCTCCCCCAAAAAAAAACTAGGAAGAGAAACTTTTAATTTATTCCCCTAGTTTTTGTAAAATTTTCCAAGCCGCCAAATATTCAAACTCACGCGTAATAACTTGTAGCCCAAGGCTCGAAAAAGAAAAAAGAAGTTAACGGTCAAAAAATCCAAAGAACAAGTTAGACGGTTATGGACTGACCCTTCTCCTCTCTCCGCACTTCTCTCTCCGTTCTCCAAACAAAAAATCAAGAAATTCTCATTTTCAAGAACCCACAAACTGTTTGATCGAAGGTCGCTTAGGAAATTCAATGCAATCAACATGGGAGTTCACAGAACAATAAGCACATCAGGGCCTCGATGGGTTACCCGTGTTCTTCCCGGAGTCGTTTCAGCGGCAACGGTCGTCTTTCTGCGCATGTCAATCTCATCATTCTCATCACCAATTTGCAAGCCTATAAGAGACCGAGTGGGTTTGATATCTTTTTTGCTAATACTACTTGTACTCGCTACGTTGCATGTTCTTGAACCCATTGGCCAACTTTCAAGACACCTCTTTGGGATCGAAACCCCAATTGGTTATGACCCCTTTGAATCTTTAAAGAAGCATCTGCAGCCTTTGGGTTTGGGTGCTCTGGTTGTGGCGTTGTTTTTCTTGGGGAATTACCAGTCTTCCGTTCATGCCACCTATTGGGGTATTTAATTTGTTCAAGGCACCCACTAAGATTTTGTGTTCAATTGTCGGTTTACACGTTTTTGGTTCGTTTGGGTACAGGAAGATTTGTTATTGTTGTACATATTCTTCATTGTTGTAACTTGTAAGTAATGACATACTAGTGTTACTGAGGAAATGGAAACACTTATTGTGTGAATTAAAAACTACAGTCCACATATAATTCATTATTATTTGCTCAATCAAGTGTCCTGTTTTCATAGTCGTTGATCATCCATTTAGATACACGTTCGGTAAATCGCTGATCCGGAAGAGAGTAGGACGTGACTCGGCTTCATACCAAAATTGAACCTTCAGAGAACAAGAAGAGGGAACAAGCAAGCAACCAGTGAAGCTGAAGAGGAATTAATCCCACAATATTTCTTCCTTTGAAAAGGAAGTTTCTTCCCTCTAATGATGAACATAATCTTGCTCTTCCATTGCCTCATCCCGTCTCTATGAAAAAGCAATTCATGAATCGACATATGGGTACGTATATTTGTTTAATACAAACTTTAGATATAAGGAAAAAAGGAAATAGCTATTCTTTGATGAGTTAAAAAGTAAATAGTTAATAAATTAAATTAATGAAGCAGTACTGCACTTTATTTATAAAAAAACCAACCCAGTAAGAGCACGCTCATGCAAAACCAAAGAGATTATTTTCAACACCAACTTAAGGGAGTCCTCAAAGAATATATGAGTAACTTTGGCAGTTGTAAAGTTTGGTCAAGGAAGCAGGACTGGGCTCAGAAACTGGGCAACAGCTTCACAGATGCACCATTGTCAAAGAAAAGCTCTGAATTTGGGGGTAAAAGCAATGGTCGTCGACTCGGGAAGACATTGATTGCCATGTTTAATTTTTTGGGTTATTTACTGTTTCATCCTTTAAAACGAATGTTGGGTCTCACTTTATCCTCTCTCTTCTCTCCCCTCCCCTTGCCAGACCCAACCCCAACCCCAAACCTAACCCTCTTTTGAGAGAGAGAGAGAGAGATATATATATATATATATATATATATATAAAGAAAGAATAGGAGGAAGGGGGTGGGGTTGGGGTGCGATGGAGGTTGGGTTCGGGATGGGAGAGAAGAGAGGGGCAGAGGGGCAGAGGGATAGAGAGAGCTAAAATTACTAGAATGCCATGCCACATTAGCACACTTAACGATTTTGTGAATGGAAATGGACGAAAGTGGTAAAGTGAGAAAATTTTAGTTTAAGGGGGTAAAATGAGACCAAGCGTCTGTTTCAGAGGTAAAACAGTAAATAAGCCTAATTTTTTTTTCTTTCCAATTACGTAATTTTTAAAGATTCGATTATTTTTAAACTAAAAAGAAAATTTAATTCAATAGTGAATCATGTGCCTAACATGTGACTTTTTAAACAGAGATTTGGATGGAAATTACTAAAAATTGACGGTATGGACTAAATTGAAGATAAAATTTAGTATAAGGGCTAAATTGGCAAGAAAAAAAAATCATGATGGACATTTAAACAAGCGTGATAGTTCATGGTGGTTTTCAGTAGATAACTTCTGAAAACATAAGCATTATTGAAGTATACGTACGTAAGCATATAATACAAGTATTAAACGGGATAATGCCAACCTAATTTAATGAAGAGAAATGTACATAATCTTTCCAAATTCAATGTAAATGATAATTAGGGCTTCTTTTGGAATCCAAAAGGTGCAACAAATAAAAATTTGAACTTAATTAGGTAACAAGTTGATGAGTTGTATCTAGTCATGGGGTTTTAAGATGGAAAAAAAAAGGTTTATTTATATTTATATTTATATTTATATTTATTTTATATATATAGAAAAATAAGGTGATGAGTTGGATGTAAGAAAAAATTAATTTAAAGAGGAAAAGCTAAATTTACTACTTTTAAAAAAAGGATGTTACAATGGCGACAAATTTGGGAGGATTACGTAATTGATGCTGTCATCGGAGTTTAAGTTTGAAACGCACACTAGGCTAGGGAGACAAAAGGGATTTGACATATGACTTTAATTTGATCTCTTTTAGCTGGCATGATGAATTGTTAACTTTCCGGAGAATGAAAGAAAACGTTTCAAGTAAGTTGGATACCAAGTTTGCATGGTTTTGGATTAGACTAAAGTGCAATTGCATATTATATATTCTTCCTGTCGCAAGCAATTACGTTCCCTTCCTTCCCTCCGGTACTGTAAAGCCGGTCAAGAATCGCCGCCTCAACTGTGGAAGTAAGTGACCCCAATCCAATCCAATCCTACTATAAATAGGACCGTCTCCGGTACCCAGCAGCAGACAAGAAAAGGAGAATATTGTTGAGGCCTGAGAGAAATAATAATCATGGCAAAATTGGTGAGCAACAAGCAGGTGATTTTGAGAGACTACGTATCTGGCAGGTATCCGACCGAGTCGGACATGTATGTGAAGACAAGTAACATAAGCTTGAAGGTTCCACATGTACAAGGACAAGGAGAAGGGCCTTGTAATAATATTGTGTTGGTCAAGAACCTCTACTTGTCCTGCGATCCAATGATGCGATTTCTCATCATGGATACTTCTCATTACAAAATGACCAAATACGATTATTGTACCCCTGGCTCTGTAAGTCATCTTTTAAATCTATCACAATTTTGTTGGTTTAATTCTTTTGGGGGTGGAAATTATTTAAGATGCAGGCATGAATGTATAATATAATATCCTGTATATATATATATGCAGCCAATTTGTGGGTATGGTGTGGCCAAAGTTTTGGACTCCAGTAATCCAGAATTTAAAGAAGGTGACTTAGTATGGGGGCTAACCAGATGGGAAGAGTATAGCTTCATCACAAACACTGAAAGCCTCATCAAAATCCAGCACACTGATGTACCTCTTTCCTACTATACTGGAATTCTGGGTAAGTACATATCCATACATACAACTCATTTGATCAAATCTCTGCTTGTCTCTCTATAAACTATTCGAACTCTCATGTGATTATAAATATGGTCTGCTCCCATCCCATTATATATCAGTCGTCGTAACTACTTTTACATTTCTTTCTTTGTGATCTGATACGACCCGATCCAATCCAATCCTCTGCCGTAGGTATGCCCGGTAAGAGTGCTTATGCTGGTTTCTTTGAAGTATGCACTCCGAAGAAAGGGGAATGCGTGTTCGTGTCTGCAGCATCCGGAGCAGTTGGGCAGCTTGTGGGGCAATTTGCAAAATTGGCTGGTTGTTATGTTGTTGGAAGCGCTGGAAGTAAAGAAAAGGTAACCTTCTTATTGGCTTCAAATTCATTATTGCATAAGAATAACTCCTGCCTAGTTTTTCATTTTTATTTTATTGTCTTTGTTTGTGAATCTTGGTTTAATTAAACTAGGTTGACCTGCTGAAGAATAAGTTGGGGTTCGATGAGGCCTTCAACTACAAGGAGGAGCATGATTTAAACGCAGCTCTGAAAAGGTATTTTCCTCAAGGCATTGATGTCTACTTTGAGAATGTTGGTGGGGATATGCTGGAGGCTGTGCTGCTCAACATGAGAGAACACGGTCGCATCGCTGTTTGCGGAATGATTTCACAATACAATCTTCCCGAGCCTCAAGGAATTAAAAACTTGATGCAAATTGCATTTAAGAGACTGCATATACACGGATTTACACATCGCGATTACGATCACATCGTGCCCAAATACTTAGACTTTGTGCTGCCTTACATCCGCCAAGGCAAATTAGTGTATGTGGAAGACATAGTTGAAGGCCTTGAGAATGGTCCAGCAGCCCTGGTTGGGCTCTTCAATGGCCGCAATTTTGGCAAACAAGTCATTGCACTTGCTCACCAATGAATCATCAAATCGAAGTTAGTTCTTGTATGATCTCTACTTGTTAATTCTTCAGTGTTGTTGTTGTTGTGCCTTCTTCTTATATAGCCTATGGCTAGTTCTGCTTGTAATTCTCTGTCCGTCCTTTGAGAAAGTAAGGGTCAGGTTGGTTTGGTGGGATTCCTCAAGCATATTATTGTAATTTGCATCGGCTACAATAATTTGTTTAAAAAATGTAGCAGGGCCGATCCATTGATATTGGAGGCCCTGGACAGAAATAAAAATTGAGGTATTTTATCTTCAATATTTACCTTATTTTGAACAAAAATTAAAAATAAAATTTCAAATTTAAGTTTGTTAATTTATATAAAAGAGGACCACTACATGAAAAGTTAAAAAAAAGGCCCACATAAATTTAGAATAAAGCCAAAAATGCATCAGTTCTACACATAAAATCTTGTATATTTTACTGAGCTTTTAAGACGTGTACGGAAAATAAAAGTATTATTGAAAAATACATAAGTACGTGTATAATACGAGTATTAAATGGAAAAATATTAAATTCTTTATACGGATAATAACTCTGGAAAAGTAAAAAATCAAAAGGAAGAATTATATGACTAATATATGGAAGAAGGAAGTATTATTTAAAAATACATACATATGTGTACAATACGAGTATTAAACGGGAAAATACTAAATTCTTTATATGGATAATAACTTTGGAAAAGTAAAAAATAAAAAAGGGACAATAGAGACTCGGGTGATGACCTAATATTAATGGATAATGTTCTAAACTACTCTTATTTATAAACGAAAATTGGGGAAAAAATATTTTATATATAAAAAAAAAGGGATGCCAAAATGTATTTAAAGAGTATAGCCGCGCGGCTATACTATTTATTAAAAAGTTTTTTAAAAAAGGACCCACGTATAGCCGCATGGCTCTACTTGAATATAGTATATTTAAAAAGTATCGCAGCACGGCTATACTATTTCCCACCTACCGCCTAAAACTAAGGGGACCCTTTTGGGGGGGGAAAAAAACAATATAAAAGTATAGCCGTTCGGCTATATTATTAATTTGAATATATTATATTTCAACAGTATGGCCGCATATTAAAAAAAATAATAATAATAAAGAAAAACCGAAACTCACCTCCTCAAGTGCCCAGCATCTCCATACATGGAGTTGGGAGTTGGACTACACTGAATCATTTCCACTATCAAATTCTAAAACACAGATATATGTATACACACACACACATATATACATACATGTGTTATACACATCTGGTAAATCACCAATTCGCTGACACATTTAGAACCATACGTCAGGTTCTCTGCATCATCTTTCCTCTTCATCCTGACCTTCAGAAAAAGCCCCGGAAATGAAAACCATTCTCTCAATTGAGCCCAAATTTTATAGGCAAATTACAAAAGGAGATGTGGGCAGATTTGAGCACATCCCAATTGAGTCGCGTTTATCCCAATTTTATAGAAGAAGGGAGTGAGAGCATTTTTGCTCACCACTTTAACCAATGTGTACCCTTAGCACCATTTTCAATACTTGACATGTGTCCATTCACATAACCATGGTTCCATAAATACAATAGTTATGTTAATGGATACGTGTCAAGTGTTGAGAAATGTGATGATAGTACATCTTGGGTTAAAGTGGTGAGCAAAAATATTTTCATTTGCTTTAGCCACGTTGTCACACTTACGATCTCCACACTTGCACAAAAATAGCATGATTGGTTGGTGTAATGACAATGTTAATTAATCAATCCAAGTAATCGTTTGTCAATGTTTGAAACCCTAATTTTTGTCGTGACTTTTTGTATTACACGACTTAAAGATTTTTATTTTAACTTTCGCTATTGTATTTGTGGCAAAATAAGCCAAATTTACTATTAAAACAAAAAAAAACCAATAAAACAAATTCGACTCATTTACAAATTTTGGTAAAACTTGAATTGAGAAGTAATCTGACTTCATTGATGTATCTCTATCATATTACAAACTACAGATCTGTACAAGATCAAGTTAATCTGTATAATTAAGTGTTATTCACACAATTAAGCATCCTGTTTGCAAAGTCGTTGATCATTGATTTAACTGTACAAGAAGCCAATGCAAATAACTTGAATTGGATATATGCCTGGTAAATCACTGATTCGGTTGGAAAAAGAAACGAAGCAGGACGTGATTCGGCCTCGAACATGATAGTAAATACTAGGGCTGGGCATTTGGACCCGAAACTTGGCCAAACCGCCCAAATCAAACCGATGGGTTGGGTTGGTTTGGTTTTTTTTCAATTTTTTTTTGGTCATCGGTTTGAACCCAAATCAAACCAAAATATATAGTTCGGTGTATGGTTTGCAATATTTAAAACCACGGTTTAACCAAACTAAACCGAAGATATTAAAAATTATTATAAGAAATATATATATATATATAATACATAGTTTCAATCTTTTCTTTTTCTTCTCTCTCAATCTCTCCGTTTGTCTTGTCTTCATCAGTCTCTCTCTATTTTTTTTCTTCTCATTCTTCTTATATCTGTCTTCACTCCCTCTCCCCGTCTCCCTCTTCTTCTCTCTCTTTTCTTTTTCTTCTTCTTCTTCTCCTTTTTTTTTTTTTTTTTTTTTTTTTTTTTTTTCTTCTCTCTCCATTGCTTTTATTTCTTCTCTCTCTCTCTCTCTCTCTACGAGCCAAAAAACCGAAACCGAACCAAACCAAACCACCAAGTCCAGTTAACTGAAGTGGTCGGTTTTCATCAATTATGGTTTGGTTTCGGTTTTCAAAATAGCCAAACCAAAGCCTACGGTTCGGTGTCGGGTTGCGCCCAAAATCGAACCAACCCAAACTGAGCCCAGCCCTAGTAAATACCAAAGGATTTGAACCTTCAAAGAACCAAGAAGTGGGAACAAACAACCAGTGGAGCTGAAGAGAAATCCTTTCTTCCCTTTGAAAAGGTAGTTTCTTCCCCTCTAATGATGAACATAATGTTGCTCTTCCATCGTCTGAGTACCTTTATGGACATAATGATGAATATAAAGTTTGACAAACTTACGAGAATCCTCATGCTTGATACTTTGCCTGACTTTTCTATTTCTTGTTGTTGACAGCTTTGCAGGATATGGACAAAGTTGACGAGCGCTAAAAATGCATGCTCCCATATGGACGTGCAAAAGCTGCCTTGACAATGAGACTGAGACTGACTGAAACCTCAAAAGATAATTCGAGCCAATAGCTGGAGTCCGACTTGATCCCGAAATATCTTGGGGAGGGGAGATGAGGAAGCCACGCTGCTGATCAAAATGGTGATGGACGAATCTTCTCAGTTTCCCTCCGTAGATCTGAAAAACACGCAAGTTAGAAATTTCATCTCCAAATAAGGAATTCATGTAGGAAGACTCCCCTCGTGTTCCATCAAGCTACCCAGACATTTACCAAGTCACTATATATATAGTTCTAGTGACACAACAGTTCTGACATTAAGTCGAGTTAATCTATATTGGGAGAATTAAGACAGGCCACCAAGACGTATACATTATATGTGAATGATTTTGCACAGAATAACTCAGTGAGAAAATTATCAGAACTATACATATGACCTATAACCGTGACAAGGAAACCATAGAGGAACATATTATATTCATGAAGATCAAACCCTAATTGATGCAGATCTACAAATACCTCTTCTAAATCATGAATCCAAACCCTAATCTGATAAATTTTGAACCATATAGTCCAACCAACATAGGATCGTCAAAACTAATGGTGTTCCAGATCTAGTGTTTTTTTATAGCAAGGCGATCAGAAATTTGGTAAATTTAGATAATCAAAACACACTGCTTGTTCCACTCATGCCAAACAAATCAGAAGAAAATATATTTTGTAAATATGAAGGGATTACCTGAGCAGCCGTGGCATCTCTTGAGATTTTTTTTTGGTACTCTTTCTTCCTAGAGTGAGCTCGTCAGGCCAGGCCCCTATTCGAAAGAGTTCTACAAAACAAACTCAAATATAATAGTTAGAGAATTGAAATCAAATAATTATATAAAACAGAAAGTGTTACTTTAGATCTTTGTATATACCCGTCTGGTGAATCACTAATCCGATGTTAAATTTAGAATTCTCGAGGCTTTCAGCATCATCTTCCTCTTCATCCTGGCCTTCAGACATACCCTCAGACGCCAAAACCATTCCCTCTATTGAACCCAAGATATGATGAGCTCAGTTTTGTAGAAGAGGTGAACGGCGGTTTTGACAAACAATGGCTTAAATATATCATGATCATCTGTTAGGTATTAGGGTTTGGTGGGTCTATCTTATCTGCTACAGCCTTCGCCAGGTTCTATTTGGCAAGTGTTTTCGTTCCCTGCCAGTGCCAGGCCTATGAGATATATATTTATGTTTCCAAACAAAATGTATGAAATAAATTATACAAAAAATATATATGACTTAAATGAAAAATAAATTTATATTTTCAGAAATAAAAAATTACTGGATTCCCTAAGAAAATAAAAAAATAAAAAAAATACCTAATTTTCTATGATGTTAATAGTAAAAGCTTTCGTGATGTTTCATGTATGAGTGCAAACATGTCGTACAAAGAAGCAACTCATTCTTTCATAAAAACGACGATCTAATTATTGAAGTTGCTAATCAATGAGCACGTAAAAGATATATCAATGAAAGGTTTGTCATTTCCTCTACTCTATGACGTGTTCCTTGAGCTACACACACATCATCCATATTGAGAATGTCAATATCGTGCTTGCCATAAAAGGAAGAAACTTTCTGCTTGTTTGGGAGTGATTTTGATAGGGCAACATCATTTATGGGGAGAAACACTCTATGTCCTTCTCCATAAAATAACTTAAAAACTACTTAAAGTGATTATTGATTTATACGGAATCACTCACAAACGAGCCCTTTATCAAGTAAAATATCTCATTCATATCCCTCATTGTTTGCAATTATTGCTTACAAGCTTTGACTAAAGCCAAAACATTCACAACATCTTCATCTTTTTTGTTTTTTATTTTATATTATTTTTTATAATGCTTGTGACAAGGCATTTCTGATCCCCAATGCACTTTTCTTCAAAGATAGACAAAATACAAAATGGAAAAATTGCATCAATTCAAACAAATTACTTGCTTGGCCTCTGTGATAATAATTTACTTCATTTTCAAGAATCCATTAGTAACACAAGAGATGTGATGCTTGTTGGTTGAGGAATTTTATCATTGGGATGGGATTAACGTGATTGAATCCATTGAGAGGCCGATTCAGCTTTATTGTGATAATCAACCAGCTATATTTTTCGCAAAGAACAACAAGAGATCTGACGAACTCGTGTCAAATACTTGTTGGTAAGAGAGAAAGTAAAGGAATGACAAACTCGTGTTGATTATACCAGTACTGATGACATGTTAGTTGACCCTATTGCGAATCAATGTTTAGGAAACATGTAGCGGCTATGGGTTAGTTCCAGACTTTGATGCCGCGAGCTAGTGAAGTTTTGATTTTGTTTTCATGTTTTAGCTAATTTATTTTCTCATGTTAAAACCATTGCATATACACAAGGTTGATTGTTTATTTATGCAATGAGGTATTTTTATTTCGAATTTCAATTTCTCATCGTGGTTGTGTTATTGTATTTCGATAACATGTTGATGCAAATGGTCATGTGTTTGCTCTTAGACCTATATGACCCATGTTTGATAAGAGCAAATGGAAAGTTTACTGAAATCTTTCGGAGGACCAAATACATGTTAGTGGATGGAGTGTGTGTTCCCATTTGTTACAATAAGCTATATTGTTAATCCACTTATGCCTAAGTTCCTGGTATGGTTGCATATCAGTGGCTTTTTGGGATATGTCTGACTAATATAACATAGGAAGTTTCACTAAAACACCCAAAATGGGGGCTGAAATTATAAAAAAACATAATACCCAAAACACTTTATAAACACACCCAAAACCCATCATTACACACACTCAAAACCCATTTATAAACACACCCAAAAAATATACAATTGTTGATTTTGGGTGTGTTTCTATGTTTAAATAGTGCTTGGGTTTTTTTATAAATACATGTCTAAAATTGGGTTTATTTATAAATTTGTATATAACATACTCCTTTATTGGTCCTATGTGTTGATCATATTTGACAAGAAACTTGTTTTAGAATTTTTGGCTTAATTACCTTTCATGGTGGACAATTAATGTATTCATGGTTAGCTAATTGTTCGCCCGAGTGGGAGAATGCATAAGGGCTTTCGGGCTCCATCATTAGTATATGGGCTTGTTGTGTACTACCTATTGGTACATGATTTATTAATGGGAAACATATATGGGCCAATAATAATAGGCGGACTCAATATCTGTTATATGGTGATTTCTTATTTTTGGGCTTGGACTGTTCCTACTTGTAGATTAGGTTTTTCCTTGATGGATGGGAATACTAATTGATACAATAGGAAACCAGAGTCTTCATACTACAATCAGCAAAAGGCTGAGCAGCAAGATCTTCCGAGAGTGTGTAGGAAGATTGCAAGAGTGAGAAGCAAGAAATCTGTTTCAGACTTAGACGAAGAGACGTAGTCGAAGGACGAGGTAGATGAAGCGTGATTTTGTTTTCTCCGTACTCTAATTTTGAGTTGAGAAAGGAGAAAATGTCATTTTGGCATTTTCACGTTTTACACTTTATGCGTAAATTCATTCTCCCAAATCATTTTCTGTGTTTTTGTCAACAACTCACCGAACGCATTTTCTATTCGTATTTGGTCTCAGAAAATGAAAACGGGCCTCTAAATATGCTACCGAACAGCCCCTAAGTAAGCTAGAATTCTATAGCAAGGACCTTATATATGGCCCTTAGGTTACTTAAACACTGAAATTCTTGGGTTAAGGGTTTTTTCAAACAGGAGTATTTACTTAAACACTGAAACCTTTGCTTGTTTATTGTTAATTAGCCTAGAGTTTATATTAAAGTACAGGCTGTTTCTAAGAGAAGTTATTCATTGGTCATATAGATTACACATCGGAGACATTTCCCTTCAATGAGTAAATCAAAAGCTTTGTTGATTTCTTCAAACCTGATCTCGTGTGTCACAAACTCAATCAAGTTGTAGTTCATGAAAAAAAAACGAAAAAAAAAAAAAAAAAAAAAAAATAAAAAAAAAAAATATTAATTTAGAATGAATATATGTCCAAGGTATATAAGTTAGGCAAACCACCCCTATATAAACAGATAGATGCTATAAATTACCTTGTCCTTATATCGATTGATGAGGACAGCGATATCAGATTTAGGTTTGAGTCCTCCAAATAAGGATCCCGTGAGGGTTTTGCCAAAAATGATATCAAGAGAGGGAAGAGTCACCTGTGAGCCCGGTCCGTCCATGCCTAAAACAACTGTTTTTCCCCAACCCTGAAGTTGAAAAGAAATGTTTAGATATTGTTTTGTATCAAAATTTAAACTTGTAGCTATTTTGGCCAAAGTAGGTGGTGGAGGATGGGAATTTCCTCCTTGTGCATATATACCAAGTACATGCAGAATTTTCAAAGTGAAAGTATATTTTCATGATTTTGCTTGGAGATCAAGTTAACATCTCAAGGATGGGCAAACAGTGGTCTAAGTAGAGATGATGACAATGGGTTAAATTAGGGGTGGGTATGCCATTTCCATCTCCATCCCCGTCTAAGCTCAAAACTCTTATAAGCACATCAAACAAACTTTCCAACAGACTTCAACAAATTCCTGAAACACATTTCTTACATATATTTCAAAAATTACTACCTAGGATGATCGTTCAATGCAAAATAAGGCTCAGCATAGACTTCACAAATTATGATATATGTGGTATAGAAACTTCTGATCGATTTCTTAATATATAAGCGTCACTCTCTCTTCCCGCCTCTTAATTTTAGTAACCTTGTTGAAATTTCCACTTTGCTAAGTTTTTTTAGTTTAAAAAATAATGATAATTTCTTCTTTTGGGGTCAACTTTGCTAACTTAATGATGTCCTTTGTGTCCACTTTTTTGAAAAGGAACAATATGGGTCTAGTAGTGTTTTTTCAATTAAGTTTATGTAGTTGTACTCTTTTGTTTTTTCGTTTCCTAATGAGGTTATTGTTGTTAGATTTCAATTACAATCAATGATAAATTTCCTAATTTATTGATGAAAATATTACAAGATTCAAGCATTTGATGTAAAGATAGGAACTTAATTGAAATGGAAATCAAACTTTAGAAACATATTTGATGTAAAGATAAAACAAATAAAAAACAATCGTTCAAATGATAAATTGACATTGAAAGATGTTGCACATTGGTTCAAAAATTGTGAATTGCCCTACGGGTTTAGACTAGTGAAAAAGAGACCAAACCCCACATGATCAATATGATACATAGCACTTTCTTGATAGGACCAAATATGGGAGAGAGAGAGGGGCAGACCTTTCGGCAGCAAGCGTAAGCTTCTTGCATCAGTGATATCAGCCCAACACATTCAAAGCAATAGTCTGCACCCCCGCCAGTCATTTCCTTGATCACCTGCTTCATACATGTAAAAAAAAACTGTAAATCCTTAGCAAAATAACCAAATCAATCAGAAGTGAAAGCCGAAGCCACCAAAAGCATATCAACATCCAGTAATATAATCTTTTAATTTCAAGAATAAGTGTGCATATGAGTACAAAAACAAGTAATGAAATCTCCAAAGTTTGGTGCATAGTTGTAGAGAACCTCGCTCACAGAATTATTCTCACAATTCGCAGGGTCAACAAAGTCAGTGAGCCCAAACTTTTTTCCTGTGTCAATAAGAAAAAGAACAAGTCTGCATTGATCAGATTCAGATTAAGCACATCATACATCAATTCACAGGCACAGCATAAAGTATAATCAAGCTAAGATCCAATTACCAATTTCAAATTTGTCTCGGTTCACATCCACGCCAATAATTCTAGCTGCTCCACAAAGTCTTGCTCCCTCCGCGACCTGGAGAGTTCAACCATGGATATGATCCTAGAGTGAATCAAATATGGACAATGAGGAATAGAAGTAAAAAGAAAACAAGTTCTGCAAATGCATACAGCTAATCCAATTGAACCCAGCCCAAATATAGCAACGGTTGATCCCTTCTCCACCTTTGCTGTTCTCCAAGCAGCACCAACTCCTGAAACCGAATTGAAGAAATAACAATTCAAGTCTAAATTTTGCAAACACCGCCACATCAAGTCAAGAAGAATGTCTACAAGTTTAGGAATTTCAAGTTTACCGGTCGATACTCCACAGCTCAGGAGGCAGGCCCTGCTTGGGGGTATTGCAGTGTCAATTTTTGTGATATGGGCTATGTCTACCACTGTATACTCAGTAAAACTAGACACGGAGAGGAAATGGTATAAAACCTCCCCACTGAGGTCCGTGAATCTGCTCGTCCCGTATCTTGGCATAAAATTTGAGGGCCTGGGGAATTTCGCACATAGGTTGCTCCTTGTCGATTTACAATCTGCACACTCTCCACATTCTGACACGAATGTTGGGATGACGGTATCTCCCTCAGTCACCTCATTGACATCCTCCCCAACACTCTCCACAACCCTACAAGGAAATTTATATATCTCCTTCAGTTACCTCATTGACATGTATATGTTGGTATTTTTATTTGCTGTTGATTGAGTCAAATATGAAGGGGCAGATCTAGGAATTTATTGCAGGAGAAGAAAAAGTGGTGGAAGAAGAGAAAACCCATCATTTGACAAAGTATCTTCTCTTAAATAATAGCATATAAATCTATGAAAAAGAAAGAGAAACACATCATTTCACATCCTGAAAGTAATAGAGAAATAGACAATTACTAAAGAGATAGCGGTCTTTCTTTAACAATAATATGGTTTGAAAGGTAAGATCACAAAGTCTTGGAGCTCACCCAATAGCTTCGTGACCAAGAATTCTTGGGAAAATTGCAGGGAAGTCCTGGCAAAACAAGAAGCTATGGATAAGCATCAACTCTTAATTATTGTAAATAGTAGCATACCAAATAACGAAAAAGAGATGCTAAACAAGAACCTTCATTTTCCAGAAGGAGAGATCGGTGTGACACAGAGAGGTACATATAATTCGAATACGGACTTCATGAGGCATCGGGGGTGCCACCATGATCTCTTCAATCACTAGAGGCTCACCTGGTTTGCGACTCACAGCAGCTGCCATTTGTATTACATATTTACATGCAACATGATCAGTTTCAGAGTCTCAGACTATTCAAAAACAATATATGCAATAAATTTAAACTAACAATTAAGCTTATCAATAATAAGAACCTCTGCATCGAATCGGCTTCCCTCGGCTTTCACTTGGCAATTTCTCATCATCCATAGCGGCCATAAGAGCGCACACACACTCTCTCTCCCCCCCGGACTAATCTGTCAGTCTTCCTGTGAGTGTGTATTGTGTACAGGACATGCTTGAACGGCTGAGACTTCGGTGTCCAAGGATAAGTTTTCAACGAAAAATAAATATAATAAAAAATGACCCAATTTGAAGTAGAGTTAGGTAAAGAGACAATGCAAAGACAATTAGGAATGCGTGAACAGAAGTTTTCCAATGATGAGCATCTTACCAGCAATGACCCTACAATGAATCAAACAAACGATATAAGACATGTCACATGTGTTAATGAAGTTAAAGAATGAAAAACTGTCTTTCCAGCTGTGTTTGATGTACGTTTTGGTAACTCGCGTGAATGGCATGGGTTGCATCATGCAACAAAAAATAATGAAACTATATTGAATCAAAATTGCAAAAAGAAAAAGGACACACCATTGACTCTGAAGCCATATAAATGACATTGGAGATTAAAATTCACCCAGCATGACAGAGCAGATACAAAGTAAAGGAGGGAAAATCCAAACTCTACCCAGAATGACAGAGCTGCAGCAGGAAAGTGTCACTCAAGCTACAACTTATATGATATACAAATCGCTAATGGGATTCTGAAAATCCCAAAAATAATAAAAAGAATAAAAGAATATAAAGTTGGTATATATTGTGAAGTATAAAAGTATGGACTAGTTTGTCATTTCAAGACAGTGTGCTGTGTGCATTTAGGAAGCTGATCTGTTGGGCTTTTTTAGTCTTCTACTGAAATGAAGAAAGAAATACACTTCAAATAAATAAACATTATATGTTGTGCCAGTTAGGATGTTGAGGTTCCACCAAATTTTTTTATTTGGAGCATATGTGATCGTTGGGCTTCATACATGATTAAATGCCCAGTGAGTTCTTATCATTTGTAGTCAAAATTTAGCATCTAAATTCATAAACGTTAGTTTTTATAAAAACTTTCAAACTTATTTGACTCATATACCTCAAAATCAAAAACCAAACAAAGCTGAAAACCATATCACCTGATTATCATACCAAAATAATATAAATAGTTTGTCATTACCAGCAGATCACTTTCATTTGTGTATGAATTGGTCTAGACTGTCCATCCCCTCTTGAGTACTTGTCCCCTCCAAAATAAAACAGTTGGTGTCATATATGACTCACACCAACCTGCAAAAGTGGATGAACCCAAAGAATATACCAACTTATAAACTTAACCAAGAGGTTGGAGGAAGGTATGGAAAAAGTAGTATATACAAAATGCTAAGACCAACTTGTTAATTATAATAAAAATTATGAATGTTCAACCATCTAGTTTTCAACAATGGAAGGAGATGTACCACTAAACTAAGAGTTACTTATTTTGTTAATTATAATAAAACTAGGACCTCTTACAACATTGGAAAGAGATGTACCACTAAACTAAGAGTTACTCATTTTGAAATGAACATACTTCTAATAAGTTTTTGTTAACAAAAATGCTAGTCATATATAGTACATATATACTACATTGTGTACCACCTCTCTAATAAAGGTGAGCCCCGTTGCATTGGTGGCTCCACCTTTATTAGAGAGTTGATACATAAGGTGATATGCAAATGTGGTATCTCTAGCATTGCTCTTTTGTTAATAGCATTTGTAAAATTAATAACGAAAGATTTGGTTAGTTGCGGTGCAGTGATCTCGATTAATCATCATTGCAATCATCTATTACAGTCACAACAACAACTTACACATTAGGAGCTGGAAATGGAAGAAAGTAATCTGACTACTCCAAATGACACAGAAAACCCATACATTGAATTAGCAACATCGATTAGAAAGGACTTGGATAGCTAATCTCCCCCGGCATATGATCGTTGTATCTACAGGGTTCCTGAGCATCTACGGTGTATAAAAGAAAAGGCCTACACACCACAGGCAGTCTCTATAGGCCCATTTCACCATGGTAAGGAAAGCCTAAAAGCCATGGAAGAACAGAACATAAGGTACCTACAAGATTTTCTATGTCATAGTAAGTTAAACTTGGAGATTTGTATTATAATAACAAAGGACCACGAAGCACGTTTGCGTGGTTGTTACGATGAAACCATTGAGTTTTGCAGTGATGAATTTGTACGAATCATTCTAGTAGATGCTGCCTTCATCATTGAGGTCTTATTGAGGTGGAGTTTCCGCGAATTGCTGGATGAGAATGACTGGACATTTTACAGACCAGTTACAATGGCAGTTACAAATTTATTAGACATGCAGATGCTTGAAAATCAACTGCCATTCTTCATTCTTAACCCAGACAAAGACAAACTCCCTATGTGTGATGAGAGTCTTTCAATACTTGATCTTTCTGTCAAGTTCTTCCAGGATCCCATGTTTCGAGAGGAAACTGACGATTTATTTGAAGTAGAACATTTTGTTGGTTTAGTAAGAGCTTTAAGTAGACCGAATTTTGAACTTTCAGCAGAACTCAAAACCATCACCATACCAAGCATGACAGAGCTACATCAAGCAGGAGTCACATTTATGGTAGGGTCAAGCAAAAATTTATTCGACATACGTTTCACCAATGGGATTTTGGAAATTCCAAAATTGAAAATATCCCCCGCAATAGAGTTTGTAATTAGAAATATCCTTGCATTTGAACAATGCCATATGCATTGTGATGAAAATTACATAAATGATTATGTTGTCATCATGGATCGTTTTGTGAACACCCCAAAGGATGTGGAGTTGCTTGTTGAGCATGGAATAGTTGAAAATCTGCTAGGTGACAGCACCGGAGCTGAACAAGTAGTGCAGAACGCCCTGTCACAGATGAAGGCAAATTTGAGGCAAAACTATTTCAACACACCTTGGGCAACTATTTCTGTCGTTGCAGCTGTTGTTCTCCATCTCTTGAGTGTCATTATTTTACATGGAATAAAATCTTTACCTTTGTTTTCTTTTGATAAATATAAGGGTTACTTTTAGTAGGCATGTCGCACATTTATTCCAAGAGGAAAATAATATAACTTCTCCAACACCAGAAGATTACCAAAAATCATACAGCCAACTAATCTGCACATTTATTCCAACAGGAAGAGATGATAGACATAACAAGATAACTAGGTGAACCATCCAAGGATGGAGATGTTGGGCCACATATCTAATTTTTGATACCAAAAGAAATCACTTTCTGCATCATTATTTACGACTGATGTTACTGTAGATAAAGATCACTTCTACTATGCCACTCTTTGCGAGAACCCGATCAAGATTTGTAACCCTATTTTCTTCTCCATTTTTGTATGAAGATATTCAACCATTGTGTCTGAGAAACCTCATTGTGTTCTATGAATTCAAGATTTTTCATATGGAATATTATAAGAATAGATTCTGCAATTTGCTCCCTTTATGACAATTAGGGGCCGGCACGATCCATATTGAATCGGTTTTATTGTAAAATTACGGCCGAACTAATTACAATATAACGGTTTGGTTTGGTTCAATTTTGACAAAAATCATGAAGAAAATCGAACCAAAGCAAACTAGTTTAAGACGGTTTGGTTCAGCTGGTTTGGGCCTAAGCCCAATTCTCTTTTGCATATTTCCAACATTGTTAGAGCAATTACAACCAACAAATTCACAACTTGCTTCATACTTAAATAATTTTCTAAGTATGATACCATCATAAAACTTCAAATTTTAATAACTAATATGGTTCAATTCAAATATACATATATAGTTATTGCCTAATTAGAGTATTACACATGTAAACTATAATATAAATAAATAAATATATATGGACCGATTCGATTTTTAAATAGTTTCACTTTTTCTTTGTCAAAACCAAACCAAACTAGTAATAATGATTTGGATCGGCCAATTTCATTAGTTCGACTGAATTGATGCCCACCCCTAATGACGACTTATATATTATTAAGTTTTCGAAGTGAAATTGTTTTGTCTAAAAGATAGTTGAAGCTAACAAAAAAAGGGTTAATTGTTTTATTAGCCCCTGAACTTAGACTCGATTTGCATTTGAGTACCTTGATTTCCAAAATGGTTCCCGTAATCCCTTAACTTAACTTTCGTTAGAACAAATGGTTTTGCCATTAATTTTGTTAACTTTTCTGTTAAATGCATGGGCAAAATGATATTTTTATATTAAAATCAAAAAAATGAATAAAAAATCATATCTATGATCAATCTTGACCACAACTTGATAGATTGCTTGAGTATGATGCATGGGGCCTTGCTACCCTAAATCCATACTCTACAGATCTCCTCTCTTGACCCTTGCTTTTCTTGTGACGGCAGCGACATATCTGTTGGTGGCAACGGCGGCTTGTTTTGTTTAGGGTTAGATTTTAGGGTTTTTGCATTTTGTGGGCTTTTGTTGTTTTGGGCCTGCTATTTTGGCACTTAAGGTTGAGTTTTTATTTTGTTCAGTTTGAGCCTAGGCAGTAGTCTTTTGTTTAGAGACGGACACACTCCCCTGGGAGGTGTCGATACTCTGATCTCTAAGCTGATTACTTGTTCCCGGTGTCTGTTTGTGTTTTGTTGGCTTTGTTTTTGGGCTGTTGGTAGCCTTCTGGTGTTTGCTCTTTGTTTGCTGCGTCTAGCTGGTGGTAGTCGCGTTTCACCTTCTGATGTACTCTCTTTTGTTTAATGGAATGTATATTTGACCCCCCAAAAAAAAAAAAAATCCCTAATCCACAAGCAAAATGTGCTATTATTTTCAAATTCAACACATCCATATGATCTACTAAAGTATATCGGTATAATGAAAGCAGATCTTGGTCAACGGAAACCGATGTAACCCAAATTGTCAATTGCTACAACACCGTGTGCTTTTCAATTCAGTAACAATTTTTTTTTTTCTCATTTTCTTTTAGGGATAGAATACTCTTTGTTATTCTTATTCACATACTATTGAATGCAGCGGCAGTGATGTGCGGCTGGGTTGGGGAGCCACATTGGCCGGCGACACGATGAAAGGAGGATTTATGATGGTAAAACATGGGTGTTGTGCAGTAGTAGGGTTGGCATTGACTTTTGGTTGACTCGGGATCAGAAATTAAAATGAGGCCCTTTTATGTTTCATCATCTTGAATATAGTAAACTAAAAAAGAAAAATAAGGTTTAGGGAGAAGGTTATAATGCCCTTTTTCTTTTTGGTCAATAAAGCTTCATTAAGCAACCGCAAAAGGCTCACAAGAACAAGAGAGCCAAAAACCAAAGAAAAACAGAAAAAAAAAACAGAGCAACAATGAAAAAGTTTAAAGAAAATTATAAGAATTTGTTGTAGCATCTGGTTTTTGCAAAAAGATTTTATAAATAATATATTCACAAAGAGAATATCTCGTATGAAATTGCAGGAACATAAAACAAAAATAAATAAATAAAAATATGTTTGTTGGTTGCTCTGTAGAAGATTTGTTTGTTTTGGTAGACTTTAAATTGTAATGTTGTAGTATTGAAATCGCTAATCATATTTGAGAGTTGTTTTCCAGTACTAACTACAATGAGTAATGACATCAATATGACATAAAGGGTCAAAGTCAAGCATCCAAAGGAAGAATCGTAGTCATCCTTCTGCCACGCGTCATGACAGGGATCCATAACCACTGGCTTAACAGAATTGGGGCTAAAACGAAACAGACAGATAAACAAAATAAAATAGGCAAAAACAATTTCAAGCCCAAATGAATGAGCGGACCCCACGTGGTCCGTGCCTCTGCGGTGCAGGAGGAAGTCCACGTGAGGGAAGTGGAGGAGGCGGGAAAGAAGAAAGCACGCAGATTTGGCAAAGTGTGTGCGCCGGGGGTTTTGCATAGAGAGCCGGAGATTCCTTCTATAGCTGGAAGGGACCGGGGCCGAATTCGTCATTTCACAAAGCGTAAAAAAAGTTTGAAAATTAAAAGAGGCAGTGCTGTAGAGAGAGTGGACCTGGACCAGTGTAGGTGGGTTGGGTTAGGGAGTTGGTCAGACTCAGGAGGAGGAGAGGTGTGGGGCCCACTATATACACAGAGAGAGAGAGAGAGAGAGAGAAAACTTCCTATTCATCCCCAATCCTCAAAATGGCGTCAACTTCTATCTGAGCTGGCAGTCATGCCAGCCTGTATCCAGCTGTCTCCCAACCCCCATCCCCCCAAAAAAAAATCACAATTAAAAATTCATCTCTCTCTCTCTCTCCCCTCTAGCCCTTTACACTTTCCAATTTAGAAACTCAATAAACAAACACACAGAGCACAAAACCAGAGCATCAATGGCATTGCCCTAGACTGAGGGAGAGGAACTTCTGCTTTGCATTTACTTTGCTTTCTGCAATGGATCCCTGCCCATTCGTGCGGGTCACAGTGGGCAATCTCGCTCTCAAGATCCCAGTCGCTTCCAAGCCCGCCCGTTCCGTCGTCCACCCTTCGTCAGCTCCATGCTTCTGCAAGATCAAGCTCAACAACCTGCCCCCTCAAAACGCCGTCGTACCCTGTCTCCCGCCTGAGGCCCAAACCCTCGACAGCGCCGCTCAGGCAAACGGCGTCGCCGCTACTTTCCACCTTAGCAAGTCGGATCTGGACCGGGTCGGGTCCAAGTCCATATTCGCCCCCAAGCTCTGCCTTAAAATCTCGATATACACGGGTCGCAGAGGCAGCACCTGCGGCGTCAATTCCGGAAGGCTGTTGGGTCGGGTTTCCGTGCCGCTGGATCTGGCGGGAACCGAGTCCAAGCCCAGTGTGTTCCACAACGGGTGGGTCTCCGTCGGGAAAGGCGTCCTCAAAGGCGTGTTCTCGGCCCAGACCCAGTTCCATTTGAATGTTAAGGCCGAACCCGACCCGAGATTCGTTTTCCAGTTCGACGGAGAACCCGAATGTAGCCCACAAGTGTTTCAGATCCAAGGCAACATTCGGCAGCCCGTGTTCACCTGCAAATTCAGCTTCAGAAGCACCGGCGACCGAGGCACTCAAAGATCCAGGTATTATTCATTTTCCCCAAATTTTCTTCGTCTGTGTTAGGGTTTCGGTATGATTGTTATTATTATTTAATTTTGCAAAGAAAAAAAGTAGATTCTGTGTTTGATTCGAGATTGTGAATGCGAATGTTTTGTGTAAAAGTTGGATACTATAATTAAATTAGAGTAGTGAAGCTCACAATTTTGTTCGCTTTACGACGACGTTTTGCAATTGAATCCTTCAAGCGGACTCTGATCCCATTAAAGCTCTTTACTTAGATTCTAAGCCCATTTTTTATTAACCAGGTCCCTGTTTCATTTCCGGAGCTTTTACAAAGTTTGTTTACTGGCGATTAATTTTTATTCTTATTTTGCCCCTTTCATCTTCTTAAATTTACTACGCAGATTCTGAATTTATTTATTTTATTCCCATTTTGCCCCTCTGTTCACAGGTCTTTACATTTGGACCACGGCAACTCTCGAAGCTGGTTAGGCTCGTTTGGGAGCGAGAGAGAGCGACCGGGGAAGGAGCGAAAGGGCTGGTCCATAACGGTCCACGACCTCTCCGGCTCGCCCGTAGCTGCAGCCTCGATGGTCACGCCCTTCGTGGCCTCACCCGGTTCGGACCGGGTCAGCCGATCCAACCCGGGATCCTGGCTCATCCTCCGACCCGGCGACAACACGTGGAAACCGTGGGGCCGCCTCGAGGCCTGGCGCGAAAGAGGCGGCTCCGATGGCCTTGGGTACCGCTTCGAACTCATTCCCGACACCAGCGGTGCCGGCATTGTGTTGGCCGAGTCCACTCTCAGCTTAAACAAGGGCGGGAAATTCGTACTGGATCTGGGTTCGGGTTCCGGAACCCGACCCGTCCCAAACTCTCCGGGTTGCAGCCCGCGGGGCAGCGGGGATTTCGGGTACGGGTTGTGGCCCTATTGCTTGTACAGAGGTTTTGTGATGTCGGCGAAGGTTGAGGGTGAGGGCAGGTGCAGCAAGCCTGCGGTGGAGGTGAGCGTGCAGCACGTGAACTGTACGGAGGACGCCGCGGCTTACGTGGCGTTGGCCGCAGCCGTTGATCTGAGCATGGACGCCTGCAGGCTTTTCTCTCAACGGCTGAGGAAGGAGCTATGTCAGGACTCGGACCTGCTCCGATGACTCGGATAGGGCTACGTCGTCGTTTTAATGGGATTTGGTCCTTTCGTTTTTTGGTTATTCTGAGTTTGGTTTGCTGGAGAAGAAAAAAATATTTTTAATTACTACTAACAAACAGAGAGAGAGGAGAGAGAGAGCTGTGTAGTGTGTACAGTGAGAGGAAGGAGAGAGAGAGAGAGAGATTAGGCAGGGCACGCTTTGTTTTTGGTCGTGTGACTTGTGTTTAATTTTCCCTTTTAGTTTTTTAAATGAAGGGCTTGCTTTAGTTGGAATTTTTGTAGTCGCTCGCTGACTTGAAGAATATTTGATGTTACTTTAATTTGGATGAATTAAATAGGGGGAATATGGATTTAGCTGTAATCTAATTGATGGCAGCTAAGCACGTTAATTAATTTTTAATTAGTTCCATCTGTGTGTTTGTAAATTGTAGTTTAGCATAAAGTAGTAGTTAAATGCTTAATGTAGGGAAGGGAAGGGCGTGCACGTTACGTGCTGATTTGATTTCTGTTTATTTTTTGGTACACGAATTAATTAATATTTTGTGTAATGGCTTTTAAGGAAAGAAAATTAATTTGAAATTAATATGGAGGATAGCTGGAATGCGCTTTTGATGAAGGTGAGGGGTGGGGGTGCTTGGGGTTTGTGTTGGAGCTGGCAGGCACCATTGTTTAAAATATTGTTGGGGGGGTAAGTGTGTAGGGTTTCGGCTGACTTCTAGAATTGAGATATGGGTAAAAGAGTGAGGGGTACCATGGATGGATCAGATGAATTCCTATCATGCAATTTGGTGTGGGAGGGGGGGACCATCGAATCCAACTTTTCTTTGTTCATAAAAATAATGAAAGGGTGTTGATTTGCATATCAGTTGTCTCATGTTTGAATTTCTATAGCACTTTGGTAGTGTGTGAAAAAACTTATATTTTATTTTCTTTTTACATCGTTGTATGATAATTGAAATTCTGAGTAATGACTTGTCGGTCGTCTCCTTCAAAGAAAATTGATGCTTGTTTTATACATTTAAAAAACTCATACATGTTAAATCCTTGGGGTTAGCCCAAGTAGGAGAGAAAGGGTGGCATATAGGTTAATTATGATAGGTTCAAAGTTGGATTTCCTCCCATCTAACCGAGAAAGAAAACTAACGCATATTAGACCAATGGAACATAAAGGTTGCAAATGTCCTATATTGATTTTTGAAAAAGAATCACAATGAGGTTCGTTGAATAGGAGACGTTTATCAAGACCACCTATTCCCATCTAAAACCCAATCTTCTTTTGGTGTATCATTTGCAACACGATTTTCTTTTAATCAATGTAGGAGGGGTATTTCAAAATGGGATCTCTCTCAATATTGGGGAATAGAAATATCATTAAACCAAAAGCTAGTTGACCGTCTCAATTTAATTTGGAATTATATATTACTTTGATCTATTTTTAAACCCTTTTAGTTCATTAAACATTCACACTTTATCAATAATTTTACTCACAACTAAACTTGTTAAATGTGTCAGGTTATAAATCAGTTATTTTCGAGGTGATGGCCAACTCGATTTTAAACATATTTTGGCTGGTTGACTCGAATTTTACTCAAACTTTTTTATTGTAGTCGTTTTAATTATATTCATTCAAAGTTAATTAATGTGTTGATAATGCTCAATGGGTGATGAGCAAAAATGCACTCAATTATGAAAAGTGTAAAATCAGTTTGTTTTCTAAAGGATATGTGAAGAGGGGTTATTATTGGTACCTAGGAAGCCCATACTCTTTTTTTTATTTATATATATTGAATTTACAGTTGAAAGAAATGGAACTTAAACTTGAGAAAGGTGTGATGTGAGTGAGATGATGAGATTGTTGTCGAGATGGGGGCTTATGGCAAATGGTCCCTAAGTCGTCTTCCGGACAACAACAGTTTTGCGTTGGGACTCAGAGAAATCAGAAGTCACGTTCACCACATTTTTGAGTGAGTAGGGACTATAACACTAGGGCTATACCTAGGGAGGGACCACAGAGAGAAAGAGGGTAAGTAAACTTTCATATAGAGAAAAGAGTTTGTATATCATAGAGATAACATTATTTTACTATTTTCAACTAATCATGTTCTACCATGTAGAAAAATTATCACTCGTAGCGGAACTTGATTGATTGAGAATAACGAAATAGAGTTATCTTTATGGTATATAATTTTTTCCTTCTAAACGACGGAAATGTCAGTGTGACAGTATTATAAACTAATTACGATCAAATGAGAAAGTTAATACTCATAATAAAATGTGATTAATTTGAAATACCGTTATAATGTCAATTGAGTTTTTCTCTTGTTAATGAGTTACTCTAGCCTCCACAAGTCACTTTCTAAAACAGAAACAGAAGCGGAACAAAAAATGTTACCAAAGGAAAAATCGACCAACCGCTTTTTATTAACAGCTTCTCACCCAACTTCTGCTTATTTATTCTATTTATTCTTTGTTGCTTAACTTGTCAACGGATATAAGATTTCATCCCAAGTTTTTGTTTTGCATAGCAGATTCATGCCATTTTTGTTCGGTGCTTGGACCACATGGGTAGATCCAATCCAATCCAAGCAAGGGTTTTCAGGTTCAAAATCAAACACTAAGTGGCCACATCATGGAGGATGATGGATATGACACTTTCATACCAAAGTGAAAATAAAATTTTGCAAGCTCAAACAATAAAGATTCTAATTCAACAACAGCCAAAATTACCCTACCTTATCCAAATTAGCAATACTTCAATCAAAATTGCATACTTGAAGAAAGAGGTTTAAGTATATTTTTTTTTCCCCAAGGGAAAGCCAGATTTAGCTAGTTTCTTTAAAAAAAATTACAAAAACATAATATTGACATTAACTAGCACCATAATCTACTATTAATTGTTTACGCTTTGCCATGGACAATGACCACCGCGTATATATCAATAATACTAGAGACACCAACTTATTGTACCAATATAATTTTTTGTGTGTAATTTGTTGTCAATAAATAAAGTTTATAGTGAGCTCAAAATAATGGCAAATAAAACATTGTTACATCACGTAACATCAGTTTGTGTCCAAAAGTTGGTGTAATAAGTTGATGTCTCTCGGAATTCAAGACTTCTATACCAAGTTTGTGAACATAAACTTTCCCAAGAATTAATGTGGATTTATTTATAAGATCCAGCAGAGGCTGCACTATTTTCTGGTGTGATAAAGAAAACAGCCAGCACCCGTGTCAACAAGAATGGTTTCATGGACTTTTCTCATGGACCTGGAGACAGGCTGCTCTTTCACCGGCTCCATGTGTGGGATTGTGTCCACAAAAAGTATCATAGAATTAGAACTAACAGGTTTACCTTAACTTTGGCTTCTAGAAGTTGCAAATTTATTATCAGAGTGTCCATTAAAACTGGTTGGGCATGATTCAATAAGTTACCACACTAGCTATCATTCAAGCTGAGTAGGTCGTGCTAGGTTGCAATATTTCAATTTTCAAATATTCTTTCGAATGGCGTCAAGAAAATATAAATATATAATTAGTTTGTCATAGTTTAAATTTGATGTGTTTAAATTTATGATTATCGATTATTGTATTCTTTGGAACGAATGTCTAACAAACTGCGAGCACAAGAGTATGGTCGAAATTTGTCTTTAAACATTGCAATTTCGCGGCTTGATCGTTAAAGTTGGTTAGTATGTCCTACATTCTTGTTATTTTGCTGCCATAATAACTGTGAGAATTATTGTTATTATTAAAATTCATATTTTTCATTGTTCCGCGAATTGAACACACTATCCTTGTCTATTTATTTTGTTACTGTTTGGTAACTAAATGCTTTCTTATTTGAGTGAATATTTGCAAAGGATGATCATTCAATGAACGCCAAAAAATGATATGTTCAAATCATGGAAAACATTATGAAGTCCGATCAAATGATTGGTTAGTACTTCAACACTAAAAAACCAATTAGCCACTATGTTGTTGGCTTGTTTTAGAGATTTTGATACTCATTTGTAGACTCTTGCTCTCCACTTGTTACTGCAGGAAGATATTCATTTTACACTGCATACAGCTTATGCCAAACCCTTTTCATAGGTTTTGTTCTAAAGCTACTTCTTCCGTCCACGAAATTGTATGCAAAATTTAGGCCAGCAACAAGGATATGGATATGGCTGCCATACTATCATTGATGTAGTCTTTTTGCTCATTTTCAAACACCATTAATGTCACTGCTCATTTCTTGATTGAGTACCTAACAGTGATCACATTATGGCAAACGCATATCTAACAAACAGCAAGCATGCATGTCTAGAGATATGAAATGTCTGCCATCAAACTGTTTGTTCTCTTCCCCTTCTGGTCAAATTGAAATGGTTTTTGTTTGTTGTCGTTACCTTCTTGTAACATATCTCAGTGTTGTCTATTAATGAGTTGGACTGGGAATCATATTTTTCATTCTAGATAGCAATAATTAACCCTTCGGCTGACTTGTAGAATTGAGATATGGGTAAAAGAGTGAGCAGGTATTTGTTGGGGGAAAATCATGAGAAGTATATCAAGTGTTGAGCATAATAAAACAATTAAAGTTATTATTAAATAATACTAGTCCTGGCCTTGGGGTTGGTGGCGTCGGTGCCATGGCTCAGATGAATTTCTGTTATGCAATTTGGTTTCTCTTTATATATAATTTTTTTTCTCTTTATATAACGGAAATGTCAGCGTAACTAATTATGATCACGTGAGAGATTAAAACCCATAATAAGATATGATTAATTTAAAATACCGTCATAAAGGCAAGTGAGGTTTTCTCTTGTTACTGAGTTACTCTAGCCTCTACAAGTCACTTTCTATTAACACTGAAACAGAAGCAAAACAAAAAATGTTACCGAAGGAAAAATTGACCAACCACTTTTTATTAATAGCTTCTTATTTTTTTCCTATGAGTTAATTGCTGAAATATCTTCGAACTAGGATCCTAATCGAACTTAATATCCTGAATTAAAACATCAGTTAATTTAACACATGAATTAATTTAAATTGCCAATTTTACACATGCCGTTAGATTTTATGGAATTTCATCCAATCTTCTGTTAAACCCAATCATGTGACGCATACATGTGAACTATTTGGAGGGCAATTTTGTCCAACTAAGTCCTTTCTCTCCCAATCCTCATCCCCACGGCCTCTCCTCCACCTTTCTAAGTTACAGCAAGTTCCTTATAACAGTAAGTAAAGAAACGAATACCCTCAGATTCTCTTGTAATGACTGCAAAAAGATTCAGTCTATAAGCCCCAAGTTGTTAGTGTGTCAACTAGTTGAAAATACAGGTTTTTTAGTACACAAAATTGTATTTACATGCTCCTCTTGCTCTATCATACCCAACAAACAAAACACCAGTGATAGTGATATATACAATTATCTTCAAGTTATCAATCCTGTTGTCACTACAATAATAATTGTAATAGACAACCTCAATAGACGACGAATTTCCTAAACAGTGTTGTGTTAATTTGCCAGACGACAGTTTGTCTTAAAACGGTCATTTATTAGGGTGTAAAACATTTGAAATATCCAGTTTTTAAAATGACCCAGTTGTGAGGAAAACGTTCGTGTGTTGCGTCAAAGGCAAAATATAAAAATCACTGTTACCAGGAGGAAGCATAAGTTTATGTAAAAAAGAAAAAAGCCAAGATATATATGACCAAAAAACAACTAGGGCAGCTTGGACAAGAAAAAAAAAGGGAGACCAAGGCATTTGACTAAAACAAGGCATTCGAAGAGAGAGACAGCCCACCTTGAACCTTCGTCTTCGGCGTCCCCAAATCTTGGTTCACGAAAATGGAGAGGAACTCAGGGGTTTTGATACGACAGTTGTTTCTCTCTCTTCTCTCGGCTCCCTCCCGCACCCGCACTCGCACTCGCACTTGTACTCGAAGGAACTCAGTGATAGCGCCGTCTCTTTCGGCTCCCTCGCTCAGGTAATTTTTTTTTCTTTTCAATTTCTTCTCATTTACTTTCTGTTATTTTTTCCTTTCTTTAATTCTTTGTTTGTTGTCTGTAAAAACCCAATTTCAATTGATGAGGTAAAAGCCCCAATTTTTAGGTTGATTGAATATAGCAGTGTAGCAGATATTAATGTCTAGCAGCAGCAGTAGTAGTCTAGGTCCACAAACTCGATTATGTAGGAAGAACAATACTATACCTTCCCCGTTAATTATAGCCTACATATATACAAGTTTTTTTACTCATATATATAACCAAAAAAAGTTGTAATGCTAATACTATAATACTCAATAATCTCTTCTTTACTTTTCTTTGCAGCAAAAAAAATGGAAAATGATCAAGAATAACTTATATCTGCTTTAGTCTGGCAGAATGCAAATTCCCAACACATACAACATATATGCTATTATATATTTGTCGATCTCCTTTGCATCTAGTTGAGGAGGAACAATTTCAAAATTTGACTTTAACCATGAAAGACTACACTTCGTTCCTTTATTGCACTCAACCATTCCAAAAATTGTCCAAGCGAGTTCTCTAGAGTCTAGATTGCTACCGGTAACTGGATTGCCATCTATCGGCAATCCAGTTATCCTAAGCACATCTTCTAATCTTAAAACATACTTCCACTTGCCAAATATAAATTGTCATTTTTTATAACATGCTAAAATGACATTTAACATAGCTAAATCATGTTTCACTGTAAGCCTAGCATACTTCAAGTAGGTATCGAATCCTGTTCCTTCAAGTCGGCATTCAACCCTTTTATCCACATTCCACTTCATCAACAACTTCATAAGTTGATGAAACGGTTGAAAGGTTGAATTGAAGGAACATGATTCGATACCTACTTGAAGTATGCTAGGCTTACAGTGAAAAATGATTTAGCTATGTTAAATGCCATTTTAGTATATTATAAAAAAGGACAATTTAGATTTGGCAAGTGGAAGTATGTTTTAATATTAGAAGACGTGCGTAGGATAACTGGATTGCTGATAGATGACAATCCAATTACCAATAGCAATCTAGATTCTAGAGAACTCGCTTGGACAATTTTTGGAATGGTTGAGTGCAATAAAGGAATGAAGTGTAGTCTTTCATGGTTAAAGTCAAATTTTGAAGTTGTTCCTCCTCAACTAGATGCAAAGGAGATTGACAAATGTGTAATATCATATATGTTGTATGTGTTGGGAACTTGCATTTTGTCAGACAGGTGTGCCTCCTATATCTTCACACTTGAAAATGTGAAGAATTACGCATTTGGGCCAGCAATACTGGCACGTCTCCAAAATGCTATAGAAGATTTTTCAGAGAGCCCGAAAAGTAAACGCTTTGTTGGAGATGCTGCATTTCTAACAGTAAGTATTAATTTCATGTCTTAAAAAAAATAGAGTATGAAAGGTTTTCGTTCGAATTCCATAAATTTTTTCAGGTTGCTATAATGGAGTATATCCCGGAGCTTGCTTATAAACTCATGAAAAGAAATGATTTTGCCAAACCTGATATATTCCCTTTACTCATCGGATGGGGAGAGATGTACAAGCAAAGGCTGGAAAGCAAGTACAAGGCTTCTATGGAAGAGTATGTTGATGTGCTGAAGAATATTGAAGAGGTAAGGTAGTTATTCTAGTTTACCTTGAATTTATGCATGCACTTCTCTCTCTGTTTCATTCATATAATTTGCTTCTTGTAGGTTACGTGGCAGCCATATGCAAGGCTTACTGAGTCCTTGCCGGATTGTTTAAAACCTCAATTGATCATGCGTTTGAGTAGAACAGTCATGATCTGTTTTAACTACGTGGCATACCATCGCCCCGACAAATGCATAAAGAAGTTTGGCTTCCACAAAGTTGATTTTAGTGCTTGCTGCCAGGTGAAGTCATACCAATCAAAAGCTATGAGCGGGCCAGGGCAAGTAGATTATTCTATGAAACAATATGTACTGGATTGGGAGTGCAGACATATATGTTTGATACAATGCATTGATGTTCTGGCCAACTCTCCAACACCTGATTTGGATGAACCCAATCCCAACAGTTTTGCTATGCGCATCTCTACAACACCTCGTATATATATATATTGCAAAATTGGTGATGGCTTATAGAAAATTTACTAATATCCATGCCCTATAATATCACCGTTATTGGTACATGTTACTTAATTTTCTAAATGGCTTTGCAAATGTTTGATTTTTGTCTTAAAAAGAGGATGCACCTGTACCTTGACAAACTGCCACTCTCTCTCAACACACTGCCACTCCCTCTCCCTCTGCCTTCATGGCCACTCCCTTTGGACACACTCCCACTCCCTCTCTAATGGAAGAAGATGGATGGTCAGAGGCTCAAGTTAACGTAGAGGATGAAGAGGTCCGAACTTCAGAGGCTCACGTCCGAACTTCACAGGCTCAAGGTAACAATATTATAATGGTTATTCATTTATTACATGGTTACCCAATCTATTGTTATCAACACTAAATATATTGAATGACAGGAGTGGAGTCTCAATCTAAATATAGTTAATTGTGTTTAATATCTTTGCTTAGTTTTCTTTTTCACACTGTTACTACCATGTAGTTCTGATCCTAAACCCTGAACTCCATAGGCTCAAGGTAACAATTATAATGGTCATTCATCGATTCACAATGCCTTGTATTATATACTACATTTTTCTTCAATGAAGTTAGTAAATTTGATAAATTTTAATCAAATTGGATATTAAGTTCTTCCAATTCTTGACAGCTTGTATTACCCAAAATACTCAAGCTGTGCAGACCCCACCTTCACAGCTTGTATTTTCAGTCATAGACCAGGAGGCAGAGCCCTCCACCTTGCATAGGCCAGTTCCGCAGCATAGTTCTACTGCTGACCCGTCAACATCTCATATATAAGATGTGCAGACCCCACCTTCACAGCATGTATTTTTAGTCATAGACCAGGAGGCAGAGCCCTCCACCTTGCCTAGGCCAGTTCCGCAGCATAGTTCTACTGTTGACCCGTCAACATCTCATCAGGCATCTCCATCATGCAATCCTCCGCTACCGGGATCTCAAGATCAACAATCTGCTGCAGCACCAGCAGAAGTTGCAGAAGCGGCAAAACCACCAGTCTTCAGTTCATCGCCTTCCATAGCTACCAACTCAAAATCTGAAGACAACCCATTATCACAGTTGGTCGATGCCATATGCTTCATGTCAGATCCAAAGTTATTTACCATTTTCTTTTTAAACTTCCAAGTGATTTACATATAATTTGTCATTTCTTGAGTGTAAAATTATCACACATGCATATGCACTGATTTAATTGAAGTTGCACTTGTTTTGCAACATGCAAATACTAGTTGTTATTTTCTGTTATTTCAATCCCTACTCTGGATCTGAATAGATTAAATTAACAAGAAATAACTATTTTTGGTTGAAAGGTTAAAGAGTGTGCTGTTGAAATTGGCAAGGCTGGATGACGAAGATGGGGTGACAGGAGCAGAGAATGCCTTTCATAGACACTTTCCTCACAATATATCTGAGGATAAACCTGAGTCATTGCCAGCTAGAAGAGGCTTATTTTTCATCAGGAGATGTTTTGGCTACTCCTACACATGATTCTTCACTAGTCCACAGCCATGTTTTCTTCGTATTATGTGCAAGACATCAGAAATGTAAAGTTCTGATATCCTCTTACTAGGTTACTTTAACATACATCGTTTTTGTTTTGCTCGTCATACAAATCTTCTACAGATGACTTTGTTTTCATTATTAAAAAGAAAAAAATGCATATTGACCACACACAAAATGCATGCATTTCCGAGTTCAAAATTACCAAATATAAGGAAACTGTCCCTACTTGTTTAAAGGAGTCGAGCAAGAGCATCAAAGAATTTCATGGTCTTGGGCCAGTCACATGTTTACATAATGTCTACTAGGGCCAATTCTGCCAGGGCAGTAAAAACTGTTATTGGAAGCGTTTTTAATACACTGAGAAATGTGCAGTTTTTATAACGAGTAGTCAAAATTTACCCTATACTTCTATAAATGCCCGTTTTTATAAAAACTTTATAAAAAAAAAGGGCAATGATTTCCCCACTCATATTTTATCCACTTATACTCCTTTTTTAGTTATAAAAAAGGAGTGTAAGTGGATAAAATAGGAGAAAAAGGAGTGGGGAAATCACCACTCAAAAAAAAAAGCAAAAAATTCACCTAAATACACTCAAATGACTCAAATGCCCTTGAAGCTAAAACCTGCATAAACCTAAAAAGCGAAACCTGCAATCTCAGTTTCATCTGCATAAAACATAAACACTCTCCTACGTTTCAATCAATGTTATATACCCTTTTGTGGGTGCCTGCTTTTGTGGTTGATAATGATTAAGCCAAAAATTGACATTGACCCCATTAACAGGCTTCTGTAAATTATTTATGTGACTTTGAGAACCAGACATCTCAATTGGGCTCCCTTGTTTCCCATCATGTAATGCGGCCAACTTGAACCATGAATACCATTTCGAGGACTTGAAAATGCAATCCTATTCCCACATTTGAGTACGCATCCCACGGCCTCTCCTCCACCTTTCTAAGTTACACCAAGTTTCTCTCCGTAATGAGGCCGACTTGAGTTCCCTATAACAGTAAGTAAAGAAATGAATACCCTCAGATTCTCTTGTAATAACTGCAAAAAGATTCAGTCTACAAGCCCCAAGTTGTTAGTGTGTCAACTAGTTGAAAATGCAGTTTTGTTCTATTACACAAAATTGTATTTACAGGCTGCTTTTGCTCTACCATCCCCAACCAACAAACCACCAGTGATAGTGGCATGATATTTGCTTTTGCATGTTTCAGGTTATTGATATTTTCTTATGCATTTTGCAGGTTGCTGCTGATCCTTCCTTGAGTTTAAAGCAAAGAGCTCTCATAGCAGATGCTAATGCGCTTTGATGAGAAAAGTGGCAACTTTATTGTACATAAATTGGTCGAATCGCAAGCCACTTTTATATTCAATGCTCAAGTGTTGAGCCGCCACGTGAATGAGACTCAAGTTATTGTTTTTGTGAACTATTTTATCTGTATTTTTACTTTATTTTCCTACCATTTACACCCCATTTATTTCTTCAATCAAACTCGTTTTCAGAAAAGAATCCTACGCACAGCCTCGAAATCTGTCTCTGTATTTCTTGTAAAACAGAGTTCCTTTTGCTGTTCCTTCAAGTAATAGACATGGTAGCTCACTCTTCAGAATTTGAAAAATATTGTTGTTTGAGATGAGGAACAGAATGAGCTAGAGATGTTGGTGCGATCATAGAGAAGTTAAGGGGGGTCCTCAATGTCAAAACAAGTTTATGAGTAGACTTCTTACAAAATAAATATTTTAGCAATTACCAAATGAGGGAATAAGCAGACCAAACACTCGTCAAAAAGTACGCAGGAATAACCAGCAAGAACTTTTGGATCTCCACCTGAAGGAAAGAACTCTAACCCAGCAGTAAGTACGAAATCTTTGAAATTTGCATCAGTTGCTAGCCTAACCCTATGGCCATATTCCTGCAAGTAAAGTAACGCATCCATCAATCTACATAAAATAAGGGATACAGTAGTTATTTTGAATCATGGCTGTATAAAATTACCAATTGGTTAACACTTCAGCGCTACTATACATGTATATATGTGCGTGTGTACATATATAGTTATTCTCTTATCCGGATATTCGCACGTTATTATCTTGCGGATGTCATTGTAAACAGGTAAGAAAGTAGGGAGGGGTAGTACAAAATAAATAATGTCCCCACGATAATAACGTCCAAATGTCCACATAGGAGAATTTCTGATTTAGAGAATTTGACACTCATTTTTAGATTCCACTTGTTACTGCGGAAAGATATTCAATTTATAATGCATACGGTTAAAAGATTAATGCCAAACCCTTTTCATAATTTTTGTTCTAGAGCTACTTCTACCGTCCATGAAATTATACGCAAAATTTAGGCTCGCAACAAGGATGGATATGGCTGCCATATTATCATTGACGTAGTGTTTTGCTAATTTTCGAACAACATCAATGCCTATACTCATTTCTTGACTGAGTACCTAATAGTGATCATGTGATGGCAATTGCATATCTAACAAACAGAGCATGTCTAGAGTTATGAAACGTCTACCATCGAACGGTTTGTTCTCTTCCCTTTCTGGTCAAATTGAAATGAAGTCTTCTGAGTTTTGTTTGCTGTCGTTACCTTCTTGTTACATATATCAGTGTTGTCTATTACTGAGTTGGACCGGGAATCATATGTTAATTCACGATTGCAATAATTAACCAAAAATCTTTCAAAAGATACTACCAAGTTGAAGTAACAAAATAAGCCTGCAGTGTGCAGTAGGCCTCAGTCATTTTGGGTCTATCCTGGCCTTCTTTTAGTAGGCTGGGCCGATTTCCTCCTTATGCAAATTGACATAAAGCTCCTGATCATCTGATCAAAATCTATGGACAATAGCTATGAACAGGTGAATTGTTGAAACTTCAAGCAATCAGAGGTTCCAATTCCTAGTTAGATGCCAAGGAAGGTAATTGGTGGAACTCTTGATTCTACAGATCAGTTTGATACTTCAAAAATTATTAGATACATAACACTTAAGTACATTTCGAATTTTCTAATTTGTGTAAACTTATTGCCAGGGCTAATTGATAGCATCACATCATCTAGGCATCAGAGAAAAAGGTCTATACAGTTGATCATCTACCTTACTATCATGTATGCTATAGAACATCCAAGGGAAAACCCAACATGGCCACCAGAAATGATCACTCAGCTATACCTCCAATGTCGTTTGCTCCAGGTCTGACAATCGTAGGTAAAAGTCACCAAGATTGGCTAATCATCTCTATGAAGAACCCAAAGAACGTGATTCATTTTGTACAGCATCTCCATTTTCGTTGGTTGTCAATAGCATTGAACTTTCCACTGCTCTGTTCACCCTACCATATGCATGAGACTCCACATTAGCAACTTCCTGGTCATTCTCATTGGTGGTTTTAGGAGCAGAGCTTTTCTCAAGATCTGCAATTGCTTCTGATACAACAACACTTTCTGTTTCAGAACCAATAGAAACTTTCATTTCTTGGTTGGGTGCATCTAAATTCTCAGTTGCAGATAATGTCATACTGGAACCTGACTGCATATCCTTGGATTTGGGGTTTTCGTTCTCCTTCCCCGAAACAGCTTCCAAGTATGAGTGCCTTTGGCTAGAAGTTAGACTTGCATCCTTGTATAACTTTGGTAACATCTCCGTTCCATCAAGAGAATCAGCGAATTCAACCAGCACCACTGTCGAATCATTGCTCATTTTTGCTTCTTCAATCGTGTTGATTGATGTATTAGTATATGCCTGAACATCTAAGTTGGACGAACCAAAATGATTACCTCTTTCTTCACCATACACAGCATTGTCAACAGCAGCATTTTTAGCTGTGCCAACATTACCAAATTTAGGGCCTGAATCATTTGTATCAACTCTAAAATCTAGGATACCATTGGTTTTATTCTCTTTATCTACCTCTTCTTCCTTCACTTTTCTCAAGCTTCCGACTTCAATTTCACTGCTTAGTTTTTGGGTGTTCTGTTTCACAGCACTGGATGCATCATCACCCTTGTACCGTTCCTCTCTGGCCTCCTGGGTGTTCCTTGTATCTTCACTTTGGGCTTGATCCTCTAGCAATCTGGGAATCTCCAAATCATTTCCCTTCTCTTCACTTTCCTCTTCCCTCTCCGTATCTTCTTCATCAATCAAATCCTCTACCCCTTCTGACTCGTCCTCAGCTCTCTCTTGATCATGCCCGTCTATTTCATCATCTTCAGCACCTCTTCCTTCCTCCTCACTTTCTTCATCTTTACTCTCATCTACCTCTTCTTCAGATTCTTGTTCTTTTTCCCTATGCCTTCCAATATCCAAGGAAGTTTCCTCCACCCGAGGATGGAGGCTACGCCTCCCAAGTTTTATTGTTTCTTGCCCATTCTGCATCTTTCCCGAAATCTTTGCAGAGATCTCTTCATATGCTTTCTTATCATGGGAGTGCTTGAGCTGGTAAAGCAACCAGATGCAAATAGCAAGCAGCAGAAATATCTGAAGAGCATGCTTCACCTTGAAGCCTTTTGACCTCTGGTTCCTACTGGGTGATTGCTTCAACATAGTTAATACTTAAATACGTGTTAACTCTACCAATTAGCAGCAGCAAGTGGTAACCCAATCTGCACAAAGGGAAGTAAGAACCATATGTGAACAACCATGAAACAATCTAAACTAAACCGGACATCGGAAATGTTATTTATCATACATCCAAATTTTTACTTTAGAAACTCAACAATGCACAGAATAAAATAACCATATTCTGCAGGATCAAATTTACTGCCTATTTGGTGAGAATGGAAAGGGTTATAAAGTCTGGAATTGGTTATGGGTTGCACACAATGAAAAATATTGCACTAAGTGAGTGGTGAGTTGAGTTTGGAGAGTCAAAATCATATCTTTGCATTGTTAGTCTTCCCAAACCAAGCCAGCTCATTGAAAAAAACCAACTCGAAGTCTTTGCCGACAGTGACAGGGGAAACGATAATAGGGAAAGGAAATAAACTCCATTGGCATGTATTTATGCCTGTGCAGGCAGTGTCAAAATGCATAAATAAAATCAAATTATCCAGGAGAATTTACCTTAAAAGCCACACTCTTTTTCACCCTTAGAATGAGTGTATCATCCAGCTAACTTAGGACAGCACTAAAGAATATTAATAATACTCTTACGAAAATATTCAACAGTGAAATGAGTTGTACATGCAGCAAGTTAGAGAAGATATCAATTTTGCAGATAGAAAGCAGAACACAGCTGAAACTTGAAAGAACCAAATCTAGCATTTACTTTTACCAGTGAACGCAAACAGAAGCAGCATCATTTCTTAGAAATTGAAATCAACCCATTGGTAAGAAAACAGCAGATGAGAATTTATCCTACACCCAACTTCAAGTTCTACGCTCACAGCGACAAGAATCCCAAAACCCACATGAAAATTTGTCATTTCTAGCTTGAAAAGGCCAAAATCCTCCCTTGAATACACTATCCAAGTGTTTAAGCAAATCTTGGAAGTATAAACAAGTACTTGTACAAAATAAAAACTAGAAAAAATTAATGTTACAGGAAAAAAGAAAAGAAAAAACCAAACACGGAATGAATAAAAGAAGCTAAGATAGCGTACCAGTGACTCAGTGGAAAAGCTGAGTATCAGAACTTGAGATAAAAGGAGATGGGATTAGAGTTTTGGGAATATGGCTTCATCTTTCATATATACATGTATGTATGTATGAACAAGTAGCAAAATTTACCCCAACAATAAATAGTCTTCTTTTTATTTACTACCCTTTTCTTCTTCTATTCAAATATGTGGTTAGAAAGGAGAGGAGGACAGTGAGTAGTTGAGGGGTGTGAATAATGTATGCTCTCTCTCTCTCTCTCTCTCAGGTGAAGCAATAAAAGGGCAAAACCCAATGTCACATCTGCAGGTGAGATTTTACTGAGAGTGAGAGAATTGTAACTGTGAGAGTGTGACAGAGAGGACAAAGCATTAAAATCAAGTTGGCTTCTTTTTGGGGGACTACGGACTATGACGACTCCATACTGCCAATGCCAAATACGACATTCTACACGTATTCTGATGATGTTAATTTATTTTGTTACTAAAATCTAAACCAAATTTTTTTTTAAATTTCATTTAAGAAAAGGAGGGGTGTTAGATACTTCGAGAAAAGTAATGATCTTGTTGATCAGATTGGCGTCAAGTCTACCAATGAGGGGAGATTTTGAAAGGTAATCAAATGTTCGACTTGTTAAAAAACTTTTACCCCAGCTTTTAAGAAATTTTAACTAATCGAGAGGGATAGTATCTATGCGGAGTTCAAACATTGCTCGAGGGGTCTCAAATGGTTATTTATTTCTAAATATGAAAAGAAAAAACCCAAAGTTTTATGTTTCAAGAAAAGGAGTATATCTATATTGATAGTGTCAATTTATCACTCACATTTTTTCACTTTTTAAACCAATTTTCCTTGTGAATTATACAAAAATGGTCAATATGTCCCCATCGTCAAATTCCTAGCAATTCTATTAAAGATACCGTCAAATAAAGTTACATTTGCACCTTCGAGCGTATCTTTCTTTACATATTTGACTAATATGAGGTAAATGGGGGTTCAAGTCATAAAGAATATGACATAAGGGTTAAAAAAAAAGAAAAAGGATTAACTACATAAAACCCCCTAAACTTTGGTGTGCTTCCAAATAGTCCTGGATTCAAGTTCCCCTAATACCTGTGTATATAAGTTTTCCTCTCTCCGTTTCTAACTTCGGCTAAAAAAAATAAAAAATATTTGGATATAAATAAGTCAAATAACACCACCAATTTGGTTTGGTCAATTTGGACCAATCTAAAACAGTTCGATTAGTTTTTAGCTGAAGTCAGACTTTTTTGGTCAGTCTAACACTTTTTTTCCGGTTATTTTTAATCCGGTTCAGGTCCGTTTACCTGTTCGTCGTTTTTTTTCCCCACCCCTAGGTTGAATCATTACAAGGCTTATTGATGATGAACTTCTTTTCAAACAACATTTGAGTTAGAGGATTCACAGTGGGGGGGGTGTATATGGGGGTGTGTTAAATATACACCCCGAGTCACCGGAATGGTCTCCAATGGAGAGATGTAAATGGATGTAAATATACATCACCACCATGGGGATGTAAAATAAAATGTATATTTACATCTATTTTTACATCCCTTGTAGGCAGGACCCACCCGAGAAAATAGAAGAAAAATGAAAAAAAGTTAGCATAAAGGGCTGGGACCCACAGCTACACCCCCGAATTTACACCCTCCCACTGGAGAAAAAAACATATTTACATCCCCCAGAGGTGTAAAGGAGATGTAAAAGTGGCTTTACACCCTCGAATTTACACCCCCCCACTGTGGATGCTCTTAGTGAGGGTCAGACCACCCAAAAGGGAGCGAAGTCCCAGTCATAGAGGACCATCACGCTAGACTACTCCTCACCCAACAACAAAAGCAATAACCACAAACAAGAGACGCGACAACAAAACAAGCGAAATCAACAAACCTTAGGCCTAAGACCAGATGCGCAGTTTCCACATCTATTTCATGGCACACGTAACTTGAACCTTGTTTCTTTGTAAAAATCCAAGACATCCTAGTTCTAACATATGACCCAAAATCACGGTAACAATAACCAATTGTAAAATTCACTTCTTATGACCCGCAGATCTGTCTCATGGAGTGACAGAAGTAGTAGATAGTTTAAACATGCTTCAAATGGAACAATAGCAGCTACTGCTTGCTTCTGGGTAGCCCAAAATTTGACCTTGGTTTAGCAGATGCGACTTGAAAATCTACAACAATTCAAATTGTTAAGTAAATAATCAGAATAGTAAGGGAAATAAGGAAAAACAAACATTGAAAAGCTTGCTAGGGTGAATAAACCCATGCACGTGAAAAGAAATCACTGAAACTCAAGAAAGATATCATTGCTTGCGCATATACCTTGAATTTGGTTGTTTTGGATTTACAGACCGCAAAAACATAAGAAGCTTCTCTGCAGATACTTCTCTTAACTCTCTTCATCTACAAGAATGGTTGATTCATTGCCAATCCCAAGGTCCGTTAAAGTTGCCATTTCATCATCAAGCAACATTGGCAAAGGAGAACCCTGAAAATTTAGGGAAAAATATATTTACTGCAGCAGAAAGTGTAAGAAAAAATATACACCGGCAAGAGTCCTTCCTTTCTACGTTCTGGGAGCAAGCAATTCTTTAGCTTATAGAATTAAAGTACTGGAGGTAGCAACTGGTGCATTTGTATTACTTTTAAAATGTTATTCCACGGAGAGATCAAAGACATCTATATTAGAATTAAATTATGTATTAAGGATAGTTTAGGGTTTTCCTCTCTTTTGGTTTTCAATAAGTTCGACATTTTTTTCTCAATCAAAAGCAACCAGTGGGAATGGCAGTATAATGACATACTATTCTCAACAACAATAACTTATTGATATTGTTTAAATCAGCAATAACAAATGATATATTGTGTAACAGGGAGGGCAAACCTCTTCTTGAAGAAACAATTTCAGCTTGATAGACTTCAGCTTGAAAAAGCTTTCACAAAGAATTTTTAGCTTACCAACCTAAAAAACAAAAAGAATGTAGAGTTTTTAAGATACATCCAACAAGACTTGTAATTTAGAGAAAGAGAGTGGGACCATAACCGTTGTGGCGCCTGGGAGTTTCTTCGTCAGTGACGGCTTCTCACCAATAGATGCTCCCACACATTTCAGAGTAATAGCTGCATAAAATTGTAGATTGGTTTGATAGTCCTTGAAAGAAGCTAATTTTAAATATATAAAAAACAATTTGAAGTTCCTACATAGAAGTCCTGAAGCCATTTTCTGAGGGCCTGCTGCTCCAACTAATGGCTTTTCATCTTCAATTCCATGAAAAACCTTAAGCTCCGCAAACCTGTAACAAAGCAAAGGTTCATGAGATGGAAGTATTTGATTCCTTCCACTATCAACAGATGTCATTTTTGGTAGCAAACACTAGTGGAATTAATGTCCCAAACCCAAGCCACCGAAGGCGCTTGAATGTGTATTCAAGGGAACAAGGAAAATCTGAAAGGAAGTTTAGGAAAGGTAAATCATTTATTTATCCCATCTCTTATAGTCCTCAGAAATTTGTGTTTCAACATGCAAAAGCGTGGTCATATGCTAAGCTGTCAATGAAAATCTACTATTAATTCAATGCTGTGTGAATTCAGAATGTCAAAAGACATCCGAAAGTAGTCAGTTTTGGTAATCTAGAGCACTGAAACTCATGATGCAAGCAAGAAAATGAAAAAATAAACACCACACAATTTGATATAACCATTTCCAAAATAATAACACAATTCTTCAATGAGCCAAGGCTCTCAGGAACAACATAGGGAAAAAAAAAACTACATGGGATGCCCCTCATGATCTTTTTCTTTTTAAACAAAAAGATATAAAAGATTAACTTGAAAAAGACAGATACCTAGGATGAAGCCACTGGAGTTCTTTGCTATTTCCTTGCATTTTTGACATAACTAATCGGACATACCTGCAAATATAGATAATTACAGTTCAGAGAGAAAAACTAACTCCTTTTTTTCTTTTGGCAAAAGACTCAGAAAGCAATTCATACATCAATAAGAATAACTTCCCTGAACCAGAATTTTAGGGAATGCTATTGCACTCAGCTTAACATCATAACCGTTAGTCATGCATTTATGATCCCTTGTCACCAATCAGTGGAGAGCACAACCAATGACTTGGTCAACTATTACGCAAACCCAAAAGTTTGATTGAAAAAGGAGACAGGAAACTAAACCTACAAAATTAGACTCAGAAGATTAACAAACACTACAAACATGGATTCCAGCTGAAGCATAAAAATGTTTTGATCTCTTTATGAGCCGCCTCCAGGAATACTTAAGGGCCAGCTGAGCCCTTAAAAAAATATGTGTATATATACACACATATCCATAAATTCTGATGGAAAGAGCAAGTGATGTTCAACATCTCTATTGTAGAAGTGGTGATATGAAACTGAAACATTCTTCGTTTTGTTTTACTAAACTGTATGCTATTGAGCCAGATCAGATTCAGTGGAGGGGAGGGTGGAATCATATGCCACTCAAGCAATGGTGTACACTGGATGAAAAAAATAAAAGGAAAAAAAAGAAGAGAAATCCATGCCTTTATGACAAAGGAAAATACTCAGTTTGGGGCTCTCAGCAAAGCAGTGATCACTAAATATAATAAATAGAATTTCCATATTGAGAGCCTGAGGCTGAGACTAACAGGTCCTGACAATTAAATAAGCAATCTTGGGCTACAGAAACCTAAAAGCCCTACATAAAAGTGTGCACTTGTGGTGGTAAACTAAGCTGAAGGATGAACACGAGAAGAAAGAGGCATACCGAATCTCTGACTCTTTTCTTTCACGAGAACTAACCTGAAAGATATGTTAGACAAACTATATCAGATATATTATATAAATGAAAGAAGCAAATTTGGAGTTCATAGGACCTCAAGGTTTACCTCACTCCCATTCAACATTTCAACTTTAGCTAAACGGGCAACCAAAACAAATCGTGGGATTCCACCTTGTGCAGGGTCAGCCACTGGATTCTCAGAAAGCCTGATATCCTTTAATAACAAAAGAAGAATGAGCAAGCCAGAAACTAGAAAACTAGGAGAGATCTATGTGATTTATTTATGTGAAAACTAATGAGGAAAAGCAGATTGATTTTATTAACACATAAAATCCACACAAAATTTATAAATTTTTTTAAAAAAATCCTTAATTGTGTCAACTAAAAATTTATCCATGTTGAAATACCAGCCCTTCTAGCAGTCATACCTCTCCCCCTTGTTAAATGGGATCATGAGTACGACTCCTCAAAGAACAGGTAGTTGAACCCAAAATAAAGGGAGTATGATGGAGTGAATGATTTGATCAATGAACATTGTCATGTTGTTCCAAGCATTGATAATAAAAATAATATAAAAACAATCCATGTCAAAAACAATTTTTTTTTTGGTTGTACCCAATTTCATATATCCAAGGGGTGTTTGAGGAGCAAGGGAAGGAAGAGTCCTAATATGGCAAAGGGGTGTTTTTCTTTTTTTCTTTTTTTGTTTTGGCCTGGTGAAGACAGCCCTTTAGTATAAATAAAGTACCGATGAAAATAAATAAATAAATAAATAAACCAACATCTGTACAAGACATTTACAAGATCTCAGAGGACATCGAACGAGAAGTATATGTATGCATGATCTACCATTTGCACATTTTTTATTTAATATACTTAGCACAGGCAGACCAGGTTCAATTTATATGGCAGAAAAACTACAGCATGCATCAATAGAGGCCAGATCCTCAATGTTGAAAGTCACCAGGTCTAATAACACAAATTTCAGACAAAATCTTACCACTAGTTGTGGGAATGAGTTTAGCGAATCAATAGAGGCCAGATCCTCAATGTTGTTGCCACCTGGAGCATGTTATGAGTAACCAATAAGTCACCAGACTCATGACACAAATAGCAAATGAAGGTTGCATGAGTGCTAATACAAGAGTCGTGATAAGTTACCAAGAAGAAGGCAACGCAAATTCTGAAATGGCTTATGGCTTTCCTCACATGAGTCATAACCATTTAGCAGTTCACGCATCATTCCGTCATCAGGATAAAAGACTCGAATCAAACTGTTATTGCTCAAATGAAGCTGCTCCAAGCTGGATGGAAAATATGGCAACCTCAGAGACATTTACACTTGCAGATATTTTTCTACTTAAAGCACTACCGATCAATCTAACTAGCGTCCTATGATTTTTGTACCAGAGGTCAATAACCCAAAAGTAAGTACTTGCATCTCCTACCAATACCAACAGGTGTAAGATAGAGGTTTAAAGCTCTCTTGGCAGCATCTATACTACGCCAGGTTTGCTATATTCATGTAAAAGCGCTGTACCCACTCAACCACTATAAGAGGCATCATGCCATGGAGAGAGTAACTAGCACGGCTAACCAATTAATCACTCATGTGCAATTCTTACTAAGCCCCGCAAAGGATGGAGATGAATCTATATCCGTTGGTCACAAAGTGAAGACATCCCCCAAACCTATCTTTTTTTATTGAATAGAAACATTTTCTATTCAAAATTAGAAACGATCAAAAGAGAGGACAATTAGAACACAGACAAAAAGCAAGAAGCAATAGCCAATGAAACAAACACAGGGCCACACAACACAGAAAACATAACAGCCAATCAAAAAGACAACCCCTTAAGACACTACAGCCAGCAGATCCCCCAAACCTATCTTAAGTTCTATACTTTTCATTTGTCAGGACTCAGGACCAACCCAAGATTCGTTCCAACCCCAACCCCTCTCCAATTTCAAAGTAATTACCGTAGTGGAAGCAACATAAAATTGTTACTAACCTTCTTAGCTGTGAAAGTTTCAAGATTTCATTCCAATCAGCTATACAATTGTCTTCCAAATTCAGAAGGCGCAAATAATCAAATCCCTGAACTGCAAAAGATGATGCAGGCTGGAAAAGAAGGCAGAGCTATACAGTCAAAATGCATTTGTTTGAGAATTTATATAAAGACAATGAAAACAATTATATAACTAAGGAAAAAAAATTTTGAAACTCCGAAACATTTTCATTGAGAAGAAACAAAATGATTTACTGGTTTGAGATGAACCAACCATTGCATCTTTTTCTTTCCCATTTACAGGTTAACCTACTGATCCATAATTTACCATTTCTGTTTGATGAAGGGTTCGCCAAGTGTTAGATGTTAGGTTCAGATTTTACAAACATAAAGTGAGCTAGCTATTAATGTGATACTCTATTATGTTTATACACCTTCTGAAAGTATCTGAGTGTCACATCTTACACTATTCTTAGCTAGCTATTAATGTGATACACTATTCTATTTATATACACAAACACACAAAATCACCTACAAGGCGCTGTGGATGTCTCAATTGCATTGATCACATTGTCCACATGGTGGAATCAGTGGATCAATGGCATTGAAGGGCATTGTACATCCCAGACATTACACAGGAGAAAATCCTCTTACACACACACATATATGGCACAATGAAACACAAGATAATAAAATATACTGTTAAAAGTAATATATTTCTCGTGGAAATATACAACCACCAAGAATTTCAGATAGCATACCTCTATTGTGCTTATTTTATTCCCCATCAGATGTAGTTCTTCAATTTCCGGCAAAGACTGTTTGAGTATTTCAACCTGCCACATCAAACAGACAATATCGAGCTATTTGATATAGAAAAGCAAATAGTAAAAAGAATAAAGAATAAAACTAAAATGGTGTAGGAGAAAGAGGAAAAAAAAAAAAGGCACCTGGGTCCAATTTATGCCAATATTGTTTAACACTAAAATGCGGATGCATTTTAAATGTGGCAACCCAACCATATCGTGTGCCATTAAGTTGTAAGATAAATTGAGGGCAAAAAGATCTGCCAATTGTTCACAGATTGTGCTAACATCCTGCAAGCAAAGATTAATTCAAATACAGTAAAGGTCAGCCCACAGCAACTTAAGAAACAAAGCCATTAAAAAATAAATTCGTGCATGCAAACGTGTATGCCAAGAAAAGCTCTATTTAGTGAGACTAGAAGAGTGCACTAACAAGTTAACAAACACACATGAGATCACAAGTTGGCTGATTATAGTACGAAATTAACAATAACTCAATCAAATGATTTTAATTGTATTAAATGTGTCCATTCAAAGCAAAAGGACAGACAGACAGATTGAAATTTATATGGTTAAAATCTTCAGGGAAGTTGGTATTCCCTACATTTCATCCTTCTTTGCTGAAATTGGAAGATACAGAGCCTTGCCTCGAAAGGTTCAAGTTTTTGCTTGGTTAGTTGCCTATAGAAAGGTTAACACCTGCTATACGATTCAAAGGAGGAGACCAAATGCTTTGTTTTTCTTCTCAGTGGTGTTAAAGTTTGTAGAGCTGGTAGAAAAAGTACAGATCACCTGATTCTTCATTGTCCAATAGCTTTAATCTGTGGATGAGATTGTTTAGAGAAGGACGTGTAAGTTGGGTAATTCCAGCTGGTTGTGCTTCATTATTTTGTGAGCTTTTCGGGGTGGTAAGCAGGTAAAAGATCTGAGCGGCTGTAGGGTGCTAGCAGTTTTTTGAGTAGTTTGGTAAGAAAGTAAACAAAACTCTTATTAAGATCTCAATCTATGATGAAGAAATGATAGGTAGTTCTTTGGTTATAGCTTTACAGGAGTAGTCGTACAGTGCAGTCAAGAATTAGCAACATCTCTTAAAATGATCACTTTAAACTTCAAGAAACTGCTATTATTCACCATTTTCATCATGGATGCTAACATTCTAACAAGTTCCAGAGGAAAAGTCAAATATGTAACCATCCTTTGAAAAATGCCAGTGGCAGACTGAAATTTTCTAAGAGTAGAAAGTAAACAAATACCAGTATCTCCTTTCAGCATTAAATTATAAGTGAAACAAGGAAAAAGCACTAGTCCATAAAACAACAGGTAAGAACCAGACGAGTAAATGCACAGAAAATGATAATGCAATAGCAGTAAAAAAACACAATGTATCCTGTTTTTCAAGAATGTGCTAACCCACCACAACTACTTCCTAGTACGGGAAACAAAGTGGATTTCGATGGCATTTGCATGTACCTTCCATTCTGAAATTAGATTTCCAGTCAAGTCAAGCTCCTTTAAATCTGCAATAAAAGCATCATCATTGTTTTGGATGAGTATATATATTAGTCTACACACACGCACGGGCAAGTGTGCAGTCTGATTGTGTAATAGATTCTATTAATATTAAGAGCGAACTATTCATGAAGATTGGACTAGACTTGAACAAGAATACACATGACATGGTAGTAAGTATATATAGAAATGAACGCACACTATCTTGTTTCTAGCTTATTCTAAGAGAACCACTCATGAGTCCTGAAGATGGGATGGAGCTAGGGTGGAACTGGAATAACAGGAAATAATGTACTTAGTTGTTTGGACCCTAAACACATAAGACCGGGATCCAATTTCAAACCTAAAAAGTGATGCATATACTTTTGTGGAGGAGAGAATCTCAATTATAAAAAGTTAAAAACTCAGCCGTTTGATTTCATAAGGACTTGAAACCTTGAACAGAAAATGAGGAGAAACATCTGCACATTTGCAGAAAGACAAATCTCAGCACGCAATTTTCAGGATTAGTAACTTCTTATCTGACAGATAAAAGCATAAACCAATTCCTGCATACAATAAAATAAAAAATAAAAAAACAAACAAATGGCTAAGCATTTAAGTCTTGGCCTTAAGCCTTATTATGACTAGAAAATTAGTCAATCAGTTAAAATACATTTTTGAGCTTCAAGGTTCCGCTATCTAATGCATTTGGATAAAGCATGGTTCTTCCTTCATTGAATTGTTAAGTTCATAAAATGGAGACGAATAAAACTTACTAGGCACATTAGTACTGATGTCACATGGGACTCCAGGAGAGCTAACACCCAAATAAGATACCGATGCACTCGTCAACTCCTCTAATCGACTTAGCTTGTCTTGAATTTTGTCTTTGCCAACAAGTTGAACATTTACACGCTTGTTGCTCGCTGAAAGGACATACATTTCATCTACAACACAAGAAGGAACGTAATAATAAGACAGTATTTCGCAGTTTCTATGAATGTTACCCATTTCAAGAAAAATGCACATACCAAGCATTATCTTATTAGCCATTATACCAACTGGAAATTCATATTTGCAAAATGAACCAAATATTCAAGCTAAATTCACATTTAAAATCATTTCCATTTATGACTAAAACTGAGAAATGCTATACAAGTTAACAACTAAATGTAGCATCATTATACAATACCAAGTTTCACACAGAACATTTCAGTAAATTTCAATTTTTTTTTCTATAAAAAAACGCATTTCCATTTCCAGCAATTTGTAACACTTTGCCTCTGTTTTTTTTTTTTTTTTTTTTTTTTTTTTTTTTTTTTTTTCTGTCTGAAATTTGCCACTGTTTTCAGAGCAACTAAATGAGCAAAAATGGAACTGATAAAACAGAGACATACCCTCTTCTTCTTTAGTCGTGTCACCTTGGTATCTGAGCTGGAGAGCTTGCAACAACGAAATGCCAGAGCTGAGATTCTGGGACCGAACAAAAGACCCGGATTGTTCGGACCTTGCCTGGAAGTATTGAACCCCATTGATGGTCCCATCGTGCTTGCCCTCTCCATTGTCCCAATCAACTCCGACCCATGTGCCCGAATAGCCTTGGACAGGTCCCACATACCTCACCGTCCCAATTCGACGTGGATCACCTGATGAGTGGACTCGCTGCCCGATTCTGAAGTCAGGCCTTGACTCGGATGATTCTTGCATTTTCTTCTCTTTCTTTTGCAATGTAGTCTTCTGGTTATGTTGTGTATGTCTGAAGCAAATAACTAAGCGCTTGTTGTTTGAGGAGGATGATTGAATGTAAAGCTTTGTACTCGATGGTGAGTGAATGTTATCTTGTTACCTAAGCTAAATTAGGCAGAGCAATGACTGACGCTAATCATCCCCTTCTAAGTTCGGCGTGAATTTTTGCTGATGGATTGGCCAGGTTGGGTTTGGATACGGATATAGACAATACTATGAAGAGATCTGAATGAAAACCCATCATGAATATATAAAAAACTTGATACACCTTTAGCAAAGTTGTAATACTTTTGTAGACAGAAGGTGAATGAAAACCCATATAAAAAAAACACAGATCATAAATAAAAAAAACTTGATAAACCAGCATTCTTTTGTAGAAAATCAGCATTTTTCATAAACTTCTGTAATACCCAATTCATAAATAAATAAAAAATACAATTCTATAAGGCCCATCAAAATAAAACTCATTCTACAAAATCAATGACTATGAAAATACATAAATCAAAACAACCAAATTTGGGAGTATTGGCCTGAACCCAATGAACAGTATGATCCCTACCCCAAATGCCATGAACCCGTTCAACAAGATAAAATTAATTAATGAAAAAACTAAATCAATAAACAAGGATGTACCTGATGCAGATGAGATTACAAGAAGCAGAAGATGCTGGAGGAGCACAGGAGGCCCCTTGACACCGCTGCAAGATGGTGAGACAGAGAGAGAGGGAGAGTGAGAGTGAGAGTGAGATAAAGGGTGTGCTGGGGTTTTTTTTTTCAAAGTTGTTTTAAGTGAGGCACGTCAATGGCATACAAGGGTGAAACTGTAAAAACGGAGAAAATCAACAGTGACCGGGAGTTGGGTTTTGCCTTTGGCTTTCGTTTCATTTCATCTCTCTATCTCTCGCTCTCTCTCTCTCAGTGACCTGAGCGACAACATATTACTCTGTATCAGCGATCGAATCGATCTTCGCAGCCATGGATACTTCAAACCTCACTTCGCTTCCAGAGGACACTCTCGAAGACAATGAACAACGAGCACCACAGCAACCCCGACCTCTCTCGGCCTTTGCCTCCCGCCCCGATCGCCCTCCCACTCAGTGAGTTGTTGTTCTCAACTCACCCCCATGCACTTGAAGTTTCAACTTTTGGGGCTTACCCATCGCAATGCAATGTTTTTGTAGGACTTCTTCACAAAAATACTCGGCTTTAGATTGGAAGGGGTTTTTCGACCAAGAAGAAGATATTAGAATTCCGGACTCGGATGATGTGAGTCTGTTTAGAATTTGAACTGTCTGATTCTGCTACAATTTCATGATCTTCTAATGTGCTTTTCCAATTCAGGTTTTTCATGTATACACTGCAGGAACAGAGGGCCCAGTTGTTTTCTGTCTGCATGGAGGTGGTTACTCAGGGTATGTTCAAGTTTTGGTTTTTTTTGTGTTCTTTTATTCTTGTTAAGCTGAAACATCTTCTATTTGTTTCGGGTTTAATTTTACATGGAAAGCAATCACTTTCTGATGTGATAAATTATATTTGCTCAAGTGATATATATAGTTCACATTGCCCTCCATCTATAAGCTGATGATGCCTTTGCAACTAAGAATATATGTGTTGTGACATTGCTAGACTGTAAAACTTGTGAAAATGGTGAAAATAGCCTTTCCTTTTTTAACCTCCTAATGTACCCAGCACAAAGAAACGAACAGCATAGTACTGAAGTTTATGCTTTGCACATATATGTACCATGTCTCATGACTCAGTTATAATGATCAGAGCGTGCTTGCTTTGCATGTTTTATCAAAGAAGAGAGTGCTTGCATACATTGCATGTTTTATTTGTGTTATCTTTTTTTTTGTGAAGTACTGTCAAACAAATGTCACGAAAAAATCACTTTTAGTGGTCATTATTGATTGCATGCAGCTTCTTTTTTCTCCTGTTTTAGTTTTTTTAAAATATTTATTGTCAAAAGAAGCATAAGTTTGTTGCTACTCTTCACTTCTTTTGGGTCCCTTGTTTTATATCTTTAGTTGAATTACTTATCTGAGGTAATCAGTGGAAGCAAGAAATAGATTATTTCCCATAGGCAGCCTTGACATAGTAGAAAAGTTTTCTTCAAAATTTCAAATTGTTCTAGTGGTTTCACCATACTCCAAATGTCTTTGGTAATGTTCATATTTACACATGTGACATTGTAGGCTCCATGTATATTATTTATCTCTAGATGATTAATTATTGGTGGCAAGTTACTATAGATTTGGTTATCTCTTCTTTATTGTTTTTGTTGTTATGTCTAATTACGATGAATGAGTTTGGATGACACACTGTTAAATATCAGAAAGTGTTCATAATCTTAGGAAAAAAACTGAACTCTTTCGAGTTGTTCTATTTTGGGGTAGAGTAAACTCTTTTTTGGTTTGTTTATTTTGAATTATTCCATAGTTTTACCAAGAAGTGCATGGTATCATTGATGTTAACTATTTTCAGCATATCTGCTTTAGTTTTTCTGGCACTTTTTTTTTCTTCTCCTTTTATGCTTGGGTACTTCAAAAATCTGGTATGCTATGGTAGATTACACAGTTTATTTTCCCAGGCTCTCTTTTGCCTTGTCAACAAGTAAAATTAAGGAGAAAGCTCGGGTAGTTGCTATGGACTTGAGAGGACATGGAAAGTCAACCACAGAAAATGAGACTGATCTTTCTATTGAGGTAAAAGTACAGTCAAAAGAGGATTGCTCTCCTTGATTTATTCTTGTTAGATCTTCTAGGATATAGTTCCTATATAGGTAAGCTTATCTGTCATGCTATCCACTCAACTAAATTGTAGTTCTTTATTTGCAGACTATGTGCAATGATGTTCTGGCTGTTGTGAAAGCAATTTATGGAGATTCACCCCCTGCAATTGTGCTTGTTGGCCACAGGTTGTGCTTTTTTAATTATTACCGTTGAAGTTTTCATAGTAAATCATCTTCAGTTGTGACATGTTTCCAGAAACAAAAGGAAATTCTAACACTTAATAGATGCATCAAAGAAGCTAGTAATCAACTCCGTGGGTTTTCTCCTTTTGATGACATGCATGATCATATTTATGAAGCAATCCAGAGTTTCTGGGTTAGAAAGCATATAATCTCTCTTGATCATCAATAATGTGTAGCTTATTTTTATGATAGTGATATCAGGTTCAGGAATAGACAATTTGATATTATTGATAGTTAAAAAATTCAAAAATTCATTTTCTCAAGCTCTATATATTACCAAAAAAATTGCCACTGCGAAGGATCTCTGAGGATTCCTTGTGTTCCTAACTTTCACGTGAATTGTTGTCAACTCATGTCACTGTCATACAGTATGGGAGGGTCAGTTGCTGTGCATGTTGCTGCAAAGAGAGCATTGTCTAGCTTGGCTGGGCTGGTTGTTGTCGATGTTGTAGAGGTTTGGGTTTTGCAAAATAATTATCTCAGCTTTGTTTGTGATTATTTACCTATGGTGGCATAATGGCAGTCATCTTATGCTGAAATTTGCGAATATTTCAGGGAACAGCTTTGGCTTCATTGATTCACATGCAGAAAATCCTGTCAAGCAGGGTGCACCATTTTTCAAGCATTGAAAAAGCGGTACCTACGATATCTTCAAATCCTAGTAGTTCCTAACTTCTGTTTACCTTGACTTGAAGCACAATTTTTGTTCAAAGAGTGCACTGCAATTAGGGCATCAGATTAGAGGGATGAAAAAATTAATACAAAGATTCTTAATGTCCAGATGGACTAATTTTTATGAGATCAAGGCTTTTATGGCTATCTAGGGAAAATATCAAAGTGCATCCTTCAACTTTGGGGCCATGCCAATTTCTGCCTTAACTTCCAATTGAATCAATGTAGACGCTGAAAAATCAACCAAATCCTTTACTAAAGTACAGCAGTGTGATTTCATGTTATATGACTGATTATTCTGAACTTGAGAGTTTATCTCCTTTCAGATTGAATGGAGTGTAAGGGGAGGCTCTTTGAGAAACATTGACTCTGCTCGGGTGTCAGTACCTACGACATTAAAGTATGATGATTCAAAGAAATGGTAAGTATTTAGGAAAATTTTGATAAAATTTTCCGCTCCCATGACCCATTGTTGTCTTGTTTTCGTCAAGTCTCTGTTAATCCTAGTCTTGCTCATAACAGGCACAGTTTTGGTATTATTCTGCAGTTACATTTACAGAGCACGATTGGAAGAAACAGAACAATATTGGAAAAGCTGGTATGTAGAAATTTTTTTTGTTAATATTCTAATATAAAATTTGGCATTATGGTCAGGGTCATGTCACTACTCGTGGATATTTCAATTAAAACCAAACTCATCTGCAGTATATGTACCATTGATGAGTTAGAACATTCATTCTGCATACTAGTACAGAATTTTCTTGTTGAATTGTTTGGTTGCTGAGTCCACAGAGTGTAGCATGGCTTGCTTGTTATGACAACCTGCTCATGTGACTGATTCATGCTCTGTTTGGTACTCATAAGCGCTAAAGCACTTCTTTTAGAAGCACATCATGGAAATGCAGTTGGAAGTGATTCCTAAGGAAGCACCTTTGATGTGCATCTTCTACAAGCACTTATAGGTGCTCCTAGCTCAGAAAGCTTTTTAACTATGTGTGCAACTACCAGAACGCTTTTGGTTATCTGAAAGCGCTTTTATCACTTCTAGAAGCACTGCCCAAGATTCCAGTATTTTCAGATTCACACTAGTTGGATATAGGAGAGAGAGTTCTAAATGAAACACATCACTTAAACCTATCATTTGTCTTATAATGTTTTCTAACCATGGAAGCATTTAGGTATCACATATGGAGATGCTTTTATTTATTTGTTTGTTTGTTTTGTTTATCTTTATTCTTTGTGCTAGGCATTGTGTCACAAGTTATTTCCTATTGAAATCAGTAAATATACTTACTCAAATGCAGGTATGAAGGTCTTTCAGAAAAGTTTTTGTCATGTCCAGTTCCAAAGCTCCTGCTGTTAGCTGGAACAGACCGACTGGACAGGTTCTTTTAATTTAACATGCAGGATAACCTGTCTATTTTATCTAAATGGAATCGTTTTCTTTTGGAATAAAAAATCTATCATTGTGATGCTGTTTAATCAGATTGAGTTGTGATGACACGATTTAGTGATGTTTTATTTTACCCCAAACCCTGAATGTTTGCATAGGGTACCCATGTTGGCACATTATAATGTACGACATGCGTAAAGGTTTAGGATTTGTGTCCTTCTCACAGATTAAATTTGACACATGACAAACTAGGAAAGGAATTCTTGATAATGGAAGATATCTGTCTTTAGGGTTTATCTATTTCATGCATGTGGTTAGGTTGGAAAGCTTGGTATTGTTTGGTTATGTTTGTGATTTAAGAGAACTTTTGTTTCGCTGTTTTTTGTCTTTGCTTTCCACATTGTGGCTATCTTGCCCACTTCGTTTGTAATTTTATTGTTTTCTGCTATAAATTTGTTTCTTTTAAAAAAGAAAATATATATATATCTTTAATTCTTGGCCATGAATTTAGACTAAAACTTTGTAAGGACACATGGCAGTACAAAAACATCTTAAACAACTGATGTGAAAATCCCAAATTGTTCAAGTTTCCTATTCTGAGAATTATCTGATTGTTTTGTCACAGAGCTCTGACAATTGGTCAAATGCAAGGCAAGTTCCAAATGGTTGTTGTAAGACATACTGGGCATGCCATACAAGTATGTGTTCTGCCATCTTCGGTGGAAATTGTTTTGTTTTTAAAAAATACTTTTTCTTTGTATGAAGTATAAAGGTGATTAAAACTGTGATGTCCCAAACTTTTGCAGGAAGATGTACCTGATGAATTCGCGACACTAGTAACTAATTTTATATCTCGTAACCGCATAGGCCCTCGCGGAGTTGAGGTTGGTATCCACATCCTCATTTAAACTAGTTTGTATAATATCTGGAGATTTTCTTTGTTTTTGAGTCATAAAACTTTTCTGTTTCCTTCAAAATTCAGTATCATGCCTTCAAATATGTTCCTCACAAACAATGATTTGATGAACTAGATAGGGGGGGATGGGCAATGGGTACCCATTAGGTGTTAGGGATTTGGTAATTGGGGTGGTGGTGGTGGTTGTTCTGTAACAGACCAGCGCAGCCCATCTCATAGTCCAAACCAGCACTGGTATTCTCCAACCTAACCACCTAGGTCCAATAAATTGGGTGAGATGAGACTGAATGGACCCATTCAGGTGTGGGGTTTTAACTCAAAAGGTCTCTGTAAAAGTAGTAGTTAACCGCTCACTTTTAACTTGTAGCTTATTGTAGTACTTCTCAGATGTGGGATTATGTCTATCCACATCTATGACTTGTAACCCCAACATTGGTAATGGTGAGGGTACCCATGGGTACACATTTCCCATCCCCTGGATATGGATGCTCCAATTGACAAAAGTTTTCTATAATCTTGGGTTTAATTCAGGAGCCATCTATAAAGACATTTTTTAAGATATTTATAGCCCCCTTAAATAAATAGCGACTCTACTCCATCTGTACATCTCCTTCCTCTCCTCCACTCAACTCTCTTCTCTTCCTCCGATATCCTCTCCCTTTTTCTTCTCTCTCCAACTCTTCTCCATCATAACCAGCCGGGAAACATAAATTTTAATATGATATGGTGAACTAGGAACAGGAGTAATTGTTAACAGGTTCATATCTATTTTGAGTTTAACAATGATCAACTGCTGTTTAGGTCTTCTCCATGGTACTGAAATGTGCCATGTACTTTCATGTATAAACTTATGGGTCCTCCTTGCCTCCTTTTACATCTCTAATTATATGATACATTTTGTTGCAGATTCCAGGACTCCGTCGGCCATTCCAGACCAACCCTTGAATCAGTTGTTCGGAGAATAATCAATGACATGTGTCAGAGAGAAATCGCATATTTGGATTTTATTTGGAATTCTCTTCTTCTTGGTTGGTAAATGTGGTGGGAAAGCTTTTAAATTGACAAAATGATAATTGCCATTTGGTTAAATATGTATATCAGCTAAAGAAATGTTGGAGTATGTTTAGAAATAAAGATATTACAATCTATTATCCTTTCTTTTGGTTACGTAAATAGCCTGAGATAAATCCGACTGCTAATATCGCTTTCTTCATTCGGTTCAGGCAAACTCAAATTTAGGTTAAACCCCTTGAGTTTGTATGGAAACAGAGGAATACATTTCATCTTTTAATTGGACACAAATTGAGTGGTTTGTTTTGGTATTATGAATTACATTCATTAGATGACAAATTTTCAATTAACAAGTTCTCCCCTGCATTACTGAACGTTCACATTTTTTTCATTTAAAATTGGAAGGTGTTGCATTGCAACATAATCATTTCTTCTAGGCATCAAAGGTAGGATAACAAAACCAAACATAATCGCTGAGAGGGAAAAATGGACCATTTATTCACTGCTGCAATTTACCAGCAGCACCAGAGCAATCAAACATAAAATTACACTGCACAAATCACCAGAAAAATGTTTGAAACCCATAATTTTAAGTTGCTACATACAAGAACGTAGCAGTAAATTTATCATTTGTAAAAATGGTATATCACCAAATTCATGAAATCTAGTCACAGAAACTAAATTGAATTGAATTTACGTTTGCCAATTACAGCAACCTCTTCCTAGAAAAGCAAAAGCAAGCTCGACATGCAAACAAGAATTGCAGACCTAGACGGTCCAATTTATTGGCAAAAAAATATAGAAGTACTATCCGCCTTGTTTGAAGGGACCTCCAATTACTGCAAAATGGAAAAGGTGGAACTAGTAAAATGAAAAACTGCTTATGCAGTAGATTGCTTCAAATATGCAATGAGGTCAGCACGATCTTGTGGCTTCTTCAATCCAGGGAACACCATCTTGGTACCGGGGATGTACTGCACAAAGAGGTTTCACAAGGATCAGGTTGACTGTAGAATAAATATAGAACTAAGTATGTTTAAAATACAAACACTGAAATTGTCAATAGCCCAACCCACTCATGCAAGGGAAGCTCACAGCCCCTCAACGAAACTCGAAAAATCATTAAGAGTTCTGAAGGCTTCAGTCAAAACTAATTTGGATAAAATAATAAAATCTGTTATCTCTGTAGTATTTTTCCTGTCAGTCTGCCAACCCGGCTTCCAATCTCATTCATTCAGGGGAACTGTTTTCCCAGAGCAAAGAGGAAATCTCTGCTTTTCTATCCTCACTTATAAATCAAATCGTGATTAAAAAAACTTTTAAACACAAACCTCGTTCCCCTTTCACTTACACTCAATTTCTTACACTTTCAGCAATTTGTACAATGTGATATCCATTAAGTAAGAGTTCTCATAGACTCTACATGGTTACCATATGTAACCCAAAATGCTTGAATGAAATTGGAGGGAATATGTTCCCCTCTAAGACTACACCAAACATCATGCGCGTAAGACTACAGCACAAAAAATGAAAGAGGGAAAAAGAAGTTTGATTTTGTTGCAACTACAGCTAGTATGTACCTAAAAAATTAATGTGTTTTAGGCTGTGACTATTAGCACCCCAAGAATCCCATGAGCCGTGAGGTAGACAAGGTGGATTAAGTAAATTCATACCTTCTTGGGGTTCAGCAAGTAATCATACAATGTCTTTTCCTCCCAATTCACGGCCATGTTTTTGTTAGCAGCAGAATAGGAGTATCCAGGGGTTGTACCAGACTGCCTCCCGAAAAGGCCATTCAGATTGGGTCCTGAAAGTTTTAATAATCTTAATTAGACAACTTTAATAATAATCTTTAATTGAACTGAGAACGAGCAAAACTGTCTGAGTACAAATTCCCCATTGATAGAGAAGCTGAACAATCAAGTGCGTCCACATACATGTCAAATTATAAATGCAAGTTTATACAAATGACAATCCAGGATACCGGATGCAACACATTTGTATACAGTCACTAAGACAGCCACTTAAAACTTAAAGTCATAAAAGGAAAGTATCAATGGTGCACCAAATTTCATCAAAATGTTGTAAAAGTTGAAAGCAAAGCTCACCCATCCATCAATCCAACATAACATCTATAGGTTGCCAAACTGTATACAGTTGCTAAGGCAGTAATTCAAAATTTAATGTCAGCTATGCATTAAGAAAAGAATCAATGGTGCAACCAATTTTCATTAATCCGGCGTGACGTATCTAGTTTCTTAACAGACCACTAGCCCTAAAATTTTCTAGAATTTAATTTACAGAAATAACCTTATACATAACAATAAACTACAGTAGCAACAAAAGAGACAATCACCGTCAGGTGTTGCATAATATACATAGCTGTTTAGTTTAATGTAGCTTTCATTTCTCACTAAGATGGAAAATCATAAAGAACCATTCATATTCTAAGACAAACACGAAAATCTCGTTAGTTTCCTCACGCTTTCTCAGCAACCAAACAGGAAAATTATAAATCAAAACAAAACGACGAATAACTTGATAAAGAAGCCGAACAGATCTCTAATTATACACAGAGATCAAACAATCCATAGAAAAAATAGAAACTAAAGCGAAAATCTATGATCAGGGCAACGCGTACAAAAAAAAGGGTTTATAATTGTCAGATCCAAACAAGGCACAAGCAAATTATTAAAATCAATCACCAAAAAAATAAACGAAATCTGGGATTTTGCGAGGGATAGATGACAAGATTACCCTGCTTGTGACCGGCGCCTTTCTCGACAGTGTGGCACTGAGCGCACTTTGTCTTGAAGATCTTCTCCCCGGCCTTTGCATCACCGGGTGGTGCTTCAGCAAACGACGCCATTTCTGGAGAGAGAGAGAGAGATTTAGGGTTTGCAGACGAGGGAGTTTTGATTTGCGAGAGACGCACCGCAGCGAGCTTTCTAGGAAGCAACTCTCAATTTATTTATTTTTAGGGCACTAGAATATTCTAGACGAACAAGCAAGGAGGGAACGTGGTGTGCCGCAGGCCCTAGGTTTTGATTACGTGGCGCATTTTAAGTGGCCCATATTTTTTATTGTTAATTTTGTAGCGTGATGCGCGTGTAGACCGTTCATGTGGAGGCCTTTTTTATATTCAGCGAAAAAGGGAAAGTCTTCGGACGAAAATGCGGCCTTTCCACAACGATAAATTCGACGTGTATTATTCCCTTTCTTTTTTTTCGGAAAATTAGACGTGCGCCATTGCAATCACGCCATGGGTGCAAGTTACGTTGAGGCCTTTTCATTTTATATTACTGTTGGAAACGTTTGCCATTGCAAATATGCCAATGTAAGTGACATTTTTCAATAATGATGAACAAATTGGAGTATAAAGAATCTCATTGCTAATATTTTCAATAGAAGACCCACATTATGATTAATTAGTGTTCAATTAATAAAGCAACATTTTCCATATGATTAGTCACCTTTTTCATCATGCAATACATTGTCCATGGGAAAGTCTCTTTGTCCGTATTGGGTTGCAGTTTTAGAGTTTAGGGTGTAGGTGGCGACACTTGGGACGCGACGAACCAAGTTATCCCTTGCTAAGTATGAAGGGCTAGAGTTATCCAGGGGCGGAGCCACACTGAGACCAGTGTGGTCCCGGGCCCCCATTCAAGTTTTTATATATTTTAAAAGTAATATACTATTATGTATTTCTATATGTATATTATTTCAAATGCTTTATGTTTTGATATGTACCCACATGTGTTGTGGCGGATCTATTAAGGCACAATGAGGTGCTTTAAATTGCTCATTTGCTCAGTTTACAATGTAAATAAGGAAGTACCCCCTATTTGGATTCAAATAAAAATACTAGAAAATCAAATTTCCACCAAATCAAAATATGAAAAATCATTTTTAGTGAAAAATACGATTTGAGCTAAAAATGATGGCTCATTAAGTCAGTATATACTTTATACTAAAATCCCATAAAATCAAGTTTTCTTATTTGATGTGCAAGGAATAAAAAGAAAATGATTATTTCAAAAAACCATTTTTCATACTTAGTCAATATTTTTACATAAAACATTTTTTCATGTATGATATGAATGCATGAAGGGACCTAGTTTTTTTTAGTTTGTGAAATTTTGATTTTTTCTTTCTATTGGGTTTAATGGGGGAAAAAGCTTTAAAGATATTTGCTAAATCGCTACTCTCTGTCTATCTCTTACAATTTTTCTTGCTTAAAATGCATTTTTCTATCCCTTTGTCGAGGACAATTATGATTGCAACCAATAAACAATATAATTCTTGACATATGTGATATATATATATACTATTTTTCGTATGTATTGTGAGTTCGAACTTTTGATTCTTTATAATTTGTAAGAGGCCCCCACACACATGAAATCCTAGCTTCGCCACTGGAGTTATCTCTTGTTAAGTGAAAAGGACTAGGGTCACCCTTCTCATTCTTGTCATGGTCCGACAAGTGCCTACAACAAATAGAAAGAGTGTGAGAACGAGGTCCACATATGTTATCGAATCTTAATCGAGTCATGGACTTCCACTCATAATTGGGTAATGAGTTCAGGAGTTTGGAGCAATCAGATGACCATATTGGTGAACTTGATGAAGAACCCCAACCAGAGCAAGTCTCAATTACCTTAACACTTCTTTTGTTGGAAGAGTAGCCCTTCTTGGGAATGTCAAAGTACATGTGGAAGTGAAGTTTCAACCTACAGTTGTGAGCCATGGGATCCAGGTACTCGAAACTCATTCTTAAAGTTTCTTTTTATAGTATCATTCAAGATAGAATAGCCGGTTCGGATAATAATGCAAAGTTTCAAATTTAAAAAGTAGTCTTATGTGAGGAACTGAAACGCCAAGCCTCATTCAATATTTGAAAAAGGATAATCATATCCCCCACGAAGTTAGCCTATAATGTAAGATGGGATCGGGATTGATTTTGCTCAAAAAACAAAGCCATAACCTACGTATTTCACAGAACTCGAAGTTGAGGTGGCTATACTCACCCAAGTAGGTGAAAATAAGTCAAGTGCACGATTAATATAAACCTAAACTTAGATACTACAAGGAAGCAAGACATGTCTAATACGTTCGCATATAAGATTCACTCATGAGTCCATCGTCAAAAATAAAGTATACGCCAAATAAAGCAAGTATCTCACATCACTGAAATTCACTATGTCTACCTAAAAGTATACTCCTTGATCTCGTAATCATGAACAGAGATGTCGTGGCCCGTGGTAACTAAGGCGACATCACTTGTGGCAAGAGGCGCACAATGCATTGCATATCGAGGAGAAGGTATGTCTAAGGGGTTTAGCCCGAATATGTACTCATAGTCTACAATCCCGATCCCTATCACCCTGTAATTGGCGTCGGGACCAGCCACAACCATATGGTGAAGAGGTTCCAACCATGGGCGAAGTGTTTAGCGGATTCCTTATAAATTTGAGCACAGCACATATCATACCATCTAATATTGCCGTACTTTTTATTATTATTATTATGGCCAATAGCGATATTGCTACAACTGAAGCGGTTTTTTGAGCTTCTGAAGTGGCATGTTTGTAATTTCGTTTTTTTTCAATGCTAAATGTTCCATGATATTGGGCCGTTTTTGAAAGTGGACCGGTTGAAACCCTGGGCAACGTAGGGAGAAAATTTTGGTTCCAATAGTGATAACACTATTTTGCTTTTCCGGGATACTCGTTTCATAGAAGTCTTTCTCCAAATTAGGGGTTTTGTGCTATCTGGTGTTGCAGGGAGCAACGTAAGAGATAATTCAGCCTATTATCTCCTGCCATGTAAGCTCTGTGAGCTCATGCTCTGTCGATGTTCAATTTGAAGATCCTTCATTTTCCTTTGACGGCTCTAACCCTGTTTGCGCTGTGAGCTCAGTCGATGTTCACTTTGAAGATACTAGCACCATGAAAAGGTTCAGGTACTTCTCCAACTCTCACAATCTTGACACCCTATTATCACAATCCAGACCATCATTTCATGCTCCCATTTTTCTTCCCAAAACCCTAGCCTCGCATGGGCACTCTTCTGGTAATTTCTTGAATTCAAATCAGTTTCACACGAAATCTGCTTGCTATTCAGTGAGTTCCTTGATTTCCTCAATCGGTTCTTCCGCAGTTTGTACTTCAGCAGCCCCATCTTCTCAAAAGTTGCAATCTTTACATTTGTACACGAGTGGTGTTGATAAGGGTCTGTTCGTGAATCTTTACTTGCTTAAAGATCAATATCATGGACGCTTTCAGGCATTTTCAACTGCGCCTTCGGATGCGTTCAAGCCTCCCTCGCTACCAGGAGATTCAGGTTCTGATGAGAATCATGGGTTGGGGAAAGTGGTTATTGATGGGATTGGACCGACTTCGAAGCAAGTTTTGGAAATTGTTGGTATGATTAGAAGGGGTGAGAATGATTTGGCGTCCAAGTTGAATTCGATGAATGTAAGTCTATCTATTGCCTCCATTGCTCAGATTTTTCAGGTGTTGAATTCCAAAAAAGTATCTGCTTTGTGTTTATTTGATTTGATTAAGAATTCACAGCCCATTAGTTGTTATGGAAATGATATTTGTAGCTTGGTTATTGATAATTGTGGGCGGTTAGATGATTACCATGCAATGCTTCACATTATGAATGACTTTCGATCGGAGGGAATTTGTCTCACGCGGAATGCATTTGAGTTTATATCTGTTTCGTCGTCAAAGAAGGCTTCTGTTATCAAAGTGGTAGAGGTATTGAATGAAGTTGGTGGATCGTGTCGATCCGTTGGTTTGCTCTCTTTGATTGAGATGCTCAGTGTCAAGGGTTCATTTAAAATGGCCGAGTTTGTGATGAAAATAACGGAGAGGAAGAGATCTTATTACAATATCATGATAAGAGAAAGTTGTCGGAGAAGAAATTTTGGCAGAGCTATTGATATGCTTGATGAGATGAGGCAAGTCGGTTGTGACCCAGATTCCAAAACTTACAACTATATACTCGGTAGCTTATATAAGAACTACAAATCTGCCGAAGCTACTAAACTGTTTGAACAAATGTTAGAAATGAATTGTTCTCCTGATGAAATAACCTACGAAATACTGATTTGTTACTCATGTAAAGTTGGAAATTTTGATTTTGCACACAAGTTACTTGATAGTATGGTATTGAAGGGCATTAAACCTCGACTTACATCGCATGCAGCCTTTGTCAAGGGTTATTTTAACTTGCGGAGATATAAAGAAGCATATGAGCATGTTGTTGATTCAAGTGTTAAATACAGTTGCTTTAGCAATTCAGTTTACAGTTTGCTTGCAAGGCTTTATATGAATGAAGGAAATGTAGTCATCGCCCAAAATATTCTGATTGACATGATTAATAAGGGTCTGAAACCGGATTTTGCAGTGTATACGAAAGTTTTGAAAGAGCTCTCCAAGACAGGCAGAACAGGCTTGGCTGAAGATTTGAGTAGCAGGTTCTGTAGTCTAGCATGAAGTGGATAATGTATTCCAAAAATCTGTTGGTATTTTAAAAATTTTTTTTTTTTGATATAGTTTAACTTGCAGTGTCTGTTTGTATACTGGCCTCTTTGTCCTTTCCAGTTGAAGTGTTGAACTCAGACTTCCAATTTATGAAGTGATTTTTCAAAAGCATTTCTGCTAGAGTTAATGCAAATCAGTTTAACTTTCTGATTTTCTTCCTCAACGAGGTTTCATGTTGTTCTGCAGGCCATAAGAAAAATAAATATTGTGTCCCCAAATTTCTTGTTGTGTTGGACTACAGTTTCGAAAAGAAAATAGGTAATGCATACCTTTTCTTTTATTCCTACAGTTTCGATTGATTGGCTGGCATTCTTTTTAGAATATCACGTAGGCAGACCTTAAAACCGTAGACATACATGTAGCCTTTAAATGTACTCTTGGTGACACTGAAGACAATGGACAGAGAAACCTGGCTTAATTTATGTGTTAATCAACATTCTGGTGAGGTACTGTTCTTGCTTCATTACATGTAGTTTTAGAAATTAAAGTAAGTAAAAGGAACCCTTTTTTGGGGTAAATTCTACGTCGGCTATGTCCTTCAACACATGTTTATTTCTTATGAATTTTGAAAGTTAGAATGCATCTCATATTATCTTATGTAAATGAATCTCTCAAGTTTGGACATTTTTAATAAATTCATGCACTTGAATAGTCTAGTATGAAATCCAAGTTGGTTGCATAGCATATATTGCAAAGCTGCTATTTGTGCAATTTCAGAAGACTCTCTTCGATACCCTGAAATTGCTCAACATTTGGCCTCATGCCTCACTTAGGTTTCACAAAATGCAAGTGCTGTTGAGTCCTTAATTTCTTGCATTCTTGAGAAATTTTGGTGCGTTCAACAAGATATTCTGCAACATCTTGTTACAAATATGATTTTCTGCTTCATTCAGAAAATAATATATATTTGCTTTCTGTGTCAATGCTTTATATGTGTTTGTGTTCATCCGATGGATGGATGTTCTGTGAAGGAGAGCCAAATTGAGTTTTGATGGTTGACAAAGAAACGTCTGCTAGAGTAATATGACAATATTCGCTCTATTATCATGGTGTCTTGTGCCATTCATTTTCAGTGTCTAATGTGATCATGGTTTTGGATGGTTAGTTCGATGGGACTGTTGTATTTGCAACAAGGTGAAAGAAGTTTGAGTTCTTTTACCTTTTAAAGATCCATAGGTGCACTTGATTTTACTTGAAGGAACTCCAGATATTGAATCTCCATGCATAACATGTTTATTTATCAGGAAATGGTATTAGAAATGAGTCTAATTTCTGACTTCCCAGACATAATAAGAAAAAAAAAAAAAAAAAAAAAAAAAAAAAAAAAAGTAATGATTTTCCCACTCCAATTTTATACACTTACACTCTTTTTTTAGTTATAAAATGGAGTGTAAGTGAATAAAATTGGAGTGGGGAAATCACCACTCAAAAATTATAATAGTTTCATAATTCAATATCCTCAAAACCAAGAAGTGGGGTGAATTAGGGAAGTAGTTGATTCAATTCCTTAATTCCCCTATCCTAGGTACCCCAATTGTCGACTTCTTCCATTCCGAGCATGATGGTCATGGTAACTTGGATTTAACTTGAAGATTGTATAGTATGTTAAAAGAAATATCCAAAAATTTCCCTTATCTTTTTTTTATATTGGAAAAAAAAAAGGATTTTTCATTCACAAAAGCAAAAGGGATCATCCCTGTCAAATAAAAGTCGTCTGTTTAGAAGGTAAAAATGGGGTCTTCAAGTTGAGTAGGGTTTATGATGTTCCAAATGGAACAACTATTAGAAAATGGAGGGAACGAATACGGGGAACAAAAAACCTCATGCTAACGTGGCATATTTTCAGCCTCAAGATTCTCCTTTCAAGCATATTAACGGTTTAGACGGCTGAGATTAAAAGAAAGACGGGAGGCAACAGCAAAACAAATTAGCCATTGAAGAGAGAACCCTTCACTCTTCTTCACTCTTCGCACGCCGCCGCCAGTTTTTCCGTCACTTCGCCACTGAAGAAAACCCTTCACAGAGCTTCTCAGTTTTCAGCCATGGCGGAGCTAAAGCTCTCAGAGAGTCGGGACCTAACTCGAATAGAGCGCATAGGCGCACACTCCCACATCCGAGGGCTCGGCCTCGACTCTGCCCTAGAAGCCCGTGACGTCTCCGAGGGCATGGTGGGCCAGACCTCGGCGCGAAAAGCCGCCGGCGTAATTCTCCAGATGATCAAAGAAGGCAAGATCGCGGGTCGGGCCGTACTGTTGGCCGGTCAACCCGGAACCGGAAAGACCGCCATCGCCATGGGCATGGCCAAGTCGCTCGGCCTCGAAACCCCCTTCGCTATGTTAGCCGGAAGCGAGCTCTTCTCTCTCGAGATGTCCAAGACCGAAGCCCTAATGCAAGCTTTTAGGAAAGCCATTGGGGTTAGAATTAAGGAAGAGACTGAGGTCATCGAAGGTGAGGTTGTGGAGGTTCAGATTGACCGGCCTGCGGTGGCTGGAGCGGCTTCGAAGACCGGGAAGTTGACTTTGAAGACAACGGAGATGGAGACGGTGTATGACTTGGGGGCCAAAATGATTGAGGCTTTGGGGAAGGAGAAGGTGCAGAGTGGGGATGTGATTGCTATTGATAAAGCTTCTGGGAAGATTACAAAGCTTGGTAGGTCGTTTTCGAGGTCGAGGGACTATGACGCCATGGGACCGCACATCAAGTTCATGCAGTGCCCTGATGGAGAGTTGCAGAAGCGCAAGGAGGTGGTGCATTGTGTCACCCTTCATGAGATTGATGTCATCAACAGCAGGTACTTGAAAATCTCAGCTTCAAGCTTGTGTTGTTCATAATTACTAATATTGAGAGCATGCTGCTATGAATTATGAATTTATGATTGTTAGTTATATAATAATCTTGGGAAAATTGCAATTAGCCTCTTAATTTGGTATTCACTGGTGAATTGTAAGTGTAATTGGTTTTTACATTTTTATCTTTTCACATACTGGCTCTATCTAGAGTGTATATGAATCATTTTCACATAACGTAGTTATCAGCGGTGTAGGGGACTACCACTCTGTTTCTGAGTTGGAGGTTTTGTACCTCAGTTTTGATTTATGTGGGCTTTATTTGAGTTCTACAACATTGTGTGGTAAGATTCTATTCATGTAGAAGTTTTTTCAACTCTGTAGAGATTACAATCGCGTATAAGTTAGAAGGTAGAAGCTTTTCTCGTCCTCGCTAATTTTCAACTGTGTTGGTCCACCAAATCACAAAAACTGTGTATATGTTTTTCTGTTTTCAAAGAAAAAATGTGGATTGTATGAGGCTACATGTACCGAGAGAAGGGTTTCAAATAAGAATCAGTACCCTTGATCTTGAATTGCCAAAGTGGCTGTAGCCAAATTGAATAATTGGGAAGTTTACTGGCCGGCCGTTGTGAGATTTTTCTCTGTCGACGGATCTGCTTACCGAGTTTCTTACATTTCTTTAATTTAAAAAAAATGATAATAATTTTTCCCATTTGGTGTACTAATGAATCATATGAGAAGGGGAGAAGAGGGGAATGGCATAGGATTTAGCCTTTCCAAGAGGCCCTTGTCTAATATCAGCATTATCATTGAGCCACCTTCCAGGCAAACTTGCTTTGACTCCCCAGCTGTTTGCGTCTATGGGTGCCTGCATATTTTAGATGGGTTTTATTTTTTAAATACAATGCCCTTAGGAAAACCTACATTTGGTCACCTTCCAACCAAACTAGAAAAAACCTAACCTGAAGAAACTTCAGGGAAGGTTAACTCCACCAAAATCTGAATTTTATGAAGCTTGGAGCTGAAATTGCAATTGAGTTTTGGTGAGAGTGAACACATGCACAGAAATCTACAAAATATTTTAGGAATTTCAAGATATTTATCAATCTTGATTTGTTTTGGATTGGAGTTACAGTTATTATCATGATAAATGTGCCTGTTTTAGTCCTCATTATTTTACTGTTCTAGTGGCATTGGATGATAAAACATCCATTGCAATGCCACTACTTTAGTCTCAGTATTGGCTGTGGATTAATATGACATTTCTTTGATTATACTGTATTGCTTTTCCAGAACACAGGGATTTCTGGCTCTATTTACTGGTGATACTGGTGAAATCCGTTCAGAAGTGAGAGAACAGATTGACACAAAGGTGGCAGAGTGGAGGGAGGAAGGGAAGGCAGAGATTGTGCCAGGTGTCCTCTTTATTGATGAGGTGCATATGCTTGACATTGAGTGCTTTTCATTTTTGAATCGTGCTTTGGAGAATGAGATGGCTCCAATATTAGTTGTTGCTACCAACAGAGGGATCACTACCATCAGAGGCACAAACTATAAATCCCCCCATGGGATTCCTATTGACCTCCTTGATCGCCTGCTTATCATTACCACCCAGCCTTACACAGAGGATGAAATTCGTAAGATTCTGGACATCAGATGCCAAGAAGAAGAAGTTGAGATGTCTGAAGAGGCAAAGCATTTGTTGACCAAGATTGGTGTTGATGCATCCTTGAGATATGCTATCCATCTCATAACAGCTTCTGCCTTGGCATGCCAAAAGCGGAAGGGAAATATTGTGGAGATGGAGGATATTAACCGAGTTTACCATCTGTTTTTGGACGTAAAGAGATCAACACAGTACTTAATGGAGTATCAGAGTCAGTATATGTTCAGTGAGGAAGGTGATGAAGATGATACCAATGCCATGCAATCTTGAGAGATTCCTTGCGACTAGGAAAGACTTTGTGTTTATTTCTGTATCTTGGTTTATTGGTTTTAGGCAGCACTGGACTTTTTTCATGGGAAAACGGCATTACTGCTCGTGTATGTTTTGACCCTGTTTAGAGTTTTGGGATTTTATGGTAGTTTTGTGGTTTTTCCATTTGAAGCATGAATCTGTAATATTTATCCACATACAACAATGTAGCAGGAATAGTCTCATGACTTTGATATCTAATCTACTTTAATCTAGGGTTTCCGCCTACATCTTCCTCCGGGAGCCTTACAAGTTACAGAACCTTCGCTTTAATCAATTGTGATTCGTTCAATCCAACTCTGTCCAAGGGTATTGTAAGGGGTTGTTTAATCAATTGGCAAATTTCAGTTGTTAGTCCAGTTTAGTTTGTAATTCACATCTTCCCTCCTTTCTCATCTCCCCGAGATGCCGATTGCTGAGTTAAAAAGTGGAAGAAAGTAACAGATACAGTTTTTGTTCGTCAATCAGTCTCAAAATCTTGTATGCATGTTAATTTATGATAGAATGTGAATTGCCAATCATTAACTAAGGTATGCTTTGAAAAGTAAAGGATAATTGTTTCTGCAAGTCTTATGCAACTCTATTGAAATGAACACCGATTGCACTCTTCAATCCTTGGTATTTCATTTTGAATTTCGAAGAATTTTTCATAGAAATTAAACACAAAGTCACAGAATTTTTTTAAGGCAAAAGCTGTTTCAAGCCACATGATAAAACATTGCTTAACATATAGCATAAATGCACTATAACACAACTTACACAAGATATGATTTTCTTTTCTTATCCTGTTAACTCTTGTTGTGAGGGTAATGTTGCTTGCATAACAGTATTTTCATCTCAGAGGCTAAATGTAACCTCTGTAGCTCCTCATTCTGATTTCTCGCACTGGTTTTTCACTTTCTCTTTTCGCGCTTTTTCTGCATTTATAAAGGCAAACTCATTCATCATGCTCCGTGCGCTCCCATTGGTTCTGCAAAAGTCTTCCTTGTTTAGTATTCAACCTTCTTTACAATGTTGTCTGTGTGGAGCATAGAGGCTTGTAGGAGTTGGTGCAGTAGATGAGAACCCAAGAGAGGGCCTAACATGCTATGACGTTGGTGCAGATTGAGATGCTTACCGCTAAAGCTCTCTGATTACTTCAGGCTCCATAGGTGAGGTGGTGACCAGTGTTCAAAAACTCAGAGAACAAATTTTCTGAAAACAGTGGGCCAGTGACCCCCTTTGCTCCTTTGTGCGTCCGCCCTGTAAGTATTCATAAGTTGCTTGTTAGATCTAAATATTCATAACTTGATCGTATTAGGACATTGTCTATATAGTAGATGAGAGAGATGGAGCATATTAACATAACAGAAAAAGTTTGGAAGATTCAGAAGCCAATTCTTCAATATCAAATATATATGAATGAGATCTAGCTAGTCTACCTAGACGATCCATCTTGTGACAGATTAGCATGGTAACAAAACATAAATCTTTTGCTAGGTTTTCATGCCATATTACCATGAGTTTGTTAAGAATTCAAGAACACAATCCCAATCTGCCAAATTTGGGATCAGTACCGAAATTGATACCAGGCCAGATGAAAGAACAAGTGCGCTTTGTTTTGACCGTACAATGAAAGAACAATTTCATAAGTTCACAGTAACAGAAGATAGGCTTGCAGTAAATTGGTTTTCAGCGTCTCAGTGTAACAAAGTATATGAATGTTTGTAGAAGCCAAAAGTAAAAGGTCATTTCAAACCCTTCTTCTAAATGTTGAAAGAAATAATCACACAAGAAACAACAGGAACATATTGCAAAAAGCTATATTTAGAAACTGAAATATTCACATCCATTTTGAGATTACCACTTTCTGCATTCTTTATTTCCTTCATTTTTGTGCCCAAAGTAAACTGATTGAATCCTTGGTATATAATTTTGAATTTTGACAAATCATTCACTGAAATCTGACACAAGTGATAGAAAAAATAACTAAATATTTTAAGGAAATAGCTGCTCCAAGCCACATGATAAAATAATGCATGACTTTATGAACTACGTATACCAACCAGAAGGAAGTAAGTTTAAGTAGGAAATGCGTACCTTTTGATGGTACAAGATGATGAGGCGAGGGAAGCCTAGAGAAGATGGATATCTTACGTAGACATTGCTTCTTCAAGAATATCATGCTGAGCTACTATATGATGATTCCAAACATAAGAAAGAAACAACAATAAAAAAATCTGATTAATGAACACTAAATATGGTAAATGAATGTATAAATAAATAGATAGATGAGAAAGTAAGCCTCTAACCAGAAGAGGTGGATAGGATTGCCACATCCTTTTCTTGTAGAAGCCCATCATCCTCATCATCATGATCAGGGCCAAATGTGATGTTTGGGATGTGAGAAATCTTGGGCCACTCCTTTCCGGTGCCTTTTCTGTAACTTTGCGCAAGACTCCGACAATGAAAGAAGGAAAGATTCTGCAGTGGTGATTTTAGCAGGAAGCCTGGCAGTGTTTTTAGGCTATTGCAAAAAGTAAAATTTAAGGAAAAGGCATGGCATTATGGTAATTCCATCAGAATGCTCTTCCTTCACCCATCCCATTCCTTCCCACTCTTGCAGACCCCACATGCTTACAAGTCCAAGGTGTTTCAATTTTAGATGAGGATGATTTTGTTGATCTTTGATTTTCTATTCCCAAAAATTCATCTCCAACCTTTTTCACTTTCCTCATGTCTGATAAGATCAGTCTTTCAAGGGACGGCAATTTACCAATAGGAGGCAAAACCTTACATTCATTCCATCTATGAAGAATAAGGACTCTCAGATTGCGTAAACACATCATCCATACGGGACCAGTGGTGCCATGATAGAACCTTATGCCTAAATACTCCAAATCTTGGTGCGGTCGTAAGGCATTCAGTATTTCTACACTGTTGCTTCTTCTCTCCTTGCCTTGAAAATTCTCAGAAACTAGTTCCAAATGAGAAAGTGCTTTTTGTTCCACAATTGTGCTTTCTCAGCCTCACCAACATCTTTGGCATCTTACCAAATTCTTATTCTAAGACCACCTTCCAAGGTTCCCAGGTCTCCCAGTTTCAGTGCTTCATTGTTGTCACTGCCGCAAACATGATACTCATCTAGTGTCCTTAGACTTGTTAATCTCATAATCCCTCATGGCAAGTACTTGAGCTTATCACAACCCTGAACATAAAGATGACTTAAGTTAATCAACTTCCCCATGCTTTGAGGTAGACTTTCAAGTTCCTTGCACCCAATAAAGCGCAACGTTTGCAAATTGTACAAATCACACACTGTGTTCGGTAACTTCTTCAAAGAAGGATTATGAGAAAAGTCAATACACCTCAAATGTACTAGTTCACCAATCTCTTCTGGCACTTCTTCGATAAGATTATAACTCAAACTTAATGTCCTAAGACATTTCAATTCCAAAATTAAATTGAGTGTATAGTTGTGATTTTTGAATCGAAAGCTGTGAGGCTATGCAGATTTTGAAATTGCAAGATGAAATAGATAATGGAAATGGGCCCTTCGGTGCAAACATTAGGGTTAAATGGCGGACCTTGTCATTCCCTAGCCCTATTTTTCATTAGCACTCGAGCTCTATCTCATTCTTATTAGTACCCATAGCCTCCATACGAACACAATCATTCTTAGTGAGAAACTGCACAAAGTCATGCACAATGTTATGCATTTGCACTTCCTAATATTTCCGTCATAATCTTTTTCCAAATCTTGGAAGAGAGATCGCATTACCAAATTATCAAAAAATCTTTGGCCTATTATTTTCTTTTCTTTGTTTCCTTTCAAGTTAAGAAAATCTTGGGACATCCACAGCTCAATCAAATTATCTTTGTTGAATTCATAATCTTTTGAAAAAATAGCACAATATAAAAGACGACGTCTGATCGCAGGTGCCAAATCATAATAACTAAGTAATAGTGGTTGGAAAACCTGTTGCTCAACCTCTTGCAGATCCCATACCTTACAATCCAACACATCTTGCCAATATTCTTTCATGGTTTTCTTATAACGCCTCATACCACCCATAGTCTTTGCGGCAAAGAGGCAAACCCTTACATCTCTTTGCAATCTCTTTGCCAATAGATTCAAATGCTTGAGACTAATATTTTTCCCTACCAGAAAATGCAATCTGTTTGAATATTGACAAACAATCCTGTTCACTCAACACCTCCAAGTGAATCATATGAGTGGAAGCTCCCATCATAATAGCAACTTCCTGCTTTCGTGTGGTCACCAATACTCTACTGTCTTTGACACAACTTTGAATTAATAGAAAAGTTGATATATATCTAAATTTCCATTGAGGAATTGGGTTTAATCCTCGGATTTGGTGATCACTTTGATTCAAGTCCTTTGACTTTTGTGCCACACAGAATTACATTCATTTTTTAATATTTTATGATGTAATCTTTTTATTATTTTATTTTAAAATCATTTTTTGTTCCAATGTTGCCCCTTATGACTTGAATCGGGTAAGTCATTTTATGTCATATTGCCTATTGCCTATTGATATGCATATGTTTTTTCATATTTTCAACAATGTGTAATAGTATTTTATCTACCTTTTAAAATATATATATATATATATATATAGGTAACACATAATTTTATTTGTCTATTTTTGTACATAACGTATAGGTAGTCTTCTAATTTATGTTCATAACTTATAGATAGTCTTCTAATTTATGTTCCTAGCTTATAGGTAACGCGATTTATCACCAAGTTTTTTTCGTTGCTAATAATAACACTATTTACTAGTAGGTCATGTACATAATTTAATGTGAATCCTTGTCTGATTAATTGGTATAATATGTGCATATTACTTTTTATTGATTAAATTGTATTTTATCCATATATTAGGAATATTATGAAGCAAATAATTCAAAATTCAAATTTAAGAGCAATCCAAATGAAATGGCCCTCAAATCTGGATTATGTTCATCATGTTACTTTTGGGATCCTCCTATATATATTGGAATGGAAGGAGAGTCATCTTGATTTTTGTCCGTGTGAGGGGCATCATTTGTCTCAAATACTTGTCGTAAATAACATCAGCAATTTTTTTTTTTTGGGTACAAACGATTGGTTTTAAAGGGGTCATTAAATATAAGTTGTTTATTACTAGTTGTATATACTAGAACATTGTCTACATAATATTGTGGATTAGAGAGGTCAAAAAGTTGGGAGCCCAAGGCTGTTGCTGCCCTAAGAGTGGTTCTGCCACCACACATGCAAAAACAAGCAGACAGAATGCAAATTGTGACAGATTATAAATATAATAATAAATAATAAAAACCCCTTAATTATGCACCAGTTTCAAAAGTCTTCTGAGTGCCATCATGCCATGCAAGAAATGAGGCAGAGTTTGGATCTCCAGTATTTACCTCTGCGTCCGTTGCTTTCTCTAACCATCATTCAAAACCAAACATATTACGACCATGGCATATGCTTCCATAACCAATAAACTCTCAAACATTATTTTGCACGTGGGACAAATAAATATATTAATTCCTCAATGTCATCTGAATGATGCCTAGCTACTCTATTTATACGATCCATCTAGTGACACGCTAACAAAATTAAATATTTTGCTATATTTTCATGCCATATTACCATGAGTTTGTCAGGAATTCAAGAACACCATCCCAGGTCTGCCAATTTGGATCGGAAGCCGGAATTGAACCAGGCCAGATGAAAGAACAAGTAAGTGCCCTTTGTTTACACCCTGCAATGAAAGAAAAATTTCATAAGGTCATAGCAACATAAGATGAGCCTATAGTCAATTGGTTTTCAGCCTCTTAGGGAAACAAAGTATATCCCCTTTCTGCATTCTTTCATTATTGATACTCGGTCATGATTGAAGGTTCGAAACCTGTTTTAATCAACAGAAAAAACGGAATTTGTATCTGGAATGGGCCTATGAACTAGTAACCAGAAGGAAGTAAGTTAAGTAGGAAATGTATAGAAAAAATATACCTTTTGACAGCTCACTCTGTTCCGGTTAACACAGCTGTGAGTGATTTCAACTACAGAACATGCTTTTCTTGTACAATCTCATGACCCTCCTCATCATCAAAATCAGGATCAGTTTCGTCAATTGTGATGTTTGGGATGTGAGAAATCTTGTGCCACTCCTTTCCTGTGCCTTGTCGGTAACTTCGTGCAAGACTCCGACAATGACGGAAGAAAAGATTCTGCAGTGGTGATTTTAGCAGGAAGCCTGGCAGTGTTTTTAGGCCACTGCAAAGCGTAATATTTAAGGAAGAAAGGCATGGCATTATTGTAATCTTATCAGAATCCTCTTCCTTCACCCCTCCCACTCCTTCCCACTCTTGCAGACCCGACATGCTTACAAGTCTGAGTTGTTTCAATTTTGGGAATAAAATACATGCTGATGAGGATGATTTATTGATGTTTGGTTTTCTATTCCCAAAAACTCATCTCCAATCTTTTCACCTTTCCCATATCCGATATCATCAATCTTTCAAGGGACGGCAATTTACCAAGAGGAGGCAAAAATTGACTTTCATTCCATCCATGAAGAATAAGGATTCTCAAATTGTGTAAAGACATCATCCAATTGGGACCACTTATGCCATGATAGCAACGTATATCTAAATATTCCAAATCTTGTTGCGGTCGCAAGACATTCAGTACTATTTCTACACTGCTGCTTTTCTCTCCTCGTTTTGAAAATTCTCAAAAATTAGTTTCAAGTGAGAAAGTTGCTTTTTGTTCCACAATTGTGCTTTCTCAGCCTCACCATCTTCGCCATTCCCCGGAATTCTTATCCTTAGAACACCTTGAAGCTGGTCCAAGGTTCCCAGGTCTCCTAGTTTCAATGCTTCATCATTGTCACTACCACAAACACGAAACTCATCTAGTGTTCTCAGACTTTGTAATCCCATAATCCCTTTTGGCAAGTACTTAAGCTTATCACAACCGGAAACATAAAGATGGCTTAAGTTAATCAACTTCCCCACGCTTTGCGGTAGATTTTGAAGTCCATAGCACCCAACAAAGCGCAAGGTTTGCAAATTGTATAAATCACACACTGCGTTCGGTAACTTCCTCAGAAAAGGATTGAAAGAGAAATCAATATACCTCAAATGTACCAACTCAACAATCTCTTCTGGCACTTCTTCGATAAGATTATGACTCAAATTTAATGTCCTAAGACATCTCAATTCTAAAAGTAAATTTGAGTGTATGGTAGTGATTTTTGAATCCAAAGCTGTAAGGCTACGCAGATTTTTGAAATTGCAAGATGAAATAGATAACGGAAATGGGCCCTTCGGTGCAAGCATTAAGGTTAAATGGCGAATCTTGTTGCCCCCTAGCCCTATTGTGTAATTAGCACGCAAGAGCTCTGTCTCAATGTTAGTACCGATAGCCTCCATACAAACACAATCATTCTTGGTGAGAAACTGAACAAAGTCATGCACGATATCATGCATTTTGCACCCTATAATATTGCCATCCTCATCTTTTACTAGATCTTGGAAGAAAGATCGCATTACCAAGTTACAAAAAAATCTTTCACCTATTACTTTCTTTCTTTGTTTCCTTTCAAATTCAGAAAATCTTGTGACATCCACAGCTCAACCAAACGGTCCTTGTTGAATTCATAATCTTTTGGAAAAATAGCACAATATAAAAGACAACGTCTGATCGCAGGTGCCAAGTCATAATAACTAAGTAATAGTGGTTGGAAAACCTGTTGCTCAACCTCTTGTAGATCCCATATCTTACTATCCAAAACATCTTGCCATTCCCTCCTGGTTTCCTTATAGCGCATCAGACTACCCATAGTCTTTGCCGCAAGAGGCAATCCCTTACATTTTTTGCAATTTCTTTACCAATAGATTCAAGCTCATTAGACCCAAATTTTTCCCTACCAGAAATGCAGTGTGTTTGAATATTGACAAACAATCCTGTTCACTCAACACCTCCATATGAATCATATGAGTGGTAGCTCCCATCATAATAGCAATCTCCTGCTTTCGTGTGGTCACCAATATTCTACTGCCTTGGCACAACTTTGAATTAATGGTGTCTCTAATTTCTCCCACTTTCTTTGGTCTTGTGTCCACACATCATCTAGGACTAAGAGCAACTTTTTTGCCGCAATGGATTCAGACATACATTGCAAGAAATCTTCTAACTCATCTGATTCAGGGTGGTGCCTTTGGCACCATGAATGATGGCTTTGGCAATTTTAATCTCATCAAAAGGTTCCGAGACACAAACCCATATTCTCTTCTCAAAATAGGATTTAACATTTTCATCATTATAGGCCAGTTGAGACAGAGTGTCTTTCCCATTCCTCCCATCCCCACAATGGGGATGACAAGGAGGCCGTTTCCTTCTTCGCTACTCTGGCTAAACAACTTGCTAACCAAAATACCCTTTTGTTTTTCTCTACCAAATACAGCAGATGTATCAACAAAAGATGAAGTTTTTTCTCGTTCTGGCAGTTCAGTGCTTCTTTCCAAGTATTGAAAGTTATATGTTTGTCTTTGCTTGGCAATCACAACCAAGCTTTCATTCAGATTTTTTATCTTAACAGCAATGTCACGGTGACGAATTACGCGACTTACTTGGCCGAAACAAAAGCAATATGAGAGAATAGAGAAACATACCATCTTCTTATTAGCAACACGAGCATTTTCACCATTTGCTTCTTTTTTTACAACTTCTTGTTTGAGAATCTCAGTGTTCCACTCATCCAACACATCGTCCATCCTGTAGGCTATATCTTCCAGCTTATCCAACCAGTTTCTCACACTGGCCTCCTTCACTTGCCTTTGCTCTGCATCCTCAAGCACGGCTCTAATATCTTCGAGATGGGCAGCGAATTCTTCAACTTCTTTCTTGGCATCCAAAACGAATCTCACCTCATCTTCTATGTGGTGATAAGTTACAGAAGCCAATCGTTCTAGGAGCACGGAAATGAGTGCCTCCACCATGTTTGTTTGACACTGGAAACAGAGAAACACAAGATCTATGAAGTAAGAAGTGCAAGATGAGCGTTTGGTATCGCCCTTATTCTACCCAAAAGACTCCAAGTCGACTAGATGGGAGAAAACCGTGTCCACTTAACCAAAAAAAAAAAAAAAAGATCAATGGTGGTTAGTTGGTCGGTCATGTCAACATTATTTGTCTCATTCCAAAAAAATAAAATAAATAATTCTTGGTCATTAGATGAAAGCAACGTTGAAAAAAAGATTTTAAAGCTGGCCGTCCAATCCAAATGAAATGGCCCTCAAATCTGGATGTTCATCATGTGGCTTTTGGGCTCCTCTATATGTATTGGAATGGAAGGAGAGTCATCTTGATTTTTGTCCGTGTCATTTGTCTCAAATACTTGTCGTAAATAACATAAGCTTTTTTTCTTTTTTCTTTTTTTGGGTAGCGAGTAACGTGAACATCATGTACAACGATTGGCTTTTCAACAAAACTTTTAGTGTTTTTCTTCTTGTGCTTGAACTATTTGAGCTATCCAGCAACCTGTGATTGTCCATAAATTATCCTATTCAACAACTGAACCAAAAAGAAGAAGAAAAAAAACTATGGATTTCAGCTTTAAATCCAGATGCATTATGCTAATGGGTGAAAGGATACCACCCCGGTCAGGTAAGAGCAGAGAAGCATATGATCTTTTTGTATACTATCGGGAACGACTATTCGATCTCTTTAGTTATCGTTACAGAATTTAAAGGCATCAACCATTAAATCCACAGTCCAAAGATCGAACCAAAACGATTAGAATGAACCCAAGGAATAACCAAATCAATCAAGAAACAAGCAACCACAAAGAACACATTATGTTGGTCATCTCTCCAACTCAATCTGATTTTGTCAATACGATCGGATACGAAGTCTCCAGTAGGCACTGAATTCTTCCCATATTTTTCGAGTTTTAATAATTATGCTTTTGAAAACCACTAGACTTTTTAAATTGGTCATCTCAGCTACAAAAACATATGTGTCTTTTCAGGCTGAATTCCTTCATGATCATAAGGTTTTAAGTTTCTTTATGCTGCTTCAAACACAATTCTTGTTGCTGGAGCAGGCATTGAACCATGGATTGGTCTACTTACTACCTTTACCATTATCAATAGCAGCAGTTGGATTATTTCCAATATTCTGAACATCATTATGAACAACAAGTAGTAAATTCGTTGACGTCTAATTGGCAAAACATGATCAATTTTCAGTCACGGGATTATGGTTCATCGGATTTCCTACACCACTAATTGGAAAAACATGATCATTCCGATCACCATTCGATATATTGCCCTAGACATTATTATCACCATTTGCTCCCCCAAAATTGCCGCACTTGGACTAGCTGTTGACCACGATTAAGCATCAAGTTCTGAACATTACAAGTTACTTTCCAGCCATATTTTATTTGTTTTCGATCAATAACGGGAAAATTCAGGCCACTAAATTGTTCTGGTTGAGCTAATTAAAAAGTGGTCAGTCTGACCACTATTGCCTTGTGGAGCAAGCGACACCTCATAAGATAGCCTAAAGGATAGGATATGGGTTGCATCCTTCTTTTTAAGACGCTCAAAGTCCTCGTTGATTTGTTTAATCAAACACCATGTTTGTCTTTGGACATTGTTTTATTTGGAAGGTTCCATGTTTTTCTTTCAATGCCATCATAAGTATAAATGGGCTGATTATATATATATTTTGGGGTTTGTTTTTTTTTTTTTTTTTTTTTTGTTGTTGAGATAGGGGGGACAAACCCCAAAAAGAAACAACAACTAACTAGTATAGATTAAACGAGGCCTAACAACTCCTAAAAAAATCATCCTAAAAAAAGAGCTAACCGAAGCAGGGGCCTCATCCAAATCGCTAACCCCCAAATTCAAGTTAAAGCTCCAGTTAGCCATATGATCAGCTACAACATTCATTTCTCTATAAACATGAGCAAGATGACAGTTGCCAATACGCCTCATAAGAACACAACAACTCTGAATTAACGCAGCAAGAGGATGACAACTCAAGGTACCAACTTGCTGAACAAGGGAAACAACAATTGCATCATCCATCTCAATAATTAAGAAGATTAGAGATACCTTTATCACAAGCCAAATGAAACCCAAAATACAAGCCCTAAAGCTCAGCCTCAAGGATCTGCCCCTTGCCTAAATTCACAGCAAAACCACAGATCCAATTGCCATTAGCCCCACGGATCACTCCGCCAGCACGAATACAACCTGAGGCTGCTCTCCTAGAACCATCCAGATTCAATTTAAACATACCTAAACCAGGAGGCTCCCAACTGAGTAAAAGCTGAGCTTTAGGATTCACCTTAACACCCTCATGAGAAGCCTTGACTCATCTTTCACAGCCATTGAGATAGTCTTAACAGGGTCATCAACAAACTCATCAAGAGGTAGAAAAATATGATTATCCCTCCATTTCTACAGGTACCAACAAGTAAAAACAAACACAACTGACCAAGGCAGACCACCACCCCATTTAGCTTTAGAAAGGAGATTAACTTTAAGCCAATGTATGAAATCCTGCTTAAAAAAAGGGGGAGCAAATCCAGGAATAGAAAGAGCATGTCAAACACTTTGAGCCCTTTCATAGTCACGGAAAATATGCAACATAGATTCCACAGGCCAATAACATAACCCACAAGAAAATCAATAGCTGACGCCTCACTCTATACTCATTGGACAGATTTTACTTTGGGACGCAAGCTAAAAAAGATTTGCAACTTGAGAGGAATTTTCAGCTTCCAAAGGAAAACCCAACTAGACTCAAGCCAAGAAGGACCAACAAAGAACAACTTATAAGCAGCCTTAATAGAGAAAACACCATTAGAAGAAGCGTGCCAAATTTGAGTATCAAATAAAGACCCATGAACACCCACAGGAATACTCACAATTTGTTGAACTAAATCCTCTGAAAGAGCTTATCTTAACTTGGAAATATCCCACCAATTATGAAGATATTTTGGTTCTTTATATGTTGGCTTTTTGTCATCATTTTGACCATTAGAAGTATAAATTGGCTCTTTGTAGCCATTGTAATGATTTTGATTCTTGAAACACCCAACAAAGCCCCTTTTGGCCTATCGATGTCATAGTCCGGCTTGTGGTCATTTTTATTATTATTAGAGTAATAATTTGGATTATAATCATAATTTGCAACTTATTGTGGCTGTTTTTCATCATATTCTGAATTTTGGTAGTAAGGGAGGGGCCATCATGAATAGGCCAGAAAATTAATTAATTTAACGAACTTGAAATAACTCGCGCATCGCGTAATTCAACATTTAAATCGGGGGAGAAACTAGCTCCATGTAGATTAGAATCTAAAATACCCTTCAATAAACAAGTACAATTTACCGGTTGGGAGCCAAACGGGCCAATCTGGAAAAAGTTGTAAGAGGTATTATAATTCTCTTTTTAGGACCCCATCATGAATAAAAGCAATGTTAGATTTCCACACGAACTAAATCTTAAAGCAATCATATTCTCCTAATCTCCTCATTGTCTCATAACACATTGCAGACCCATGCTTGTATCACGTGGACCTCATGCCAGCCCCATATTAATTAACCTACTCCTGCCACGTGGCCCACATGGGTCCACAGACTTCCCCGCCTTTAGAAAAACTGCAAATAAACCAATTTTTTAACCAATTAGATTCCATCTAAACCTGCATAAACCAAAACCCACCGCGGCTTCTCTGTAATTAAAGGCACAACCAGGTCCTAAAATGCTCACCAGCACTAGTTTGGTGTACACGTGGAGAATGTAGGACCCAGATGCAGAAAGAGCCACTGTGACGCATCGCAGAGAAGCCACGTCGTACAAAGGGGCGTTAGTTGCTTTCTGTCTCTTTCTATGGTGCATCGACTTGGAGAAATACTAGCCATTTTTCTTCTTCCTTGTTCGTAACTTCTCTCACTGCCACAACTCGCAAGCAAAGGACAGAGTACTAAGACGGTGCGTTGTAGGTTCGAAGTGGCTCTCTGAATCTCAGATCTGGAAGCTTCTTTGCTTGAACTTGTTGGTAAGTAGACGGTTACTGTTGATTATCATATGCTTGATTTTTTCCTGTTTGGGTGCTGAGAAAACTAGAGAAAGGAAAGGAAAAATTTACTTGGTTGATAATTTTCTTCTTTTTGTTTTTGTAGGAGTTTGGTAATGGAGAATTGATCTACTTACAGAAATAGTAAGTAACTGTAGAGAGAGTAATTGGGATTTGGAAATGGCTACTTACACTGAATTTCATCAGCCTGATATAGCTTCAGACCGTCAACACTCCCAGGTACTAATTCTGTGAAGTTCTTGCTTTCACTTCCTGAATTCTCTTTTTGGTTACTGAGAAATTGAAATTCTAAGTTTAGTGCATGATTTATGAACTCTAAAATTGAAATTCTAATGATGAAAGGGTTGTTGGTATTGTAGAAATGTCTTGACTCTGTAGATGTATTTATGTGCTTTAATCATTGAAGTTTGCTGCTATATGATTTTTGTTATTTTGATATAAAATTAGGACGTATCTATCTCTCAAATTTGGATCATGGTTCGATATCCTTTGGACGATTTGCTGTAGAATCACTGGCATGGGAAAAATGGTCTGTTTTTTCGGCACAACAGGTGTCAGGAGGAGCTTGAAATGTACAAGTCCAATGGATTGGTTGCCCAAAGAAGGCCTACTTTGAAGACTATTACAAAAGAGTTAGAGGTCGTAAGGCATTGCAAGTGCAGCACCAAGAAACCACCCACCTGTACATCGCTAATGCAGCTGGCTGAGAGGAATTACAATCCAAGGTACTGCCAAGAGAAGGTTTTAGATAGGTATATTTTCATTGTGCCTGTCCAAACACGTAAATCACGTCGGGAAGGTATTGGCAAGTTTAGATACGGGGCGTTTTTAACTCATCCATAAATGTTGGATGTACAGGGATGGCTCGATAACCACTCTACGATTCTAAGGTTTATAGCGTGACTCTCCCCAGATGGAATAAACTACATGCAAGAACTATCGACGGTTCGTATCTTTGGCATATGGTTCGCTTAATACAATACAGATAAGGTTATAGCATGGTCAGATAAGTCCAATAGTACTTTGATATTCTGCATTTGTAACCATTAACGACCTATATGATGACGGTCCTGAGCCCCACGCTCAGCAATCACGTATTTAGCGGCCAAGCTGCCAGCTGAGGCCTTGGGTCCTCTGACCCTTTGCGGGAATGACGGACAAACCCTTTAATGGAATACAGACCCGCACTCCGGTATGGGAAAAATCTCGCTAGGTGTGACTGGTCTCTCTTGTACGTTCGGCTCAGCTGACTAAGCCAGTCATCCCCCTGGCGTTGGTGGCGGTTGCCAATGCTGACGATTCAGTATCTATGCGTACTCTTGAACTTGTGAGAGGACTAGTTTAAGGAGCTCTGGGGCGCGGGTATGCATTGCGGACTGAGGGAGACAAAGGGGCTCGTGTGGGGTCAGCGGAGAAGGGGTGTTCATCGGAAGGACACGCTATGGGCAGCGGGCGGGTGAGTCGGGATGGAAGAGTAAGAAACTGGGGTGGGGAAGACACGGAAAAAGAACGAGGGCTTCACAGTGAACAGTACTCTTCTTCACTGTAAAACTCGCAGGAGAAGAAAGTTGTAAAATGGTTGGTAACGTGGAAGCATTTTTGGCGGGGGTCATGTTGGCGTATTGGGCGGGACGGAAAAAGACGAATGAGAGTTGTGGCGGTGGAGCAGGGTAAGGGGAGGAGAAGGGGGGACGGAGGGCGGGCGAGCAGAGGGACGGCGGCGGACGCGACGGTGTCGAGGAGGAAAAGAGGCAAGAGGGGGGGAGGGGGAAGTGATTAAGTGGGTAACGGATGTGCGGGATGCAGTGCGAATTCCTCGCACAAGCCAAAGGGGTACGGAAGGAAACGAAGCTGGAGGCAGGAAAGCAAGACCAGGTCCCGGCAGTACGCAAAAAGGGGAGAACCAGGGGCGCCGGGCAAGCAACACTCCTGGGCGCAGCGCGAATAAGGCCAACGGTGGCCCGCACAAAAAGGAAACTGAAACAAGGAAGGGGCGCCAGCCGGTGATCCAATATCCAGTCGCAACGAGGAGAGGGTGCAAATGCCAGAGTGGGGAAGGCCAAAAGCCAATGCAGATCAGAGAACAGTTGCTGCGTTGGCAAGACGAAAGCTCCGTATACCATAAACCACGCGGTCCAGTCGACAACCACAACTGGTAACATCGCATAGACAAGATCGGCTGGGAGGGCGGAGAGAAGGTGCGCTTGGCCCATGGGGCAAAGCAGCAATGACAAAGCCGTTGCGTGGAAGCGTGAAGAACAAGGCTGGGGCTCAAAGAATCACGGATCCTATTGTCAGATGATCAAAACCCGTTGTTGGGGGGAGGGGATCTATATTTGATCCACAGGGATCCTCACGGGGAGCGCGCTAAAAATACGCTCGGGGACGGGTCGTCGTGCGTAAGGCGCGTCTTCTGAACGAGGTGGTAGACAAAATAGAAGGAACTGGTCAGAGACAGTTGATGGGAGGAATGTGGAGGCGAACAGCTAAGCCGCGAGGAGAGTGGGGGAGTGAGCACAGACGGCAGCGGAAGGTGGGCAACACGTCGGAAATCAAGACAACCAAAAACCAGTAAATGCAGGGGGACAGGGATACACAACGAGATTCCGGGGTAGTGGAAATAACAACCGTTTGAGTCGTTTTGACATAATAGTGACAGGAGCGGACAGGGGGAAAGGAAATAGGGGGGACGGGGAATAAGGACGGGGACAAGAGCCAGCGCGGTGACGCTGAGCAGGCAAAAGGTGGAAGTAAGAAAAGACAAGAGGTAAGGGCTAACAGTTACCTAACGAAAGGAAGAGAGGGTTAGTTTTGCGGCAGAGAATCCCAGTCTCTGGTGCTCTGGGGAAAAGGTACGGCCCGGAGGAGGAGGAAGATGGGGAACGGCGAGACAGCCCAGGGGGACGCGAGCAGTTGCGTGTATAACTGGTATATAATATTTTTTCCTGGTTGTTAGCCGGTAAGAGATGCTTCGGCAGTAGAAGAGAAAAGTCAAAGGAGGTGGCCTTCCCGCTTGGGCCTGGGTGTGCTATAAACTCTATAAGGACTGTGACCCTAAGAGGGCTAAGCCAATTGCTGGAGCCCTGTCTTGCCGATACGGGGGAAGGCGGGAATGGGTCGTGCAGGGGAGTGGGGAACCTAGGGGCACAGGACGGGCTAGTAGGGACTGGAGCTTGGGCTATAGTCCCGGGGGGAAATGTGATCAGATGAGGTCGCCCAAGATGGAAATTATAGTGAGCGGACGGTTTGGGAAATCAGGAGAAGTGTGCATGGAACAATTATAACAAACGCGGAGGGAATAGGTTGTGCGTGCGGAGCAGCCATAAGGAGGACGGGCCCCCACAGCTTAATTGGTTGCCCAATAGATCGTAAAATATAAATACAGCACCACATAAGAGGAAGAATTGAGTTCAATGAGCTCGTGAGAGATGGCGTGGAAGGCGGAGAGAGTATGAGGCAAACAGAAGTAGCTAAAGGGACTGATTTTTGGGCCAAGGGGGTGGAGGAAGGGGTGAAGAGGGGGTGGGGAATAGAATGAACAGGCCAAGAGGCGGAGGAGAGGGGGGTGGAGGGAGATGGTACAAGAAGGCCAGAGGGGGGGTAGGGGGAGGGGTTGATTGAGAGTGGGTTTTAGTACTATGTAAATCTAGTGGTCAGGTTGTATATATGTGCAGGGAAAAGAGGAAAAATAACGCTGCAAACCGAAGATATCCAAAGCCTCCTCAACTGCGACTTCCAGTGTCATAAGAATGTAAAAGTGGTGCAATAAGGTTGTTTCTCATCACAATCTTAGTTCTATTAGCTAGTTTGTATGTCTTTCAGGATTGATAATACTTGGATATTTCCTCCCATAAAATTGAAGTTGTTCAATATTTATGTTTTCTCCTAGCCAACTAGATTAGCGTGCTCGCACACATATTGTTCATCAGCAAATTAAGCAATTTGAAAACCTTGTTATCTATTTCAGATTGCAGAATTGAAGTCTGGATCCTCCCGCGTGCTGAAGGGAACTGAGGTCTCCTTTTTTTCCTCTTCCAAATCACTAAATAATTAATTAGAAACTTTCTTTTTTGCCTGGCCTGATTGTTTTGATGAAATATCATTCTATCTTTTGTATAAAGATCACCTCTTATTTGTAACTTTGTAAGTGTGTCCTCATTTTTATAGGGTGTAGTTATTCTGCAGACTCAAAATGCCAAGCTCGGTCCTCATCCCCTGTGAAATCAATGGGGCCCTGTGCAACAGGAAGAATGTGCCGTCGCATTTATAATGCGGCAAAGTTTGCAAAAACAGGCGAGAACCAGTGCAATAGATTGGAATGTTCACCTGGAGAGGTAAATGGAAAGCCCCACTGGAATGTCAGATACATTAGCCTCATAGTATGCACTGGAAGAGTTACTGGATGAGAAAATCATGTTTTGTTTTCATTTCGAAGGCTGTCATCAGATGAGGCGCAGAAGTTTAGAAAGTTTATTTTAGACTTGAAGTAAGAATATGTATGCTTGCGAGAAAGTAAGTGCACGTATACCTTAAGCTTTCGGAGAACAACTGAATGTAAATTATGGAGCTATATATGACAGAATGACGATGCTTTCTGCTGAACTCAATCAGAGCCTTGTGACTTGTGATCGTGAACATGCTGGGCAGCAAGATTGAACGTCTGTATCTGTCTCATTTTTCCTTTTTTAAAGTATATCATTTGTATTTTTTTTAAAAAGTTTAAATTAATTACTATTTATAAAAAAAGTATTATTTATATTTATAAAAAAAACCAATTGGCGTGCCAAGGGGCTAGTGACCAGTAAACAAGGCGCCTCCCCCCCCCCCCCCTCTCTCTCTCCTCTCTCTCTCTCTTTTGATCCAGAAGGAGCCTTTACCCTAGTAGCTGGACTGGATCCATCAAACAAGCCCCCAAAAAATTGTTAGTCACCGGAAAACAAAGGCGGCTTTACTCTAGTGATTGGCGTGGAGTTGGAAATTCGGATACATTGTATAAATGGCTGGAGATAATTATTTATCAATTTTTTTGTTTCATTAAAAAGGATCGTTAACCTAAGATTTCCCACCATCTCTCTAGACAACAGTAAAAATAAAGTTGATTGGCATAACCAAATAAGAAAAGTACGTATAATATACTAGCCACTCTTTGGCCATGGTTGCCTTGTTGGAAATATATGCACTACATCTTGGTAATGCTTCATGTATAAGGAAAAGTTCATATATAAAAAACTGATCAATTATTAAGCCAGTTACATCATCCACGCCTCAACAAGGCGTTTAATCTTGTCTTGTATGGTAAGGTCAAGAAAGACAGTCTGGTACACGCACCAGCCCCAGATTAGATATCTCTTTTCTAATATGTCAACTTGTCATTTTAAATATAGTGTCCCTGTTATGCATCTTAAAAATTGACTTGGAGTTTGCCTTGAAGACTTACTCAGCATATAAACTGGACATAGAAAGGGAACACCACAACACAACATCATCCTGCAATCAGTTCTTGTTCCTAAACACTGCTCTCAACCAATTTCTAAAGCTAAAAACAATGGCTGATGCTCTCATTTCCGTGCTGCTAGAACGGTTGGTCTCGATAACCTATGAATACGTGGAAGGAGAGTTGAAACATGTTTTGAACGTTAAGGAAGATGTTGAGAAATTCACTCGGACTCTCCGAGTAATTCGAGCTGTGCTTGAGGATGCAGAGCAACGCCAAGTGACGGATCAAGCTGTCAAAATCTGGTTGGATGAGCTCAAAGATATATCCTACCAGATGGTGGATGTGCTGGATGAGTGGAACACAGACATTCTCAAACAACAAGTTGAGAAGCAAGAAGTGATCCAAATGCTTTTGTTACAAAGAAGAAGGTACGTTTCTCTAGTTTCTTCAGTTGCTTTTGTTTTGGCAAAGTCAGTCGGTGGTTTCTCTTCGCCATGACATTGCTCTGAAAATAAAAGATCTGAATGACGAGTTAACTAAGATTAATAAGGAAAGAGAAGATTACCAGTTTCTAAGCAAAGAATTAGGCATTCAACAACCTCAACGACCTCAAACTGCATCTTTTGTCGATATATCTGAGATATTTGGTCGAGAAACTGAAAAAGAGGATTTGATAACAAACTTGTTGAGTGATAATAGTGCGGAAGGGAAGGGCTCCTTATCATCCCTATTGTAGGGATGGGAGGCATGGTAAGACCACTTTGACCCAAATAGCCTATAATGATGACCATGTGAAAGCCCATTTTGAGATCAGAAAATGGTTTTGTGTGTCAACCCTTTTGATGAGATTAAGATTGCCAAAGATATTAGTGGCGATTGCGCCAGGAGTTCAAATCAGCTGGATTATGTCTTGCAACGTATGTCTGAATCCATCCAGGGCAAAAGGTTTCTTCTTGTCCTGGATGACGTGTGGACTGAAAACCGTCAAAAGTGGGAGCTTTTAAAGGTACCACTAATGCAAAACGGTGCTAAAGGCAGCATAATATTGGTCACCACAAGAAAAAAGAGGTTGCTAATATGATGAGAGCAACACCAAACATGATCAATCTGAAAGGGTTGAGTGATGAATTGTTTGGCAATCTTCAATCATATGGCCTTTCCTGATGGGGATGTAGATGAGTCTAAGGCATTTGAAGATATTAGTAAGAAAATTGTAAAGAAGTGTAAAGGTTTGCCTCTTGCTGCAAAGACTTTAGGTAGTCTCATGCAGAATAAGAGAACGAAAAGAGAATGGAAAGAAGTTTTGAATAGTAAGATATGGGATCTAGAGAAGGTCGAGCAAGAAGTTTTCCAACCCTTATTCCTAAGTTTTATGATTTGTCCCCAACAATTAAATCTTGTGCCTTTTATATTGCGCTACTTTTCCTAAAGATTACACTTTAAACGAGATCGTTTGATTGAACTTTGGGATGGCACAAGACTATGTTATTTCGAAATGGAATAAACAAAAGGGAACAACGGTGATGTATTTTTGACAACTTAGTGGCACGGTCATTTTCTCCAAGATTTTCAAAAAGATCCAAACACTGGTACCATTACACGGTGCAAAATGCATGATATTGTGCATGACTTTGTACAATTTCTCACCAAGAATGATGTTTGATTATGGATCACACAGAGTGTGCTACTAGCGAATCAAAGTTATTGGGTGATAAGGTTCGTCATTTGACCTTGAGATATTTTCTTGATGGTCCACTTGCTATCTCATCCAACAATTGCCAAAAGCTTCGCACGCTTGCAACTTTTGATTCAAGAATTACTACAATAGACTCAAATTTAATTTTACAATTGAATGTCTTAGGACATTAAATTTGAGTGATAATTCCATCAAAGAACTCCCAGAGGAGATTGGGTGAATTGAAACACTTGAAGCATATTGATTTGTCTTTCAATCATGCTTTGGAGAAATTACCAGACACTATTTGTGGTTTGTACAATTTGTCAACCTTGCGCCTTGTGATGTGCTCTGAACTTAAAAAATTGCCTGAAAACATGGAAACTTGATTAACTTAAAGCATCTCTATGTTGACTGGTGTGAAGATCTGAAGTCGTTGCCGAAAGGAATAGAGAGATTAACAAGTTTACAAACACTAGATGTGTGTCCGTGTGGGGGCGACAACGATGAAGCATTCCAAATTGGGGATCTGAGATGTTGAACCTTGAGGGAAGTCTGGAAATACACTTGTGGGGGATGCGACAGATAAGAGCGAGGTTGAGAAGCACAATTGTGGGACAAAAAGCTATTTCATCTCACCGTTGATTTTGAAAGGCAGACGAACAGTAGTATAGTGTAGAAATACTGAATGCCTTGCGACCGCATCCAGATTTGGAATCTTTAAAGATTCTGCATCATAATGGCACCACGTGGCCCAATTGGATTCAGTCTTTAAAAAATTTGAGATTCCTTGAGGTTCGTGGGGACACAGTCTGAAACTTTGGCCTCTTGGGAATTGGATTACCTTGAAACACTGACCCTAAACTGGATTAAGGGAGTGAGAAAGGGTCGGTGTTGAATTTTTGGGATTAGAAGATCAAACCCTCATTCAGAATCAGATCACCCCAAATATTATTCCCAAAATTGAAACGACTCTGGTTTGGCCTCATGTTGGAATTGGGAAGTGGGAAGGCGTGGAAGAGTGACGAAAGAGGATTCTGAAATTACAATCATGCCATGCCTTTCTGAGTTAGAAATTCATTCTGCGGATTGCTAAAAGCACTGCCAGACTTCGTCTTCAAAACACCACTGCAGACTCTTCGCATCACTGGATCTGAGAGACTTTTAGAGCGTTACCAAGAAGGCAATGGAGAGTGGGCCAAGATTTCTGCTACGAACCCAAACATCCGCATTATCAGGTAATTGAGCTCTAGCAATCTCTATTATTTACATACTTATGTATGAATTCCAACTATCATCATAATTTTGTGAACACCTTATTTTTAAGGTATATATACTAATCTACTGTTGTATTGATGATTTGCAAAACTTTCTTGGTGTCATTAATTCGTAAAATATACTCTGAGGAACTACCTACTTTAGTAGGTCTAGATTGATTAATTTCTGTTGAATTCCTTTCGTTACTGGGCTTGGGCCCCCATTTATCCCCGAAAAAAAAGGTGCTTTGATGTTTGTTTTGTTAGAAATGTGGGATAAAAATGTGGTAAGTGTAGCATTACTCTTAAACCAAAACACGAAAACCTCGTGTGGCATAATAAGTAAATGATTTATTAATACTAGCTAATTGAAAATGAGTAATGCTACACTTACCACATTTTTATCCCACATTTCTATACCACATGATGTGGCATGTCTATTTTATATGCAACATTAATAAATCAATGAAGGCATTTTAATTAAGTCAATTAGAAAAATAAATACTGGAATACACCATAAAAGAAAGAAAATATTAAATCATTTAATTGATTGGCTATCCCCCTCAGTGCCACAATAAGGGTGGTAGGAGAATGTGGTTACAAATGGTGGTAAAGTTAGCATTATTCTTTGTTTAAATCTGCATGCTTTAGTTGTTCCTCAAAAAAATTTTAATTCCCGAATTGAAAAATGTCTAGGAGAATTGATTGCAAGAACAAATTAATTGATCAACTATGTATGTGTCCTCATTTCAGATACGCTGACGCAAAGATGATGTAAACCATCAAAAGTCCCGCCTACGGAAGTTCCATATAACTGAAAAAAAAAAAAAAAAAAAAAAAAAAAAAAAAAAAAAAAAAAAAAAAAAAAAAAAAAAAAAAAAAAAAAAAAAAAAAAAAAAAAAAAAAAAAAAAAAAAAAAAAAAAAAAAAAAAAAAAAAAAAAAAAAAAAAAAAAAAAAAAAAAAAAAAAAAAAAAAAAAAAAAAAAAAAAAAAAAAAAAAAAAAAAAAAAAAAAAAAAAAAAAAAAAAAAAAAAAAAAAAAAAAAAAAAAAAAAAAAAAAAAAAAAAAAAAAAAAAAAAAAAAAAAAAAAAAAAAAAAAAAAAAAAAAAAAAAAAAAAAAAAAAAAAAAAAAAAAAAAAAAAAAAAAAAAAAAAAAAAAAAAAAAAAAAAAAAAAAAAAAAAAAAAAAAAAAAAAAAAAAAAAAAAAAAAACGAGATCGTTTGGATTGAACTTTGGATGGCACCAAGATAATGGTTATTTCGAAAAGGGGAATAAACAAAAGGGAACAACGGTGATGTAGTGACAACTTAGTGCACGGTCATTTTCTCCAAGATTTTCAAAAAGATCCAACACTGGTACCATTACACGGTGCAAAATGCATGATATTGTGCATGACTTTGTACACAATTTCTCACCAAGAATGAGTGTTTGATTATGGATCACACAGAGTGTGCTACTAGCGAATCAAAGTTATTGGGTGATAGGTTCGTCATTTGACCTTGAGATATTTCTTGATGGTCCACTTGCTATCTCATCCAACAATTGCCAAAAGCTTCGCACGCTTGCAACTTTTGATTCAAGAATTACTACAATAGACTCAAATTTAATTTTACAATTGAAATGTCTTAGGACATTAAATTTGAGTGATAATTCCATCAAAGAACTCCCAGAGGAGATTGGTGAATTGAAACACTTGAAGCATATTGATTTGTCTTTCAATCATGCTTTGGAGAAATTACCAGACACTATTTGTGGTTTGTACAATTTGTCAACCTTGCGCCTTGTGATGTGCTCTGAACTTAAAAAATGCCTGAAAACATGGGAAACTTGATTAACTTAAAGCATCTCTATGTTGACTGGTGTGAAGATCTGAAGTCGTTGCCGAAAGGAATAGAGAGATTAACAAGTTTACAAACACTAGATGTGTGTCCGTGTGGGGGCGACAACGATGAAGCATTCCAAATTGGGGATCTGAGAATGTTGAACCTTGAGGGAAGTCTGGAAATACAACTTGTGGGGGATGCGACAGATAAGAGCGAGGTTGAGAAAGCACAATTGTGGGACAAAAAGCTATTTCATCTCACCGTTGATTTGAAAGGCAGACGAACAGTAGGTAGTGTAGAAATACTGAATGCCTTGCGACCGCATCCAGATTTGGAATCTTTAAAGATTTGCATCATAATGGCACCACGTGGCCCAATTGGATTCAGTCTTTAAAAATTTGAGATTCCTTAGGTTCGTTGGGGACACAGTCTGAACTTTGGCCTCTTGGGAAATTGGAGTACCTTGAAACACTGACCCTATACTGGATTAGGGAGTGAGAAAGGTCGGTGTTAATTTTTGGGATTAGAAGATCAAACCTCATTCAGAATCAGATCACCCAAATATTATTCCCAAAATTGAAACGACTCTGGTTTGGCTCATGTTGAATTGGGAAGAGTGGGAAGGCGTGGAAGAGTGGACGAAAGAGGATTCTGAAATTACAATCATGCCATGCCTTTCTGAGTTAGAATTCATTCTGCGATTGCTAAAAGCACTGCCAGACTTCGTCTTCAAACACCACTGCAGACTCTTCGCATCACTGGATCTGAGAGACTTTTAGAGCGTTACCAAGAAGGCAATGGAGAGTGGGCCAAGATTTCTGCTACGAACCCAAACATCCGCATTATCAGGTAATTGAGCTCTAGCAATCTCTAATTATTTACATACTTATGTATGAATTCCAACTATCATCATAATTTTGTGAACACCTTATTTTTAAGGTATATATACTAATCTACTGTTGTATTGATGATTTGCAAAACTTTCTTTGTGTCATTAATTCGTAAAATATACTCTGAGGAACTACCTACTTTAGTAGGTCTAGATTGATTATTTTCTGTTGAATTCCTTTCGTTACTGGGCTTGGGCCCCCATTTATCCCCGAAAAAAAAGGTGCTTTGATGTTTGTTTTGTTAGAAATGTGGGATAAAAATGTGTAAGTGTAGCATTACTCTTAAACAAACAAGAAACCTCGTGTGGCATAATAAGTAAATGAATTTATTAATACTAGCTAATTGAAAATGAGTAATGCTACACTTACCACATTTTTATCCCACATTTCTATACCACATGATGTGGCATGTCTATTTTATATGCAACATTAATTAAATCAATGAAGTGCATTTTAATTAAGTCAATTAGAAAAATAAATACTGGAATAAACCATAAAAGAAAAGAAATATTAAATCATTTTAATTGATATGGCTATCCACCTCAGCTGCCACATAAGGTGGTATGAGAATGTGGTATACAAATGTGGTAAGAGTAGCATTATTCTTTGTTTAATCTGCATGCTTTAGTTGTTCCTCAAAAAATTTAATTCCCGAATTGAAAAATGTCTAGGAGAATTGATTGCAAGAAGCAAATTAATTGATCAACTATGTATGTGTCATCATTTCAGAGACTGCTGAAGCAAACAGAGTGATGTAAACCATCAAAAGTCAGCTACGGAAGTTCCAATAACTGAAATTTTGATTATTTTCACCACTCGCTAGGTATTTTTCTTCCTGCTAAGTTGTTCGCATATATCATCATTTTTCTATAAAGAGGATTTTTCAAATGAGTATGAAAGGTAGTTTCCTTTTTATGTTTGTACAAAAAGTAAAACTTATTCCTCTTGGCCAGCTGCAGTGCTTTGATGTTTGTTTTGTTAAATCTCTGGATTTTAGAGCATAAGCAACTTAAATAAAGATAATTTCTGGTCATCCAACTGCAGAAAATATTGCAAGCACTCTTTGGGGAGCTCAGACCTCATATTTTCTTTAAAAGATAGTCTCTGGATTTTTCAAGACATGTTAACCCTCTGGTATTAATAAATTCATTTACTTGTTATGCCACATGAGGTTTATTGTTTTGTTTACTCTGCATGCTAATGTTTGTAGGACCAACAGCTAATTTCTTGTGTCCCCTCTATGCCGGATGACTGGAAAGCAGGGATACACCATCAAGGGAACTTGTCCTGCTTTGTTTGACTGATTTCGATGAAGCTTTTTCCTAAAATGAGTAAGTTTTTTCATCAGTATGTGAAGTAATCCTATGTAATTTAAATAAATGCTTGTATTTGTGATTGCTAGTTGTCAAATTCTAATGTCACTAGGTCTCCTATCAAATTTTCATGGCACAGGATTTTCTTTTCGTAGTTACTGGAGCTCTTTTCGTGGCATGGGAGGGAGGGAAGAGTGAATATGACCCCAAGTTTCATTTTAATTCACCTTCAAGTGTCATCAAGTTGCTCAAAGGCTATATGAGGTTTGTTGTTTTGTTTAATCTGCATGCTTTTGTTGTTTCTACTCTTTCCTAAAAGTGCGAGGCTCTCTCTGTAACTGACAAGCAGTTTCTACTCTCCTTCATTATAATACCGTTCATCATTTCAGGGGATCTATGGAGCAAACAGAGTGGCGGTAAACCATCAAAGTCAGCCTACGGAAGTTCCAATAACTGAAATGTTGATAATTTTCATCAAAATTCAGCTTGAGAAGTTGACAGAGACATGATGAATTTCGAAGGTCTACTGAGCTTTTGATTTACAACAGTGATGAGTACCCTTATTTTTTGTTTTGTAAGCAGAAACTTCGTGAACACCTTATTTTAAGGTACAGGCAACATCGACTGTATATATAACTAATCTACTGGTGTATTGATCATTTGCAAAAACTTCCTTTTTGTCATTAATTCGTAAGATGTATTCTGAGGAACTGGTGAATTGGGTTTGCAATTACCTTGGCTTCTCTATTTTATTGTGTATCAGTTCCCAGTTTTCTGTTCTTCTAGAAGGTGTGTTTGTTTGCCTTCAGTAACTTTGATTGGTGTGTGTTCTTAAGCTAGAAAAGTGGTTAAATATCGTTAACCTTGCCTTCAATAACTAATTCATAGAAGAAGAGGTAAGTTGTTTTGAATTTGAAGAAACAAGTTTGAACAATTCGTTGGCAATCTCAAGCATTCAAGCTGCTGGCGTTTGAGGATGCCGAGCAAATGCAAGCAACCAAGGCCAGTGTATACAACTTATTGCAACTGTAACACTAATATACTTTAAATTAAGTTAATGGACCTTCAAATCAAATGGATATAACTAAGTTTCAAATGTTTAGGGCCATTTTGGTAACCATTTCAATTTTTAATTTTCAGTTTCATTTGTTAAAAACTTAGAAACTGAAAACTGTTTGGTATTAATTTCAGTTTTCACTAGCCCTCTGCACACGCGCTTTGCAAGAGGCATTTTAAAAAAGATTTAAATTTATTTTAGAATTAAAAAAGATAATGATAGTTCGTTTCATAAAAATAGGATCCATTTATCTTATTTTTCTTTTCATTTTAATTTTTAATATGAAAAAGTGTGAATATACCATATTATCCTCATTTAATTACTAATTTCAATTTTATGTTTGCATTAACCATATACATTTTCTGGTATTTTGAAATTTCATCAATTCTCTCTGCCTTTTGCTTTATATATATATAGATAAAAAGTGAAAGGTGAACTGAAAAATAAGTTGGTTGGTAACTGAATTCAGTTTTTTTTTGTCAATTTGAAAGTGTCTTCCCTTAATGAGGTTTCTTTTCTTTCCTCTAAATATACTTCACAAGGCCATTTGTCTCTGGATATGGAACTCAGTGCAACAAGCCTTTGGTCCAATATCCTATTTTTTCCTTTCCTGCAGCATTGGTCCCATTTTTTGTGCTTGAAATTGCCCAATGAATTATTGGCTTCTTTGAGTTCCTAGGAGCATCCACAGTGGGGGGTGTAAAGCCACTTTTACATCCCTTTTACACCTCCGGGGAGTGTAAATATGTTTTTTGCTCTAGTGACGGGTGGTGTAAATTCGGGGGTGTAACCGTGGGTCCCAACCTTTTATGTTGACTTTTCTTCATTTTTCTTCTCTTTTCTCGGGTGAGTCCTGCCTGCAAGGGATGTAAAAATAGATGTAAATATACATTTTATTTTACATCCTCATGGTGGTGATGTATATTTACATCCATTTACATCTCCTCATTGGAGACGATTCCGGTGACTCGGGATGTATATTTAACATACACCCTCATATACACTCCCCCACTGTGGATGCTCTAATGATTCAGGATTTCCATCTCCTCAATGTTTAAGGGAAAAAGAACAAAAACAAAAAACAAAACAAAAATTACACACTTCACTAAGTTTGAAGGAAAAAATATTGACACATAATTAAAATTCCATACGGGACCAATGAATCATAAGGAGTATTTTCAGTGATGACTGACTAAACCACTTAAGTTTCCTTCTTCTAAGAAATGCATCATAAATCTTCAAGGAAACTTTCACATTTGATGCCTACTGATCTACTCTGGGTTTGGCATAAAAGCTCTAATTCAATAAAGAACCATTATTGCAAAGCAAATCCTTCCAAGGGCAGCCTTACAAACAGCAATTCCATTTGCCTGCAGAGAGAGGTACATAAGGTTGAGCAAGTACACTTGGAAAAAAGAAGATTGAAGGTACCAGGTAAACTCGACATGAAATCCGATCTGCAGACATGCAGAAGAAGAAACAGGTAAGAGACCATCTACCTTTCAATTCCCAAAAAGGTATTTTTCTTCCCAAAAAGTTACTCATATTTTATGTTGTTCCTTGATATGTTTTCATTTATAACTTAAAATAGCATAGAAAGCTAGTATGAACAAGAATAAAACAATTTGGGAGCTTCACTATTTATACTCAAAATATGGGTTGAGATTATTACCAAAAAAACCTCACATGTAATGCACTTAGAAACACACCTAAATCCATTTACTACATAAGAAATGGGCGTGGAAGAGTGGACGAAGAGGGATTCTGAAATTACAATCATGCCATGCCTTTCTGAGTTAAGAATTGAATTGTGCAATCGCTAAAAGCACTGCCAGACTTCCTCTTCAAAACACCACTGCAGACTCTTCTCTCATCACTGCATCTCAGAGACTTTCAGAGCGTTACCAACAAGGCAATGCAGAGTGGGCCAAGATTTCTGCTACGAACCAGACATCCGCATTATCAGGTAATTGAGCTCTAGCAATCTCTTATTTACATACATATGTATCAATTCCAACTATCATCATATTTGTTTCCTTCAAAATCTTCAGGGCATGGGTGAATTGCTTGGCACATGATGAAAACATCTGTCTCCGTAGCATATATAATCTTGAGATGGTGACTCGCTAGGTATTTTTCTTCCTACTAAATTGTTCGCATATATCATCATTTTTCTATGAAGAGGATTTTTCAAATGAGTATGAAAGGTACTTTCCTTTTTATGTTTTGTACAAAAAGTAAAACTTATTCCTCTTGGCCAGCTGCAGTGCTTTGATGTTTGTTTTGTTAAATCTCTGGATTTTAGAGCATAAGCAACTTAAATAAAGATAATTTCTGGTCATCCAAACTGCAGAAAATAAATTCAGACCTCACATTCTATGCCGGATGACTGGAAAGCAGGGATACACCATCAAGGGAACTTGTCCTGCTTTGTTTGACTGATTTCGATGAAGCTTTTACCTAAAATGAGTAAGTTTTTTCAACAGTATGTGAAGTAATCCTATGTAATTTAAATAAATGCTTGTATTTGTGATTGCTAGTTGTCAAATTCTAATGTCACTAGGTCTCCTATCAAATTTTCATGGCACAGGATTTTCTTTTCGTAGTTACTGGAGCTCTTTTCGTGGCATGGGAGGGAGGGAAGAGTGAATATGACCCCAAGTTTCATTTTAATTCACCTTCAAGTGTCATCAAGTTGCTCAAAGGCTATATGAGGTTTGTTGTTTTGTTTAATCTGCATGCTTTAGTTGTTTCAAAAAAATTAATTCCTGAAAAATGTCTAAGAGAAATTATTGCAATAAGCAAATTGATCAACTATGTATGTGTAAGGAATTATTATAAGAATACCCAAGTAACAGTCGTTGTTTTAGATACTTGAAAGAATACCAAGTACATTTTTGGGAGCCTAAAAGTGTGAGGCTCTCTCTATAACTGGACAAGCAGTTTCTACTCTTTCCTTCATTATAATACTGTTCATCATTTCAGGGACTCTATGGAAGCGAACGGAGTGGTGTGAACCATCAAAGTGATCAGCCTATGGAAGTTCCAATTACTGAAATTTTGATAATTTTCATCAAAAGTCAGCCTTGAGAACTTGACAGAGACATGATGAATTTCGAAGGGTCTTTGAGCTTTTGATTTACAAACATTGATGGGCACCCTATATTTTTGTTTTGTAAGCAGAAACTTCGTGAACACCCTTACTTTAAGGTACAGCAACATCGACTGTATATATAACTAATCTACTGGTGTATTGATCATTTGCAAAACTTCCCTTTGTGTCAGTAATTCGTAAAATGTACTCTGAGGAACTGGTGAATTTGGGTTTGCAACTTACCTTGGCTTTCTCTTGTGTTTTTTGTGTATCAGTTCCCAGGTGTCTTTTGTTTGCCTTCGGTAACTTTGATTTGACGATTCCAACAAGAAATGGTGGGAAATGGTTCCAAATTGGTGGCAAATGGGTCTAAGGCATTGAAGAGGTCAAAAGGGATTGATTTGACGATTATATCCCTCATAAAATAGGGATTTAACGGTTATTTTGACGGATGGACTATTTAAGAGCATCCATATTAACGTTAGGAATCATCAGTGATACAAAAAAACTCTAAGGATGTATTCTGATAGTTTCGCAAATGTTAGGGACATTTTGTGATAAAAAGCCAAAAATAAATAATGTTTGCAAACACATTTTTACTAAAATTCATCCTTTTGTAACACACCATGTGACCTTTGATTTTCTTTTTAAGGTAACTTCAATTATGTAACCCTTTTTATTTTTTATTTTTTATTTTTTATATTAAGCAATTGTGAGACCTGGGAAAATCATGAGGATCTCCAGACTTAATGCCTGTTTTCATATGAAATAACATTTAACGGGAATGGGGAATAGGGAATAGGGAATGGAATGTGTAAATTTTTACAACAATCTATCAACCAACATAGGAATTGTCTGTCACCCCAGCCTTAAACTTACATATAAGAAATCAATATAAGAAACAATAACATGCTTAGAACATACAAACATGCTTTCCAAGTTTCACTTTGACCAGTGCTTTAAAGAAAATATACATGAATTGGGCGATCTGAGATCAGGGCAAAGTAAGGTGTATGAACTCATAAATATGCAAAGTTCAACTATTTTTGTGTCAAAGTTCTGATACAAAGTTAAGTGGACAAACATATACCCATCAATTGTTACCAATCACAAGGAAAATAGTTTTCTCTTTATTTATTTTTTACCTTTTCCCTTTTGTTAAACCATATAAGAATATTAATTTTCTACAGGAATCCCAGACCATGCAACATAAAACACGCCAATATTTTGTTGTGGAAGTTATGTTCTGCCCTAATGAGAAATATAATATAGTTCCTTGGGGCTCTCAAGGTCAATGTGGTTGGACAATGAATTATGGCCATAACATGCAGATAATCTTACAAAGCACATGTGGTCCTATTGTGAGTATTTGTTCCATATTAAAATTTTAAAGGACTTAGTCTGGGTTTATAAAGAGTGGGCTACTTCCTCCATTGCCAATTGGTTTTGGGGTGGAACCTCAACTTCCTTCATGGTATCAGAGTAAGGCTTCACGTGTTGGCCTAACGGCCGCACGTGCTCTCACGTCACCCAATATGTGTTGTCCACGTGTTAGGCTTGAAAGTTTCGCCACACGTGCGGGGCCGTGTTGAGAGTATTTGTCCCACATTGAAATGTTAAGGGATCTAGTCTGGGTTTATAAGAGTTAGGCTACTCCCCCATTGCCATTGGTTTTAGGGTGGAACCTCAACTTCCTTCAGTCCCCATATTGATCTTCGGGAAATTAATTTAGAATTTTCTGGTCTATTCATATGTGTAATGTAATGAATTGAGAAAAACCAAAATGATTCATTAAATTATAAATATATCTAATAATGTGTGAATTACGGAACAACACTATTTTACTATGCCACGTGAAAGTGTTGTCATGTGTGTCATAATGTTATTTGTGAGAATAGCAAAATAGTGTTGTTCGTTTCATAAAATTCCTTTTCGAATTATAGACCTTAATGTAACCCACTGAAATTAAAAACAGAAGAAAAAAGTAATAGAATCAAAGGTATAGTTGATGGAAATATACGCAAAAGAAAGATTTTGCTCCATTATGTATTTTATATATTATATTTGTTTGTATAAGAAATCTCTTTCCACTGACTGCAGTATGTTTTCAACAGTACAAAATATACATTAATAGCACGAATAATCTCCAAATCATTGAATACCACTCACCTTAAAAATCTATGAAACAGAATTAACAAGACGAATATAAGTCAAAGAAAATATATTTTAAAACCAAAGCTTTTGCTATATCGTAGATTCCATCATGCCAGATCATAGTTTCCATTGATCTAATAATTTGCTCAAACACATACATACACAGAACAACAATAATAGACTGAACTTGAGATTTTTGGGACCCTGTGCGAAACTTAAATCGAGACTCACATAATCTAACACAAACTTATAGTGGCATACAACAATTTTATTTTTAAGTAAAAAATCATCATCAATTAGCATGCAAATCACAAATCAAATTTATAAAATTTTGACATTTCAACTGAGAAACTTAAATACTAGTTCAGTATAAAGACTAAGTTTTCCTTTAAGTGCTCGTTAATTATATAAAGACTTGTATATAGTATAGGTTAGATATATAAAGACTTGTAAACAATTAGCATGATGAGACAAATCAAGTAGATTGAAATTTAGATATATACCTGAAGTTTAAATTGAGATTTCAATTTGACTATTTGATTTTGAGTGCCCCTTTATAATATTTTTTTTTCCCTTTAGCCCTTTATGAAGTTTAGAGTGTGTTTTTGTTTTTGATTTTTTGAAAAATAATGAAAAGGGAAATAAAAAAAAAAAAAAAAAAAAAAAAAAAAAAAAAAAAAGCGACAAAAAACCAAACCAAAAAAAAACTCTCCGGATAAACTTAAATTTTGTAAATCATTCATTGAAGTACAAAGTGGGCCTCGAACCCACGCCAAAATAGAAGTTAAAGTGCAGCAAACCATGGTTGCCAAGCCCATCTTTGTGTAATGTCCTACGCGGATTTTATATATACAATATGTAACATATTATATATATAACCTATACGTTAAAAAAAATTGGGGGCCCTAAAAAATTGGAGGCACAAAGAACTAACGTAGAACGGAAATTAGAGAAATGAAAAAGCATTTGTGGATCTACGGCAATAAATTACAATTCACTTTCTGAAAACGAATTCGTAAATCACTTTCCGAAATTTCATATGTAATACCTTGATCCTTGATTTTAATACTTAGATTAGTAAATAAATCCCCATAGTCAATAGAACAAATTTAAGTAACACGCATGATCATACCTCCATCTAGAGGCGGACAAAAAATTGTTGTCACCGGTGAACAAAGGCGGCTTTACTCCAGTGATTGGCTTGGAGTTGGAAATTCGGATACATTATTTATATAAATGGCTTGGATACTTTTCTTTTGGTGGGACCAGTTGACTTGGAGTTTTCCTTGATGACTTGCTCGCTATAGAAACGGGCTAGGAGAAGGGTAAAGGCACAAAGCAAAATCTAGTGACATACAGTTTCAGTTTTATTAATATTAATTTTTTATGAAAAAAAAGTACAAAGTGAACTCAAACAACTAAACGAAACATCAAGGTGAATTGATCTCTAGACAACAGTAAACATAACTTGATTTAAAAGTTAGCATAACCAAATAAGAAAAGTACCTGTAAGTTTATATAATAAAAAACTTATAGGTACATGTTTGCCTTGTGGAGATTTATGCACTACATCTTGGTAATGCTTCATCTTCCACGCCTCAACAAGTTTATATAATAAAAAACAAGATCAATTATTAAGCTAGTTTACATCTTCCTGCCTCAACACGTCGTTAATCTGTGCTTGTAAGACGTCTGGCACACTCACCAGCCCCAGATTAGATATCGCTTTTCTAATATAGTGTCCATTGTCACTTTAAAATATAGTGTCCCTGTTATGCATCTTAACATTGACCTGAAGACTTACTCAGCATATAAACTGGGCAGAAAAGGGAACACCACAACACAAACAATCATCTGCAATCAGTTCTTCTTCATAACCACTGCGGTCAACCATTTTCTAAGCTCAAAATAATGGCTGATGCGCTCATTTCCATGCTGCTGGAACGGTTGGCCTCGCCAACCTATGAATACATAGAAGGAGAGCTGAAACATGTTTGAACGTTAAGGAAGATGTTAGAAATTCACTCGGACTCTCCGAGTTATTCATATGTGCTTGAGGATGCAGAGCAAAGGCAAGTGACGGAGGCCAGCGTGAGAGACTGGTTGGATGAACTGAAAGAAATAATCCTACGAGATGGTGGATGTGCTGGATGAGTGGAACACTGACATTCTGAGACAACAAGTTGAGAAGCAAGAAAGAGAAGGTGATCCAAATGCTCTTGTTACAAAGAAGAAGGTACGTTTCTCTAGTTTCTCCCGTTGCTTTTGTTTTGACAACGTCAGTCGGGTGATTCTTCGGCCGTGACATTGCTCTGAAAATAAAAGATCTGAATGATAAGTTAACTAAGATTTATGAGGAAAGAAAAAAGTACCAGTTTCTACGCAAAGAATTAGGCATTCAGAAACTCAACAACCTCAAACGACCTCAACTGCATCTTATGTCAATATGTCTGAGATATTTGGTCGT